TGGAACCTAAAGCCCAGTCAAGCTTCGATGTCCTGGCCATGACGACAGCAACACAATGGGCCATTAACGACTGTATCCTGTATACTGGTGGCATCAACTCAATAATGCCACACGCACACCCCGAATGGAAAAAATAAATTAAACAAATAGTAGCTAAATTAGCAAGGCAATGGGAATATCCTGTTCCTGTTGCTTCGGCTAATTGTTCTGACCTTTCTGCTTATAATTGTTGGGAGTTATTTTAATAAATTAGAGGCCCTTCTAGTTATATTTAAATAGAGGCCTTAAATATTTATAAAATTTGTGAGCCCATTTGTCAGGTTTACTTTTTGTTTCCCCTCCAAATCTGGCACCAGCTGCTTTCTTCGGTCCCTCCAGGTCAGGCTCGGTATTTCAACACCCATGTGGGCACAGGGCCAGTCCCTCGAGCGATAAGCCATTGAGTCCCGACTGTTGCTATCGCTGCCCTGCCGCCGCTTATCGGACAACCCAAAATTTAAACGCTCGGCTAGGTGACCCCAAAACCCAAAAAGGCTGAAAACGAATATCGACAGAGTGCAGTTAATGGCTTGTGGGGAGGTGGGTCTGCTTATCGCAGTCTCGGTTCTTCGGGCTTGCAGTGGCAGTCCCCCAGCCTTAATGTTTCTAGAGGTGGCAGAAGACCATAAAACACTACTTATTTGAAGAGGAAACTGGTAATGTTTACAACATTTCTTAATATGGAGTTATAGGGAGGTGTGTTTTTACTATAAAAAAGATACACGTCATGTTTTACACCTTTGCCTAAAGGTATTAATTTTAATTTCCATAATAAACATTTGTAAGCGATTTTTTTTTCTATCTTTTCCACCTTGGCATTTAGGCATTTTAAAATAATATTTATCTTGCAGGTTAAAACATGTCCCTAGAGATGGGCTATATGTTTTACCATCTCTAACTAACACGAAGGATGTTTAGGGATGTGTGTAATAGCATATCAGCACATCATGCCTCATAAAAAATCTGCATTTCACATTTAATAACTTCTTAAATATTTATAATTTTCTATATTTGCCTCTTTAGATCACATACCATATTTATTCGCATCTCTAACTATAGATTATATAGATATTAATAACGGATCTACGTTTTTTTCACACTTTCTTCAGTATTTATTTAGAAATACAGCTGATAGGAATTTTAAAATTAAAAAATTTCTCTTTCATGTCAAAAAATGTTCCTACTGTTCCTAGACTATAAAGTTTTTTTTAGGGACGTGTGAAAGATCTTCTTGCCCAATATGTCTATAAAAAAAGCGGCCCATATTTTATAACTTCTTAATATTAAAAAATTTTTGGTTCTCTAAAAGAAAAAAAAAGAAATTTTTTTTTATGTATACCTCAGTCTTTAACTAAAGACCTTTTATAATCCTAAATTTTTTCTATAAATTACTAAGAAGTCGTGTAATTTTTTCTTTGTTTAAAAAACAGCACTCCTTATTTTATAACTTTTAAAATAACATAGTCATGAATTTCTATATTTTTCCTCTCAAAAATAATACCATGTAGCCTCATGTTTCCCATCACTGTCTATAGATCACCAAGGATTTTTAGAGATGATGGTAATTGCCGTTTATGTGTCTGTAAAAGTAGAATACTTAAATAGTTTATAACTTCCTTAATGTTTATTTAGAGACAAGCCTAATTAGCTTTATTAAATCATACATTTTCCCTCTTCCATGTCTTAACATGCCATTAGAAATGGATCACAGGATCTCCCATGGATTGTAGGGATGGGAGTCATTTCATTCATTCTATTTCATTGTCTATCGTGTCTTTATAAAAAATACCCTAATACTCCATATTTTATAACTTCTTAGATATGTATTTATGTTGTTCTATATATTTCCTCATAATCCAATACCATGTGGTGTTTTTTTTGCCATCTCTAACTTACCGTAGATGTTAAGAGATGTGGGTAATAGCAGTTAATGTCTCTATAAAAAAGAAACATATATCTTTTTTATGCCTTTCTTAGTATTTATTTTAAGACAGAGCTAATAAGCATTAAAAAATCTAAATTTTCCCTCTTAAATCAAAACATAATGTACTTTAAGTATTGCACATGGCCTCATGCCTTTCCATCTCTATCTATAGATCACAATGGATTCTTTAGGATGGGTGTAATATATGCGTTGTCCATCAAGTCTATTTAAAAGACAATAATTTCTCTTTTTTTTTAAACCTTTTTAAAGTATTTATTTTAATTGAGCTAATAGCCATTTAAAAATTCCACATTATCTCTCATAAATCCACACCATGTGGCCACATGTTTTGCCATCTCTAGCCAGCAAATGTGTGCCACAGTTGGGGCAACGTATCACACTCGAGAAATCAACAAGACAAATTATCGAAAGTGTAATGTCACACTGCAGATACGCCCTTCTTTTTACAGAAAAACTTCCAGCATGGCTCGGCATGTGGGCAACAATCTCGATCGGGAATTGGAGAAAGATTGCCTTTCTGGCCCGACATCATATCTCGGTGTCGTTCTCGTTCTGGTTCTGTTGCTGGTGCTTTCTGAACGTGTTGGATGCATTTGCATGCATAAGCACATGACGTGCTCCACATTCGTGTGACATTTGCGAAAGTGTTACACGCAACAGCAACAACAGAAAGGGTGTCCAAAAAAAATTACAAAAAATGAAACGAAATGAGGCTGCAACAGCCTTTCTGGCTTTGCAGTTTGGCGCAGTGGGTGCCACTAGGAAATTAGGGCAAAAGTGCAGCTGCAACCGAGGCTGCTGCTGACCATGATGGGATTACCAGGGGAGCCGAGCGATAAATGTCGTTAGAGCCGGACTAATTGAATGGCCTAGGAGCTAAGGAAGATGTATGTATGAAATTATCTCTCTGGCCAACCACAAACCTCCAGGAATTTAACAAAATATGCAATTTAAATAACCACACATTGCCGAACTGCTGAAGCAGACAGTCCCCTGGAGAGGAATGGCGGATATTTGATTTGAATACCTTGAGTTCTAACAGACTTTCTGCTGGAAAACGGAAATTTCCCCCAAACATCCGACTTGAGTATTTAATTTCCTACTCGGGGCTGCAGTCTGAGCTCCTGCCGGCTGCCACTGATGTCATTTTGTGTATGCATGCGGGGGTGGCAGCCAGACAGCCAGAGAGCCAGCCATCCAGGTAACATAACATAACACCACACACCATAAATAGAAAACAGCCACAAAGGCTTGACAACGCGACAAAGTTGCCTCGTCAGGGATCTCCGCCTCCTCCTTGGAGCAAACACCCCCGAGGGATATATATCAGGCACATCCTGGAACACTCGAAGCCACCCCCAAGCAGAAGCAGAAATTATGAATGAAACAAGAGATAGGAAGCGAAGGGAACTCACTGGTGGAAGAACTCAAACGACCACGAGGTGCTCTATCAGAGAAATAAATATTGTGCCTCTGTCTTTAATGTTTTGTTTAAAACTCCATCTTTTAGTTTCGAAAACCTCATCTCATTAGCCTCGATAGTAGCCGCTGCAGACACAAAGTTTGTCACAAAGTTATAATGCCCTCATTAGGCCCAGGGAAAATGCAAGGACACTGCCGGCTGGGACTCAATGGCTGCTCTTAGGGGCGGACTGCGGCATTCTTCCGTTTCTCAACCAGCCGAGGCGGCTTGAAAACTTCAAATGCAACAATGCAGCTCAGTTTTAAAAGATTAAAAACAAGAGAGTTGTCTGTGGGCAGCAGGACACTCGGATGCAGTCCGGGGGCATGAAACTTTTTAGCACTTTTATTGCTGCCACTGCTACACTACAGTGGCACTACAGAGAACACAGAACAGACAACACTTGCAATCAGACGGGAGACAAGAACAAATTGTCAGGTTGTTGACGAGTCTAGCTGATGTTGCAGCTACCACTGCAACAGCAACTGCAACTGCAGAAGCTGTCTGAATGCAGACATAAACAACAATTTAGGGGAATACAATAAACAGCAGTCGGGAGCAGGCCATAAAGCAGGCCTCTGACTCTGTAGCCTAAACGGGGGCACTCGGGGTCATAAAATCTACGCATTTTTGCAATATTGTTCTTTGGGTAAAATTCTTTATGGCCTCTGCGTTCTTGAGTCTAGACCTATTTCCTCCAAGCGAGCCAACGATGGCCCCTCCAACTATTTACGCATCTTTCTGGCTGCACTTGAACGAAATTAAACTACTCATTTAAGTTGTGATTACCCCGAGGCAGGGCCTGAAGTGGCCGGCGGGCAGAGAGTGCTTATCAACACCAGCAGTGGCGGGGTGTCGGGTGCCAGAGACTCTGGGTGCTCCGGGAGTGCTAGTTTAAACAAATATTTTATAGAGCATACACGTTGGCACCCAGCACAAGCATCCGATGACGCTCCCTCTTCAGAAGCAGCACCAGCACCAGCTGTGGGTTAATGCCGGCATTATAGCTTCTATATACATACATACATATACATATATGTACTGTATGTACAGGCTTGACATAGTTTCGAGCGGACGCTTAACGCCGAGTTATCTAAAACACAAACACCGGCACACCGGCACACAGGTAAAAAACAAACACTGGCACTCGGCTGAAGTTGATTTATGCAACAGCTTGCCAAGGCAACTGATTTTACACTGAGAGAGGTTAAAGGTTCTTGGGAAACTTGGAAAAAGATTTAGAACTCTTTCTGGTGGGGAGCTCTCTATATGGGATTTCCGATAAAAAATAGACCCGACACATGGCCATTCCTGGTAGTTTATCTGAATATTTAGGCACATTTTTAAAAACAAACACCACTTATCAGAAAGCTAGCCTTTTTAAGAAAACAGCTACGATTAAACTCCACAAACGGAAATAAGATTGCGAATAAAAATGGCCCTTAAAGCCTTCCTTTTTTGTGGTTGGAGGTGCTGTTCTCATTCGCTTCCCAGTAGCCACCACTGACGGATCGCACCACCAGCCAGCCACCATTCAAGGATAATTAAACCGCCATGATCAGAAACTGGAGGATGTTCCTTTGCCTATTGGCCGCCTTGGGAGCCCTGATCCTAGAAGTCGAAGGGAGTCCTTACATAGATCCTACTTCAAGCACGAGTCCCTTCAGTTCAGAGGAAGAGCTTCAAACTGAGAGGCGTAGGTTTCTGAGATAAGGTCTTAAGACCTGATATTTTAATTTAAAAAATTTTAATCTTAGAAACTACCACCAACTTAGAAGATCAACCAGTAGACGAACCGTACGTACAGATGAGGATTGCCGACTGCCTCGATGACGCTGACCAATTATTTGTTGAGAATGAAGTTGAGCAGAAATTGAATTGCCAAGCTAGGATACCCGACGCCATTGCCATCTGCGACGAGATATTTGAGAAGCACAAAGTCTGTTTTAGCCGCCCCATGAAGCCCATTTACCGCGCACTAATCCTAGTTGTTAAGTCCCACTATAGAACAGCCTGTTTAACGATCAGGGAACAAGAGAAGACCCAAGCAGAGTTTAATAGGCAGTTCATCGATGATGCCGACACGATGAAAGCTTTGTTTGCTTTATCTCTTTACGATTCACAATCACAACGCGAAGAGCTCCAATGATGAATCAGTATCTTTCTAAAAGGAAATGTTACAGATCTTATAGATCGGTTAATCTTATCGACAGTATAGAAAAATCGGTATTTCTATAACACTTTAGTAGGACACTTTTAATAACATGCTCCCACCATATAAATTATATACCCGCTACTCATCTCCTCCACCCACAATTTAATTAACCATTAAAGTTTAAACGGTATGGTTTCTATAACTAGTATATAACTCTACAAAGTTTAAACGGTATGGTTTCTATAACTAGTATATAACTCTACAAAGTCTATAGCTATTACTCCTCTAAAAATTATCTGATTTAGCTGAAATTTGACTTGTAGGTGTACATTAGCCAGTTTGGCATTAAAACACTTTCCAAAAAAATTAACTTTTAAAACTAATTAAATTAGTTTGTAAAGAAAATTGTAGATATACATATGGTTATTTCTTTTCTAAAAATCAGCCGATTTAGATCAAATTTGTTTTTCGGATATACATATGTATATTAACTATAGAAATTCGAATTTACACGATTTTTGCGATTTTTGGGGACGGGATGGGGCGTGGCATAATTTTATAACCAACTTGAACTACGAGGGCATTATAGAAGCGCTATCCCCTGTACTCTACGAGTGCCGGGTATAACGAGAAAGGAGCCAAAGTTGATATACCCTTTAGCGAAAACAGGATAAATATAGCAAACATCGGATATAGTTGGCCGATCTTTATGAATCTAAAAAAAAAATTCCAAGCTTCTACATTTCTTCAAAAATACCATTTTCGACCTATCAGGCAGTTATAGGATATAGCCGATCCGATATATTTTGCCAAAAATAACACTTTTGTAAAATCCGAACTCTCTAACTCTTAAAACACTAAAGTTATAGCATCCCGGCCTGATACTGGCCGTTCCGACTTATATACTGTGTGCAAAGGAAATTATGGAGGGTCGGAGATGTCTCCGTTGTCTGCGTTGTACACTTTTGGACAAAATTATAATACCCTCTGCAGGGGTATAAAGAGTTAGACCAGGCAATCAACAGGGTCGAAAGTTTCCTGGCTTTACCTTTTCATCAGATATTCAAGACCTCAAAGTACGAATTATTTTGTAACTCCTGACTTGTCTGTAATTGAAAACTATTCTATATCTGTATCAACATTATATACTTTTCTTATTAAAAATTACTAGTTCCTGATCATAAAAATCGTCTATTTTTTCTGCCAGTACCTAACGCGTGCCGTAATTTTATAACCTCAAGTCCTTTACACCTACATATTCTGATGAAAAATGGTGTGTGTGCGGCTCTCCACCTTGTATGAGCAGCGCGAAATTGCATTTCATCCCACAACTGGGCCAGAAAGGATGAGGATATGCTTCTGCTTCGAAGCTCCAATGGAATTTCATGAAATTTTCAGCAGCATTTCAGGCCAAAGATGCAGCCTGCACTCAAGTGCAAGAAACCAAACCGACAACGGGCTTCCCTCGATCCCCATGAGCTCCATTACTTCATTAATGACCGAAAGGGCCCCACACAAGCAAGCCCAGAATGCAAGCAAAAAAAATGAAACCCAAAGAACAAAAATATAATCCGCATAATGTCATGGTGGGGAGGCGCTTAACCTTCTCGCCTTTCTTTGCCGTATAATTAGTCATGAAATCGGAGACCCGAGACGTGCCGAGGGTTCGTCTAGGCGACATTGAAGGGTTGCCCCAGCCCAGACCCATTTTCCGATCCGCTTGGCTACTTGTCGCGTGTGTCATCCGAGGGGCTCTCGCACCCAGCATGTGGCCAGGTGATTCGAAACACGTTTCCACATTATGGAACAAAAGGCCCAAGAAATGCACTGCCGCTGGGGAATGCGACGAGATGGGCCTCCATTGGCAATGCATCGATGGGTTGGCTGGCAGGCGGGGAGCCAGAGCCGGACTTGACTTGCGTATGGCGCAAGCCTGAAATCCATCCAGCAGAGAAAACAAAGAAACCTCAGCCCCACAGAGAAGGCACATAATTAAACCTAAAGCCCCCTATAGAATTGATAGGAACTAAGATTACATTTATTTATTCCAAAGATCTTAAATCTAAAGTATCTTACGACTAAAGTTGGCCTGCAAAAGTGACTCAAGAACATGCATAAAAATATATTGCCAGTCCGGGTCGGTTTCTACCATAAAACTACTACCAGAAACTAGGCCTAGCTCGGCTGATGGGCGGGGATTAGCGGCCAGCAAGTGCCGAAAAACAAGTTTCGGACTCCACTTCAAGAACTGGAGCAAGCAGCTCGAGTGTCCGCTCCAGCATCAGGTTTTTTCAGTTTTTTTTGTGAATTTTCTTGAATTAGACACAGCTGGCAAAGGAGAGACTATTTCGCGTTCGAAATTGGATGGGAGCTGGGCCATGGAATTGGCAGACAGAAAGATAAAGGCTCCTCCGAAAACGGAACAAGTTCAAAATCGCCCACAGGCCTGTGACACAAAGTTGGCACTCTCAACTGGGAAAACTGGGAAAACCCATTTCCATTTCCAGTTCGGTCTTTTTTTTTCTACTCGGCTCACCTTTGATTCGGACAGAGTTGGTTATCGTGGCCTGAAACGAAAGAGAGATACGGGAAAGGGTCAATTATATCAGAAGTTCATGTAAATACGATATATATTATATATACTTATAGCTAGACTCTTTCCCATGAACACATCCGCATCGCGGGAGCTTATCAGAGCAAACACGGGAAACAAATAAAAAAAAAAAAATAATTGTAATAATAACTCGCAACCAGTTAAATATCAACAAGAGAGTGATTATAAAGGGGGGTCTGTTGGGTGAAAATATTATTTAACCATCCGCTTTAGGTAATATAATAAATATCATAAATAATATAGGTATTTTTGGGCATATATTTAATTGCATTACCCCCTTTAGACTCCCCCAAACTAATGGGTAATCAAAAAAAGACGCCACTGGCAGCGACGCGGCGCAAATATTGATTTTTATGTTTGTGTGTATCCGAGTGTATATTTCTCGTATTTATAACCCAGCAGAAACTTCATTTTTATATGTATGTACATGCATACATCATACATCACACCAGATACATCAGATACATATATCATCAGAAGAATATGAGTAAAAACAAAAGGCGGAAAGCAAAACAAACCGCACAGACCCAGACCCTGGCTAGGTGGGTCTTAACGTATTTCAAACACGTTGGCCCACAATCGCCGGGCCAGGCGACAAACGGCCAAGAAGACGCGTTAAAACAAAGCCAAAAAAGAATTCCAGCATATTTGTTCTGTATTTTACGATACGCCCAGGGAACAGCAGAGCGGGCTGCGCGAGAGAACAGATTCCGGGTGGTACGCCCCCTTTCGGGCAATCACATTTTCAGGGCGACTACCCCTACGAGGTAGTGATGGCAGGCCAAATAAAAGCAAAGAATGATTAATTTTCTAGGCGAAGAAAAATAAAGTCATATGAAGGGGATTTATTCATTTATTCAGTTTATTCATTAATAAATTCTATAACCAAAATTGAAGAGATCTTCGCGAGAAAATCTTGAAGATATTGTTTTTTATTCAATGAAAATATTGGATAAAGTCCTAAATAAAATTCACACAATATATAATTTTCTAGGTTTAAAAAAGTTAATATACTGAGTTTTTTTTTCATAAATGCATTTTTTAAATAAAATTAAAGAAATCATTGGATAAATATTCTTGAATATATTGGATATTATATCAGAAAAAATTATTTAAATTTCTAGGTGTAGAAAAATAAAGTAATGGAGTTTTTGTATTCAAAAATACTGTTTTTAACTAAAATTAAAGAGACTATTAGTAACATCTTCAAAAAAAAAAAATGGGTACAATTAAAACAAGAAGTAAACATTTTCAAATTTTTTAGTTTTAGACAATAAGTTTCAGAAATAATAAATGTCTTAACTAAAATAATAAAAATCAAATACAGACCCAAATTTTGAAACAAAAAGCAATCATAATTTAATTTTCTAGTTGTAAAAATAAATATCATGATTTAAAAAAAAAATTTTTTTTTTATAAAACTAATGATATATTAGTGATTATATGTAGTTATTAGTTAGTATATACATACAATATATAATAAATTGTATATATACCATCCTTTAATCACTAGCAATTCACATATATCATTAAGTTAGTCTAGTTCTGTAAACTTTTTTTATCTTTTATAATAATTATAATAATAATAAAAATTTTTAATAAATTATCTTCCACCAAAAAAAGCCCGTTTCTCATCACTACAAAGGGCTGCTAAGATTTCCTTTGTCAGCTCCCCTCGTTCGGATCCTTTTCGATGGCGAAACGCTCACGTGACCTGCTTACCAAGTCACAGCAAAGGCGTCTCAGGATGTGCCTGGCGGCCCTTTCCTCTTCTGGTCAGGGGTATTTTTAGCGCGAGGGGCTTGTGATTGTGACCCTAACAAAGCGACCCTAGCTCGTGTCGTTGGGGAAGCAGATGTATCACTTTCGGTTTCCGCCAACCAGCCAACCAGCCAGTCAGCTGGGCCTTTCTCTCAACTGGCTTGTTCCTAGCAGCTGTCCCTCATTTTCAACATTTTTCTCTCAGTATTTACATTTTTTAAGAGGGTACGCCCTAAATAGAAGCATTGTGCAGGCATGTTACTCATAAACAATGATATATAGCTTCGATAAATACATTAATGCTACCTTTTAATTCCCTAGTTGTTTATAGACATTTTTATATAATTATACAGGTAATAGTTATCAGTGAAATTAATTACGCCACCATAAACCAAGTAATTTTAATCGAAAGTAAGAACCAAATTAATCAAAGTGGACCTCAAGTGCTTCAGATAGGAGGCCTTAAGTGGCGGCTATATAGAGAAATATTGCCTTACAGCACTGCGAAAAATAACATGTTACGCACTGCAGGGATTTATGTAATTATATCATGATATAATTTTCTTTATTGATAAGATATATCAACAAAGTCTTTTTTTATAGATATTTTCTTTTTGATGTAACACACAACGGGGAAAATAATTAAACCTGAATATATGAAAAAAGTAGTTCTGTTAAAAAAACAGCTCCAACACGAATCTAGCCCAACCCCAACCTCAACCCCAAAAACAAACCGAATTTCAACGAAAGCAACATGTTTCGGACGCCGACAAAAAATGCAATTTATGTGGCACGGTGGCAACAAACGGCAGCAAAAGCAGCACCATCAAGTCGAACATGCAACACGGACATGTGAAAATTTTTGGGGCGGCACAGCTGCCTCGTGTACTCGTGTACTCGTGTACATTCGATGCAAATGTGGGAAAATATTTTCCGATAGGGCACGAAAGAATGAGGTATTTGAAAATGATCCTCGCTGGAGAAATAAATTGCAATTTGTGGCAAGTATTTGAGAAATCCAAGCCAAATAGTTGTTGGAGGGGTGGTGGATGCCACTGACTGTTTGCTGAGCAAACACACATTCGATTTGAGGCAATCTTGAGCTTTATTGATGCCCCCAATGGGTTAATTGCTGGGGCGGCAAGGAGCCGGAATCTGAGTGGCCCTTAGCCCCTACCTCCCACATTAGCTGTCACAGCTCGTGGCAATCCTCCATATTGATTTAAAAATCTATGTCAACTTGATTATAGCTGCGTCACGTAGCCACTGCACTAACTAAAAAAAAATGACAAAAAACGAACCTGCAACAATAATCAGCAAAGTGCATTGCATTGAAGAAGCGTTTGGGGAGCTTCGAGTCAATTCATTTCATTTGAGATGAGTTGGGCCTCGGCTTTCGGCTTCCTCCCCTGCTCTCGAGTGCAGGCCCACTCCAGAAACAATTCCCAACTGCAAGGCACTCGAGACAAAGCCCCGGCGCAGTGCAGCACTAAATGGCGAGTGGAGAGTGGAGAGGGAGAGGGCGGCGGACTATCGAGGGCTTGGATTATTTTCCTCCAAACTGGAAACGAGAACGAAACTCTGCTTTCGGCCCAGTCCCAGCGTGACATCTTTTTGTGGCTCTTCCAGGGAAGCATCTCAAGTCAGTTTCAAAATTAAAGTCTTCATAAAAGATGGAGCAGCAAGTATTAATGTTAAATCAAGTGGATGATGGTTGGTCTAGGGCGGAGACTTGCAAAATTCGATATTTGTGAGGCAAAGGCGATGGGCTGTGCAATAGAGTATGCTTCTTATCGATATTCCGGAAAAGACTTGACATCGGTCTGATGTTTTAAAAAGCAATGGATCGATATATCTGCTTCTTATCGATATTTCGGACAAGACTTAAAATCGATACGATATTTTAGGCAGCATATATTGATATTGATGCATCAATAATATTGATTCAATATAGCGTGTTTCTTATCGATATTCCGGAAAAGACATGACATCGATACGATGATTTAACTAGCAACCTCAATATCGATGAAGCGATATAGCATGCTTCTTAACGATATTCATAGCATGCTTCTTAACGACCTTGTATCGATACGATGTTTTAAACAGCAATGTATTGATGTATTGCTCAGTATTTAGCTTTTGCTACTAGGGGGGAAAAGGGTCAAAACAACGCCTTTTTTATTTTTTTCAATATAACCTTTTTAAGGCAAAAATAGGTTTTTCTATTTTCCAATAGACGATCCTCCTTCAAGCCGTCTGTTGGTAAGAAATTATTATTGTTATATCGTAACTATAATCTTAAACAGTAAAAACCCATTTTTCTTAGCTTAATAACATTTTCTGAAACAATAAACCTTCTGATTTACTTTTAAATACATCTTTTATGTCACGTGGTGAATTTTTCCCGATGTATCGATTGTTTGTTTTATTCAATCAATCGAATATAAATCAATAAATGTACTATCGTACCAGTGTTCGAAAAATTCGATGTTTTCAAAGCTCCAGCTTCTCCCAACACCCTAAACACGGGTTTGAATCCTTCCGAACAATCTATAATAGAAATAATATATATATCCACAATATAATATGAATTCTATATTATAGATTTTTTCTTTAGGTATAAAATAGTAATAGTAGTAATAGCATAAAATAAATTTGCCATTTTTTATTCTTTTTACGTCGTTCTGTTGAAGGTTATTGCTATTTTATAACTATTATTAGTTTATAAAGTCGGAGATTATTTCATTAATGCCTTGCCAACAGCTGCAAAATATCAACATACTCTTCCAAGACTATAAGAACCAAATCCCATCAAACAAAGGAACTCCATCTAAGCGTTGCAATAAAAACTAACAAAAAAACAAATCTTTTTTCTTTTGTCTGAAGATTTATTTTTTCCAAAGCAGAAGTAGTACTTTGTCCCACTCCTCTACTGCCTAGAGAGTCTAACTCCCTTGTAGTCTCACTTTTCTATATAACTTTTCGCCCCCGAACTTCTCCAAGGCCTCCCCCCGAAAGAGCATTCTTTCAGGCTGAGACCGAAACGTTCATGTCGCGCGTGTTTCGCTGATGAGCTGCATCACATTCGTCACGTATTTGTCACGAGGAATTCACGTGTTGAAATAAATGGTCTAGAGCATGGGTTTGACATTTAAATAAACAGAAAACTATACAAATTATTCTATTTGTAATAACAAAGTTGAATGCAAGCGACTTGTAAGGTTATAATCTTTTTAGGGCCATACTTTCCAAAGTGCTAATCTGGGCAATGGTTTATTTAATCTGAAATTATAGCAACTGGCTATCTTAGTTTCTGAATGGCAAGATATTACTACTAATCTCCTCACATGACCACATTTGCACATTTGTCTTACTTGAGATTCCTGCCAGCTGTGACTAATTGCAAATATTACAGCCTCACCATACGAGTACAGGGGCATCTTCAACTATGTCACTTCCTGTCCTGAAAGTATCTGGCTAATGTCCTCAGTTTATGAAGAAACTAGAGAGTGAGCTGGAAGTTAAACTTTTTAATTTCATTTTTCAGGTTTGGAAAGCGTGCGAGTGTGTGTTTGTCTAAGACTTACCCCGGCCCAGCAATGTGAAGTTGTCAAGTTGTGCAATGTATTTGGGGAATTCCCCAGGAAAGCTACATAGCTTGGAAAAGGGTTGAAAGTATCTCGGGCATTTGCTTTATTCGCTGTCATCCCGAAAATGCCTTTGCCACTACATCTCTGAGAGTTCTACACTTAAAGAAAAAAAGCTAAACTATACTCCTGGTACTATACTGACTTTATGGATTTCTTGCAGTGCCTCTGGGTTGGGGTATGCAGAGGGAATAGCATCTCCCAAGACAGTTATTGCGGCAACAGCTTTGGCTGTTCCACTTTCGTGTTTGTATTTATCTGGTTGGTGGCTCGAAGGGACTTCCTGCCACCAACCGGGGCGCATCCTGTGCTCCAGCTCCTTCGAATTCACACCTTGTACTAGGCAGTGTCTGCTCTCCGCCGATTCGGGTTCAACGGCCCGAAACTTCATTTGAATATTAGCCTGTGGACTTTGAATCGATTTGCCATTTCGGTGGCTTGTCAGGCCCCATAGCCAAGTTGCCACAAATCCAATATGAGCGCAACAGTCTTAGTTTTCTATCTATTGGCTGTAGTTCCCTCCAAGTTCCTGCCGCCCAACTTTGACTCGATTTTCTTGTTTATTTTCCCATAATGCCAGTCGGGAGCCGAGAGTTGGGGCAAGTTTTAGTAGAGAGTGGTATTTATTTTCAAAAATTGCGGAGGATGAGGACGAGGAGGCCAGCAGAGCTCTCCGCCTCATAAACTTTTATTGTTCTGATCCTTGTAATTAAAAAGTTTTCATTAAGTCGCCTGGCAGAGCTCTTATTTAAGTGTCATCCCATAAGTTTGGATGGCTAAGTTGAGCCCTAAAACTGGGTCGTACTTGGGCATGCAAGTGCAGGCAGATGAGGGCTCTTCCAAGGACTCTCTATAGACTGGAATACCTTTGGCAGTAAAATCCATACCGGAATTAGTGCGTTGTGGTTTCCAAAACACAGCCATAAATGGCATTCAAGAGAACGATTTATTTTTCGGGTGAATGCATCCACAAAGGAATACCTCGCTCGGAAGGAGAAAAAACTCAATTTATGAAGCAAATAGCCAGCTGGGCAGCTGCCGATTGGAATGCGAGAAATGCTGGCAATACCTGCGACTGCATTGGCTTTGTTTTTGTGCCGCTAATTGGAGTAGCAGGGGCAGGCTTGCGGACAAACTTTCTGCCGCCGAGTGCCGCCCATAAAGGCAGCTTTATGAAAATCGATAAAATCGAAAACTAGCCAGCCATGCCAGCACGGCAACAGAAGCAACAACCAACCACCAGTCGAACATTTCACCAAATACCCTTCAAAAACCAACCATTATTAAGCTTTCTTCCAAAAAGATACAAGATACAAGAGTATCTTGTATCTGAAAACAGAGCTACCTCTTCGAAAGAGTACTCTGCAGGCCGGAAGTGTGTGCGGCGGTTCGTGGTTTTTGGAATAAAAACAGGAGCACGCGTCATCGTCGCCGACTCTCAATGGCAAGGGAACCAGGACGAGAGGCAGGACTCGGACGGCAGGAAGGTGAGGGTCCTGCAAAGGATGAATGGAAAACCGGAACAAAGCTCGCCGAGTGCGAGAGCGAAACAACCACCGGCCCACGAATGCCAAAGTTGGCGGTGGTTTATGGAATGAAACAATGTTTTGTTGCCCAGCGGATGTATACTGAGGGTGAGAGCGGGGATGGGGGGGAGTTGCAGGACTAAAGTGGCGAAAGGGACAGAAAGCCCGGGAGAGAGAGAGAGCGAGAGAGATGCTGAAGAGGACAAACAATGCAAATATTTGTGGAGAGACTGCATTGAGAGAAAAAAACCCATCATTTTATGAAATTATCTGCAGGATTGGGTCCTGAAGCTGCATAGTCCTGCGGATTTTTTTCGACTGCCTTCCGACAATCCATTTCTGAATTTCCACGTTGATTTCGCTCGATGGTGGCTGGCAGGCAGGCTGGAGTGTTTTATAGCCAACGACCTGTGCTAATCCCATAAATCTAATTGGCCCCGGGCCTCGCCGCTCGCTCCACTCCCGACCCGACCAGCTTCTGGGTTAGCCGGTCACACACGGGCCGAAATGGCAAAATAGCAGGCAACATCCTCCGCCGTAGACCAGTGTCCATGTCCAGTTGGCAGTGCCCCCTCCCCCTCCCGGCAATTTAACCCGAAGCTTGACCATTAAATGTGACTGCAAACTTTTCTTTCGCAGGCTCGCAGGCGAACTTAACGACATAAATTAGAACTTCAGCCAGCAGCTCCACCTCTGCCCAGTGCCCCCTCAGGTGGTGCAGGTCCAATGAAGAGCCACCAAATAAAAACCATTGCAAAGTGCAATGTTGTGCCAGAAGCGGCAGCAACTTTGTTTTTAGCAGCCCTTAGTCCTGCCTGAATTGTCGCCTGAAAACAAAGATGGCAGAAATATGTTTGGGATGGTCTTTCATGGATACCCTACAGTTAAACAAAAAAAATATGTTTTTAATATAAGGTTCTAAAGTTTTTCTTTTTTGTGACAAGGTTCATCCTTGGCACTCGTATGTACTGTTACAATGTAAAGGCTTTTAGCGATGGGCACTGTTGCAGTGTTAGGTTTAGCACGATATATCGATAAAGGCTTAGAGGCAATGGTATCGAGATCTGCCCGTCGCTGTCGGTTGAAATAAAAACAGTTATGGTTATGTTATAAATTTTCCATTGTGGTGATAATTTATATTAAAATATCAAAAATAGATGCAAAAAAGAGTTTAAATTCAAGTTTTATCAAATTTATGCCGATGGTATCGGCAACTGCCCAATAGTATCAGTGGAAATAAGAAACACTTATGGTAATGTTTTAAAATTAAAATTTTCCCTTTGTGGGGAGTAAATAAATATGTACATATATACTGTAAGACGAAAATATTCATAAGATACAGTAATAATACCAATTGTGAATACTTTTAGCGATGAGAAATCTTGCTCGATTTATCGATAAAAGGTTTAACCATCGCAACCATCGATCGAAATATGACCATCGCCATCAATAGAAATAAAAAAAAAAAGAGTCCTGATGTTTCCTTGTTTTATTAAACGCGATGTATCGATAAAACCTTCAACCATCGCCTCCAATATCGACATCTGCCCATCGCCATAAATTTATTTATGGCATAAAACAACAGTTCTGGTAAGACCGTAAAATAGAGTACACCAAACCTATTTCTTATTTTCTTGAATAAAACCTTTTAGAAACAGAAACTTTAAATTGGCATAACAACTTTGAACTTTTACGGCAAAAAGTTGGCCAGCCATGATGGGGGCGTGCTGGCCCGTAAGGTCAACGGCAGCCATTAAGTGGATTGATGTCCGAACAACTGACCTGGGCTCTGGGAACTGTGTCAATCGAGACAGTAAACTGACAGAAAGCAGGTTGCCCCCACTCCCAGACATAAATTCCGATTCCCATTGAAATTCTTAGCAAAAATCTATAACTTTGGGTTCTTTGGAGCCGAAATTCCGAAATGAAGGTGGACGTGCAGGCGCTCTATGAGCACTGGATGCCCAAGTACCTCCAGGTGCAACCCGCCAAGATCAGGATAACGATACTATACCGCTTCATGCTGGCGAGTGTCCTCTGCTTTGTGCTGGACTACCAGCTGCTGGCCATGTTCCTCTGCCTCAATCTCTTTGAAGCGCGAAGACCAAGTAGTTCCCTGGGCGGGATCTTCCTGTGGACCTTCTTCTCGGTGTACACCTCTGTGATAATGCTGATCATACGAGCCGGGACGGCAGGATATGGCTGGCTACTCTGCAACATACACTACTCGGATCCAATCCTCTACCGGAATCGAAGAGATCGGTTCGCCGACGAGTGGCCGCTGCTCTTCAGGATACTGTCAACGCTGCTCTTCATAACCGCCATGACCAGCATCCTGTTTTCCTCCTTTGTGGACACGAAGGAGACCGGATACCTCCTCACCTGTGGCCTCCTCTGCGGCATAACCCATTTTGTGACCAATTTCGAGAAGACCTTTGAGAGATTCCCAATGCCTATACTGCAAATAAAGTTCCACGAGGCCCTCATCAACCTTTGGTGGCGCACCCTGAAGAGGTCCGGCCGGGAGGCCTTCTACCAGACGCTCCGATTTTCCCCGATCTACTGGTATTGGACGGGACGTCTGGGCAACACCATCACCCAGCCGGGACTCCACCTCCAGTGCTGGCTGCTGTCGACCCTGATCCTGACCAAACTCCATATGGTTAGGAGACTCTATGGCCTGGTAATGCAGCGTCCCCTGCCGCTGATAATCGACTCCCCGGAGCTGCACGAGAACCCCAAGACATGCCTCTTCAACATAATTGTGGGTCGTGTGATGCACTTTTACTCCACGATGCAGATGGTGCCCCTTCCAAGGGATCTGCAGGTCAACAACCTGATGCTGCCGATCGAAATGGTCCTCAGTGCCGGCAGAATACACGGCTTCCGGCTCCTGGCCACCCGGGAGTTCTACGCCGCCATGTCGGGGAAGTTATGCAACAAACTATTCGTCCTGAAAGACATGAAGAACATTCATTCCAACTGGGCGGAGCTGCGCGACCTCTTGATCAGTGACATCGAGGAGTTCGTGCAGCGGCTCCAGAACTGCACCCAGAAGTTCCACCCAAAGAATAGGACCGTCAATGTCAAGACTCCCAAGGCCGGACTGCGTCCCCTCATGCTGCCATCTCCGAAGAAACTCCCAGTATGGCGCAATGCCTGCCACCAGTTCTCGAGACCCGTCGAATGGTACTTCCTGAAGTGGTTGAATGTCCTAGGACTCTTCTTGGTCAACAAACTCATTGGATTGAAGCGCCACCTGCTAGAACAGCTTCCAGCAAGCGAGCATTTACATCGGTACTTTTACGAGGAGGACGTCCTGGCCGAGCTCAACCACGAGCTGCGGTGCGGCGAGCCCATGGTTTGGATGCTCCAGGGCCTGGTTAGTGTCTTTATGAGGTCTATTAAGGAGGATCGGTATGGTATCGTCCAGAACGACCTGCCCCTCGTCTTCGAGACCCTTCACAAGGTGGAGGACCAGTTGAATTCCGCCACCTTACTAATCCACAAGCACAGGTGTAATTGCCTGAAGACATCCCCGAGCCACGAGCTCCTGTTGACGGCCATCAGGCGCTGCCAGTGCAGAATGCTGACGACCTTTGGCCCCCACTTGGACTTTATTCTGGGACGGTGCGATTTGAAAAGAGCCCTGGAGGAGAGGATGGAACTCATTTACTAATTTTATGCTTTATGTTTCTGTTTCTGTTATTTATTTGGTTTCTTTTCTGTTCTATTACAAAATTTTATAATTGGCTCTATAGATGTTTTTATTTTGGTTGCATTCCTAAGGGGGTAATAAGGTTTTAAAGATCTTTTTATTTGAAAAGAATTTTTGGTCTAATTTCCAAGTCATTTGGGATAAGTTGTCATTATTTTTTCACTTATTTAAAGTTTTTTTTTATATTAAGGTTTTAAAATATTTTCTCCACCATTCGGGTTTTTAAAGACAGTGCCCATCATAACTCTAAAACTACTATACAGATTGTTTTTAAATTTTTTGGACAATTTCTGAATATAATTTAGCAGATAACGGGTAAAGGGATTAAGTCTAAAATTTTAATTTATATTTAGTGATAATAATATCAAATATAAACAGTTTTTTCTGCAGAAGTTGGCTAATTATACAGTAGAAGTTGAAGAATTAACATTTCCAATAAACCTCCCAGCATTTTTTGGAAAATCGACTAGTAAACGATTTAATATTTTGGGCCCCCCAATCAACCTTATTTTTAAAAACGCATTTTTTTATATTTTTAAAGAATTAAAATAGTATGTATTTTAATTTAAAATTTGTATTTGCATTTAAAAATACACTATAAAATTATAACATAAAATGGCATCCATTTCAATAAATAGATTAGCAGATTATTATCAGAACAACTAAAAAATATTCCTTTTTTTTCATAAGAAATAATCTATCTCCCCCCTAGACAAGTAAAAGCATTCAAGTACGTGCATGTTCAAGGAACAATTTAAGAGCCAGCGGGCAGCAACAGAAAAATAGATCGGAACCGGGAGCGGGACCGGGACTGGGACTGAGAGGAGCCATCTGATTGTCTCTCCACTCAAGCAGCAATCTCTACACAACAGATTTTTTGTCACACTTGCCACGCACTTTCCACTCCTCTCCTTTTCGTTGTTTTTTTCTTGCCTATTTTCCCTTCCTTATCAATAAAACGCCGCTCTGTTTTGTGCATTGTTGGCCGCCTAAGTGGACAAATACACCAACACTCGTGCACGCACACGCATGCAGAGGGTACGAATGTACCACAAAGGAAGAGCCAAAAGAGACTGGGGAACAATTGAATTTTCTACTTGTGCTGCTTCTTCTCCTTTGACTACTTTTTTATTTCTTTGGTTTCGTAGTTGTTGTTCTGTGCACCTCCCACGTCTTTTCTGGCTTCGCCCCACCCGCTCCCCCCATTTTGATTGCCTTTGAAAGTGCTTTGTGTGCAAAATAGAAAAGCGAAATACAACAACAACAACGACAACGGCGAGCAAAATAGAGAAATGAAAAGATCTCAACAAGTTTGCCGTTAGTCGAGTTAAGCAGATTTGCTTGTTTGAGCGTTTTGCGATTGCGAGAGAGGGAGGTGGAGTGGGTGGGATATGAGTGGGAGAGAGGGCATAAGCCAAAAAGCATAATTGCCCAGTGCACTCAAATGAATCTCCATTCAAAATACCCCCACTCGCCAATAAGGGTTAAAGAGCAATTGGCCAAAGAAGAAGAAGCAGCAGCCATAAATCTGAAATCTGAAGTACACTGAGCGCCAAAATTAGTAAGTACTAAAAGAAGTACGGTAAACTATTTGTGGTATTAAAAGCGGATGGACTACAAAGATAACAAAAACAACAACAGGAAAGTGAAGAAGAGGTAAACAGACGGCAGCAATGTTAATAGAAATCCCAAGGAGTTACAACCAGGAGGTGTGTGGGGGGAGCAGATAACTCCAGTGGAGCAGATAAGCTACAAAAATAGCAGAGAATCAACAAGAAAAAATTTTGTGGGTTGAACTTCAAAGCACATGGAGCGATGGGGGTGGGAGGAGAGTTAATAAACAAGCCACCAAAAAGTAAATAAATAAATACGGCCCAGCACCGAAAGGCCGAAAATAGCGCAAAGGAAAAAACCAAAAGAGAGCAGAGCCCAGAGCCAAAGGAGAGAAGAGGGCAGCTTCAGCAGCGACCACACCAGCAGCTGCTGCGTCGGCGCCGACGTCACTGTCGCCAGCTGGCGAGCTGATGCTCCATCTCATCTCGTTCTACTCCTACTCCTGCTGTGCTCTGTTGCTGCTTCCTCTTTACAAATTAAAGACAATTACAGCCACAACAACAAGAAATGCTCTTTGACTTTGCCTTTATCAGTACACTGAGAGATCTTATTCATCTGATAAGATGGAAGATTATATTCCAAGTATTTAGAGCCAAACAATTTCAATGAATAATAAAATCCATTTATTAAAATAAAAAAAAAATTACACAATTCTTAAAAAAAACTTTTATTTTTTCTCTCTGCAGAATCAGCAGAATAAATAGAAATGCAGCGGGAGATCGTCTCACTATCTCGCTCTAGCCCGAAGATGCTTTTTTTTTTTGTTAGTTTCATTTATGCTGTGTTTACTTATTTGCCTCCGAGATGCGTTCATTGGCTTCACTTAACGGTTCTTTGTAAGGAGGTGCGAATGACAAGGAGCCAATCCGGTTATCGTCCACGCTCCTCGCACACTTACCTTTTTAATTAGAATAAATCAAAACTTCTGGTGTCGTTCTTTTCTTTTTTTTTCTCTTTAATTTTTGTGTGGTAGTTGTTGCTGTTAATAGCAGTCGAGCAATTTACAGTTACGACCGTAAACGCAGTCGCCGATTTTGTTGCTGTTGTTGGCTTTTATTCACGGTCTGCGGGCCAAATAAAAACAACAAATGAAATAGATTTTTGCCTTTGCTTTGCCCTAAAGTTTGCCGCTAATTGGGAAATATGAATAGGTGGAAGGAGCGAAACAAAGAGAGAAAAAAAAAACTATAATTAAACACGTTCAGAAAAAAAAGCCTTTAATATCCTGCGGGCACAAAAACAAAAAAAAAAGTTGGAAACACGGAAGAAGAAGAGGCAAAAAGTAACAGAAAGTTGCGAGAGGCGTTGGTTAGTGCGAAAGAGACGCAAGGGGAAGTGGAAAGAAAAAAAACAGCAAGAGAGTTGCGCAGGATAACTGTTTTATTATTTTTATATTTTTAATTTTTTAATTAATTTTATTTATGGTGCGGGTCCATTATTTTATTCATTATTGGTGACTCCGCTTTGCCACTTCAATTCGTTTTCAATTTTTCCACTCCGCGTTCGCGAGTGTGTGTGTGTGTGCGAGCGAGAGAGAGGCAGACGGAAGGAGGGAGAGGGAGGGCGAATGCAACTCCGTTTGCTTGGTAACTTCTTTCTCTTTTTGTACGACACACACTCACGAAAACCCGCACACACTCCGGAGTCAGGGGCCGACGCGACTTCTATTTGCAAACTGCACTCACTTTTCATTCAGCTTTTCGCACCGAAATGCCCGGATTTATTCACAAATGTTTTCTATTTTTGTTGGCCAAAAGCCGACAAACGACAACGACAAAACCGACCGACGAAGAATCGCTCCGAGAACGCGTCCGAATCGCAGTGGCGGTGAAAATTTGTGGGCAGTTGGTGGCAGCAGAGTTGCCAGCTGGGCTGTTTTCCCAGCCGTATTGCTGTTGTCAAATTGGCAACAGGGCAACATGAAAGCGATTTTCAACACTGTCAGAAATAAAGCTGCCAGAATTATGAATTCTTGTTGGATGAAATTTTTTACCCATACCACAAACTTTCACTACTATCTAAAATTTTTAAATTCCTTTTAATTGGCCCGGACCTCTTTTTTAATTTACTAGTTCTTTTCATTAAAAATGGTATTTTGATTAGGTGGCAACTTCTTTTTATAAGGTAAATATACCAAAAATATACCAGATATGCCGTGAGTATTCACCGGAGAGTTGCGCACGGTCACTCTGCACTTGGTTTTTTTGCGGCGCGATCCCATTTGTGGTCAGGTTAAGTTTTTAGAATTTGCCGGAGCCCCGCCAACGCCGACTGCGTCTTCAAGGAACCTCTTGGGACGCCAGTGCAAATAAGCAGTTGGAGTTATCGAAAAAAAACACCCATTTGAAGCCGCCTACTACAACTCTACAAAATGCAGTCTCATAGTAAAAAACGCGTTTGCTACTACTACGATAGTAAGTGTTAATAAATTTATTTAAAAAAAATGCCAACTAGATCGGGGAGTTCATCTTAAATGTTTCAAATTGTGTTTTCAAAGCCTCCTTTGTGTTTTTCTCGCAACTCGATGATAGCATTTTTGTGAATTTCAATTTTTAACTATACTGTACGTTGCGCGTTGTCCACAGCGCACTTTGCCGCTGAGCCGCAACGACCGCAGTGCCTGTTTGTGCGTGTGCGTGTATGTACCTGTGTGTCTCTTTTTCCCTCCGCTTTGTCGTTGTTGTACGAGGCGAAAGTACGAACGCTACTTCGGTCGTTCGGGAAAAGTGCTCTCTGAACACAGACGCCGAAACGACTCTCGCCGTAAAATTTTTATTCCGCATAGCGTGGCAAATAATTGTTTTTTCAAGCGAAATCCCCGGTTTTTAATTGCCCCCCAGGTGACATTGGCAACTACTACTATGGCCAGGGACATCCCATGAAGCCACACCGCATACGCATGACCCACAACCTGCTCCTGAACTACGGGCTCTACCGCAAAATGGAGATTTACGTAAGTAGGGTCTCTATTCTATCACCAGAGACTACCCTTGGTCGGGCATTCCTTTCCAGAGAAAGTACACATTCTTCCCCCTTTGGAAGATTTGTTTATTTTCTGTGCCGACTCGAGTGATATTCGATCATGGGGGTACTGTGGGAGCTAATTGGTCAGCTTATTGAAATCCATACCCTCCCCTCCTCCAGCGTCCGCACAAAGCCACCGCCGACGAGATGACCAAGTTCCACTCGGACGAGTACGTCCGGTTCTTGCGCTCCATCCGGCCGGACAACATGACCGAGTACAACAAGCAGATGCAGCGCTTCAACGTGGGAGAAGATTGTCCGGTCTTCGACGGTCTGTACGAGTTCTGCCAGCTGTCCGCCGGAGGATCTGTGGCGGCGGCCGTCAAGCTGAACAAGCAGGCCTCGGAGATCTGCATCAACTGGGGCGGCGGCCTCCATCACGCCAAGAAGTCGGAGGCCTCCGGCTTCTGCTATGTGAACGATATTGTGCTCGGCATCTTGGAGCTCCTCAAGTACCACCAGCGTGTTCTCTACATCGACATCGATGTGCATCACGGCGACGGCGTCGAGGAGGCCTTCTACACGACCGATCGCGTGATGACCGTGAGCTTCCACAAGTACGGCGAGTACTTCCCGGGCACCGGCGACCTCCGGGACATCGGTGCCGGCAAGGGCAAGTACTACGCCGTGAACATCCCGCTGCGCGACGGCATGGACGACGATGCCTATGAGAGCATTTTCGTTCCAATCATCAGCAAGGTTATGGAGACATTCCAGCCGGCGGCGGTGGTGCTGCAGTGTGGCGCCGATTCCCTCACCGGCGATCGCCTGGGCTGCTTCAACCTGACGGTGAAGGGCCACGGCAAGTGCGTGGAGTTCGTGAAGAAGTACAACCTTCCATTCCTGATGGTCGGCGGCGGCGGCTACACCATCCGCAACGTCTCCCGCTGCTGGACGTACGAGACCTCCGTGGCCCTGGCCGTGGAGATCGCCAACGAGCTGCCCTACAACGACTACTTCGAGTACTTCGGGCCGGACTTCAAGCTCCACATCAGTCCGAGTAATATGACGAACCAGAACACATCCGAGTACCTGGAGAAGATCAAGAACCGGCTTTTCGAGAACCTGCGCATGCTGCCCCATGCCCCCGGCGTGCAGATCCAGTCAATTCCCGAGGACGCGATCAACGACGAGTCCGAGGACGAGGACAAGGTGGACAAGGATGAGCGACTGCCGCAGAGCGACAAGGACAAGCGCATCGTGCCGGAGAACGAGTACTCGGACTCCGAGGACGAGGGCGAGGGCGGCCGGCGCGACAACCGGACCTACAAGGGCCAGCGGAAGCGACCGCGCCTGGACAAGGACACCAACAGCAACAAGGCCTCCTCGGAGACTTCCAGCGAGATCAAGGATGAGAAGGAAAAGGGTGGGTGGTCCTCCTAATCCTCCTTCTATTGAGAATCAAGGCTGGTACTAATTCTAGTTAATCCCTTCCAGGTGACGGAGCTGACGGCGAGGAATCCACGGCTTCCAACACGAACAGCACCAGCAACAACAACAGCAACAACAAGAGCGACAACGACGCCGGAGCGACGGCCGGGGCTGGATCTGGCTCGGGATCTGGATCCGGCACCGGCGCCAAGGGCACCAAGGAGAACAACATATGACGTGGCGGCCGCAATTGGTTATAGAAGCCAATTAAGCGACCGCCGAAGTACAAGCCGCCGGACTTTCCCTAGCGGCGTGTACCTTCCCCGCCCCACTCCGCCCCCGATCACAGCCCCTGAGCCGTTATCCAAGTCCGAGTGTCCAGTTGTCGTATGACCCGCCAGCGCCCTCGTCCGCGCCCGCCCTTTTCCCTCAAATATCAAATCCTATATAGTATAGTTTGTAAGTCAGCTCTGGGGATCCTGCGGGATATGTTCAGATGGGGGGGACTTGAAAGATATCCTTGGGCGGGACTTGAACTCATCATAAGCTAAAATACAATTTATTGTAAGGCATTTCTGTGTAGACCGAAAGTTTTAAATGTAAGCTAGAAGAGCTGCGCCCACCAGATCCAAAGTGGCTATTCAAGCAGAAAGTAATCTTATCCAATAAATATTTATACTTAAAAAAGGGTCTTGTGTTTATTTCGGATTTTTAGAGTCAAATGTCTGAAAGGCTTACACATTTTTGTCGAATATGATACAATATATTGGAAATTCCAGAAGATATAAGCTTTTTTCGATGATATTGACTTTCAACTTTATAAACAATTATTTTTAGTGCAAGCTACACATAAAACTGAAGTTTAAGCTGATTTAGTAGTGAATTAAGTATTTATCTTTTAACTTTTAAAAATCTGAATCTATAAATGGGCTTATAATGCTCTAAAAAACTACTAAGTACTCCTATTTTACTATTATGGGAGTCAAAAATCTTTTAAGATTAAGGAGGAAGATTCTCTTAAAAAAGCTACTAGTCCTACTTCTGTCTTACAATGATGGGAGTCGAATATTCTAAGGCTTTTGTAGAGATATAATAAGAATTTTAATCAAAGTGATATTATGATAAAATGATATATTTATCGAAAATCTAGATACTATATGAGATAGCCTTATACACCCTGATGTTATGTGAAAACTGCACATGGTCCTCAAGTTTAAACTTATTTAGAAGAGATTTTATTATTTATCTTTAACATTTTTAGAATCGAAACCCAACAAGGGGTTCATAATTTTCAAAAAAAAAGGTACTTTGTACTTGTTCTACTTTCTATTCGATTATGGGAGTCAAGATGTATTTCCTCTTAAATTTTAGAAGGAAGATGTTCTTAACAAAAGTTATTAGGTACTACAAAAAATTATAAACTACTTTATAATGTTTGGTACTACTTTCACTACTGAACTCTACTACCTCCGTTTTCTAATTATGGGCGGGGATTATCTTAAGGTTTTTGTTGAGTTTTTATAGGAATTTGATATGATTTTAATAAAAGATTCCTCTTTTTATAGAATATTTAACCTTTATACACCTCAGTGTTCAGTAGAAACTAAACACGAACCTTAAGTTTAAGAAATTGTAGAAGTGATTCTATGCTTCATCGTTAAACATTTTAGAATCAGAACCCAAAAAGGGTTTATAATATTCCAAAAATAGGTATTTTGTGCTACTTTATTTATGGGAATTGTAAAAATTTGGTATAAAATGGTCTTATGGAAAATATAGATGCTATAACAGATAGGTTTTTTTATAAACTTTTAACTTTATAAACATTTATGTTTATATGTAATGTAATGTTATGTATTATGTAAAGGCTATGGTTAAAGTTTGAAATCATATTATATTCTCTTTTGGAAATCTAGATGTTATATTTGTTAGGCGTTTTATGTAGTTCCTAATTTTATCAATTTAAATGTGTAATCCAAACTACACATACGCCTGATATTTAAACTAATTTAGTAGTCATTAGACTCTTTATCATTGCAATTATAGAATTGCAAACCCATCAAGGTTTGAAAGGTTTATAGGTTTAAGGTTAGGTTTAAGGTTGAAGGTTTATTATGTTTGAAATTGGTACTGGGAACTAATTCTCTTTTCTGACAAGAGTATTATGGAGTTATTATTAGAATTTGATGCAAAATGATATTCTCCTATGAAAAATATAGATAGGCTTTTATAAAAACTTTTAACTTTATAAACATAAATGCTAAGTGCTACTTCTGTGTTCTGAAAATGGGACCCATCAAGGGGTTCATTATGTTTGAAAAAAGGTACTGAGAACTAGTTCGGACGGCACTTACCTTTAGAAATTCTAATTCTCCGCAATATCCCTTCAAAAAATCATAGAAGGACTCAGGATATAGTATAATAGTTAACAATTTATTAAGATTTAACAAAATTTGTTCATTTGTCTAGCTAACATTTCGTAAAGTTGTAACTGGAACTAGATTTCAATAGCTTGAGGTTGTGGCGACCGGGGAGCCGGAAAAGAATCCCCACTGGGATTTCGGGCGGGCCAGTTGACAGTTTGTGACTAGTCGGCGAGGATTTTGGGGCGACTGGGCTGGACTGGGCGAAGAACTGGCTGGCTGCGGTGCTAATCCAGCGATAATATCGAGTCGATGCTGGTGCGATTACTGCGCGGCTGCAGTCGCGGTCCACCCAAGTAACTAATTGGATTCGCGAACTGGCGCTGCAGCAGCGAGCTATCCAGGAAAACAGGAGCACAGGGGGCCGGCTTGGGGCGGTGACGTCGTGGCACCACTACCGGAGGTGGTTTTTCATCAGACGGGCTGGTCTGGTTGGTGGGGGGTGTTTGGGTGGACCCTGTTCTGGCATTTGTGGCTACATCAAAGGGCTGCTCCGGCTTCTGCTCCTGCTCCTGCTCCGGCTGCTGTGGATCCTCTGTGTCATCGGGCGCTTTGTGGCGGGATTTGTGTCGTTGCGGCTGCTGTTGCTCCTGATTCTCCTGATGCTGCGCTTTCTGGGGGAGATTGGGCATGAAAATGGCACCGAGTGGGGGGACAAACACGGATGACAGAGAAAGAGGGAGAGGTGGGTCAGGAATTTAGATCAAATATTTTTCAGGGTTTAATTCTATTTGGCTTTAGTAGTGGCGTTCAAAGTGAAGTTCAATGGACATGGCAGTGAAGGGTTCATGGCGAAGTGTGGGTGTGAACGTGTCCGGAGAAGAGATAAAGTTTTATAATTATTTAGAGCCTTTGACAGAGACAGACAGAAAGGAGTAGGGACATTAAAGGGAGCAAGGATGTTCAAGCTTGTTTTTTTTTGCTGAAAGGGCAGAGTTTATTATTTTTTAAAGGGTTGTAGGTACCTGTCGTGATTTGACAGATAAAGGTTTTACCCATGATACAATTATATAATAATTATTATATATAATCAGTATTATATAATTATACTATAATTGTATCATGGTTTTACCGAACTGACATGAGAGAAAACTTTGAAAAATTTTATATATATATAGATAAACAAAAATATAGTAGTTCTAAAAATCCCTTCTTTCAAGTCTATAAAACCAAAAACTAAAACTAATTTTTATTTTCACAAAATAGATTTTAAAGTGTGTCCTCTGTTGTGTCTGTGTGTATGTGCCTGTATTTGCATGTCCTGTATTGCATTTTGGAGCATGTCCTGTTCTGTCCTGGGCACCGTCTAAAATCCATTTTGCTGCCCGTTAAGCCGGGCCCCCAAGGATCTGCCCAACAATGGGGCTAAGTCCCCGTCCCCGAGAGCTGGATGCTGGTGTCTTGGTTACACGAAACCCGCCAGTCACTTTGCAGCACTTTGTGTGGCAGTCTCCCGGGCCCCTCCCACCTCCCCCAGGAGTTTAAGGCGTGGCAGCCACCCGAAAATCAACTGCAAGGAGACCGGCTAACGCGTTTCTCGGCCAAGTCGAGTGAAAATGTGTTGCATTTACATACATTCTCCATCGAGAGTATGCGTGAAACTATGGCAACTTCAAGGATAATCCAAAAATATTCAGTTTAAATTTTTGGTAGTTTCCAGTATTAAAGTTTTTCCGCCAAACGGTCAAAGTAATAAAATATAAACTAAAACTCGCAACAAAACGAATAAAACAGCCGTTAAAGGCGAATGCATTTAAAAATGTTATTTCTGCGCTGCAGCCTTTTGCGTTTCATAGTTTTTCAGTTTCCATTTGTCGGAGACCCATTTCAGTTTCATTTTTGCACAATTTTATTGTTCTTAGCTGAAGGTTACTGCCGGAGCAAAAACAATAAGCACAACTTGCACTTTCATGCAGAAGCAGCACACTGACACACTTCTGCGCCCCTCAGCGGGCCAGTCGTCGGCCCACAATCCTTTGCCAGCCATATTAACATCGTTGTTCTGACATTTTTCATTGCATACGTGGCGGGGCATGCATTTCGAATACACGTGCTTGTGTATGTATTTGTGCGGGCTTTGCCAAGTCATCATGCCACGGTGGGATATACCAATTTATTACCTGACAGCACAGCAATAAAAAAACACAGCACAGCTTGGAAAAATAAAATAATATAAATGTAAAAAAAATTTATAGAAAATAAAACCGAAAATATGTGAAAAATGCTGAAAATTTTACTTCAAAATTCTTTCCAAACGTAAGATTTCAAGATTAGTTATAGACTTTTTATTCTTCCCTGCTGGCTTTTTCCAAAGAACCCAAAACTATGCCTCAAAATGGTATTTAAAAGTATAGTATTAAAATGATATTGAAAAGTATTATTTTCTGAGTGCAGTATAACAGAAAAGAATAGGATATTATTTAGTCGAAAAACTCAATTATAGCAGCCCATTCTTATTAGATTTTTAATTTATTATTTTTTCTAAAAATTCTTATTAATAACTATCAGCTATCAAATGGTCTTGTAGCAAAGAACCCAAAACTATGCCACAAAATGATATTGAAAGAATCTAATGGAAGAGAAAAAGACTATATACCGGGTCTTATATAGTTGATTGTAGCCTTACTTGTTAGTTTTTGATTGATAATTTCTCCCAGAAATGCTTAATACCAACTACCCACCATTGTGGTCATATTTCACTAGCACTGCATCCATACACACTGGCTTGGTGGACGGGAGCCGGTTAAATATATTTATTACACATGTTGAACAATGTAAGCACAAGTTTGGATGCTCATTTGGTCGATGGTCAACAAGCAAATGCCTTGTTAACCATTATGGGCCATGTTTTAATGTGGCAACACACAAAACGACAAACAACAAGGACAACAACAGCAACGACAGAAAAAACGACAATAACTTTTCGCATTAAATGAATGCCAAGTGGCATTGAGACAGGACTCAGAGGGAAAGTGTGAGTGAGGGAGAGAGAGGAACTGAGTGGAAGGGAGACGGAAAAACAAAGAAAAGAAAAAGTTTGCTTTTTTTTTCAACTTTCAACACGGAAATTAATAACAAATTGCTTTAAGCCACCATGACGATTACGTCCTGCTCTGCCACTCAGCTTAACAAGAATGAGAATGTGGCAGTATTTTCACTAGATATCCTGAGAGGGCCTACAAATAAAAATTAGTCTTTTCTATATTTTTGGGAAGACTTAACTGCCTTTACTGATCTCTACTGACTGATCCTTTAATTAATAAAATCAAACTAAACTCTAGCTTTTTTTAAATCCCAAATTTAAGGTCAACACCTGCTTGTATTTCTGAGCCATTCCATAAATTCTTATATATATATATTTATAGCCTCGTTCGTTTATTCCTGACAACTTCTTAAGCTCCAGTATCGACATGAGAAAACTTTTCCCAGCACAATAAACACTTCATTGTGTACTTGAGTTAATTTGTCAGAAAAGCCCCGGACAAGCCGGCCAGCCCACACACACAATATGTTAAAAATTATTGAAAAAGTTTCGAGTGGAAATGGCAGCGCATAAGATGCCAACTGATGTTTTTTCATTAAATCGCTAGGCTACTAGCAAAAGGACATCCCCATCCTTCGCTTAACTACAGTGCTGTGGACCAAAGCAATTGTAGTACATAGAACATGAATAATGCATGTTGTAAAAGTTTTATGAAAATTCTCCGAAAAGGAAATGCCACAGAAACGCCACGACAGAAAACAAACAAAATCCGAAAAGTGTGTCAAACAAAAATATTAAAACTAGATGGTAACCAACGTTTGCAATTAGTTTCCGTTTTTCAGTTTTTGGTTATGCATTGAAATGATGGATTAAAAATTTAGAAAAAATGTACAAATGTGGACAGAGTTGCACGTTTTTAAATAAAAAATACATTTATTTTCGGAAACAACCTAAAAGTGTGCTTTGATTGAACTTATTAAAGGGTTAAAGGATAGGATATTAAATGATACCCATAAAACCCTGGGTCTAAAAAGAACCTACCACCTTTTAATATAAAAAATGTTTTTGGTTCATTTTTATTCAACTTAACAAAAAATTAACTTTTAGTTCAGAGTTTTTAATTTGAGTATAAGCTGTACCATTGTGATATCATTTCTGGTGAGCCACAGAAAAAAATAACCTTTTGTACAGCTTATCCCTAGTAGGATCATTGGAATTGAAAATAAATATTTTCGTATTTAGTTAAAGCCTTAAAACCGTATTTCGTTGAAAAAGTCGAAAAAAAGTTGAATTACTTTAAAAGTTTAAAGAAAAAAATCTATACTTCAACTACATGGACTTTTTTCATGGACATTAAAATTGGGACACAATAAATATAATAGATTTTTACAGCTTATCCCTAGTAGGATCATTGGAATTGAAAATAAATATTTTCGTATTTAGTTAAAACCTTAAAACCGTATTTGGTTGGAAAAGTCGAAAAAAAAAATACACGTTGAATTATTTTAAAAGTTTAAAGGAAAAAATCTATAAAAAATCTTCAACTACATGGACTTTTTTCATGGACACTAAAATTGGGACACAATAAATATAATAGATGTATTAAAAAAAATTATTATGTGTAAGATCGGTTGAAAGTTGTTGAGAAATTGTTAAATCCCCTTCAAATGCATGAAATAGAAAACATAGTTTTTTAGGATTTATGCGAAAATCGAGCTAACTAGAAAGCGTTGCTTCTTATGACTTTATCCCCGAAAGTATTACTCGGATCATCTTGAAACTGTTGGATTATATTCTAGAGACCATGTAGAAATTAATAATAAAATAAGTAAATTGCCATGAAGCTCATACAACTTCTGGAAGTATAATGCCTTTTTCATTTATATCAAAATGTTTAAAATTTAAAGTAGTAATTTGTTTAATTTCCTTGCCTCTACATTTTGTCTTGGAATACCAGCTAATATTGCTCCGAAATATGTTCTGCTAAGTGCTGTTGTAATTTTAAAAATTCCCAGCTGCAGAGCAATGGAAACATTGGAGTTGCCATCGAGACTCCTGGGTGTCCTTTGTTTTTGCGCTTAGCATTGGATGAGCTCCACTTCCGCAGCCAGTGTCCTTTGTTGTGAGTCCTTTAGGGCTCCTTGTGCTCCTGCTGCTGTTCAATAAACTGTAATTCGTGCGCCACTTCCATGTGCATTCATTTGTCGCCAGCTCAGACACTCGCACACAGACTCATGGTCGTACTATGACGACGGCACTCAGTTGCACGCACACACACTCGAATGGGTGGCGGTGCACATGGCGTATGAGTGACATTTAATTAAAATTTATGTAGTCTAAAAAGGCAAAAATTTTTCTACAACCCAAAAACGGTGCTGGTGCTGTTGCTGCTACTTGTGCCACTGCTGCCTGTTCAAATTTATGCAACGCACCATTTTGTTTGAGTTGTATTAAATGTTCGCAGTTTTGTTGCCTGCCCAGGCCTGGTAATCATGTGTAAATTTGTTTTTACACCCATTACAAGTGCAGGACCCGCCTGTCCTGACAATGCTGCCAGCTAGGACGACGCCAGGACGTCGCTTGCTATATGGAAACGTAATCAAATATTTAAATGGAAAATTGCACTTTTGCAAACAGGACGAGATAAGGTGAGAAAGTGAGTGGAAATTCCGTTTTGCCATCGCTTTTACAAATGACTGAAGCTTAATTTAAGTTTCCCACAATCTTTGGTTATATCTCGGAGTCTAAAAGGCAATGGCTATATGAAGAAGTCTTTTATTTTCAAGGGATATACTACAACCTTTTTGAAATCTTTCTTAAAAACTATATAATATCTATACCATAATCACTTTATCAAATATTAATGATATCACTGACGCTGTTCTAACAAGAAATTAAATAAAATACAAATTGTATTATTTATTTTCTTTCGGGAGTGTTTTCTTCTTGTTCATCATCCATTGTTGCATCTGCATGCGTCTGTAGTGGAGGTGGCGCTGCAGGCTCTTCTTGAAGAGCGTCTCCCGGGCAAGGATTTCTAGATCCTCGAAGCTGCACTGCCTGATGTTCTGCTTAGTCCTGGCGATTAGCTCGGTGGTCAGATGAATCTTGGTCACGGAAGCCCTCGAAGAATGGACCTTGCGGCGTCTCAGCTCCTCGCGGTGCAAGAACATGGCGTATGCGGCGGTGGGTGAACGAGGCAGCTCCTGGCCAGGACTCTGCTCCTGCTCGGACTTGCTTTTCTGCTGAAGGAGGCACATGTCGGCTCTTGGATGGTTCGATTGCGTTTACTGGTTACGTCAGCGATGCTGCGCTGTTTTATACTGCTACTCGGCGGAAAATTTATTTCTGACCTGCCCATTCATGAGGCCCGGGCCGCAGGTCAATCGGTTTCCTTCCCTCCCAAATCTGACCTGGACGCATTTTTTGTGGTCATTAGATTTTTTACAGCCAGCTGCTTGACTGCGCGCAGTGGATTAAAAAAATGTAATCCCATTCATTACCTAAAAAGTGTCGTAAAGTTGGTAAAACGGTGCAAAAAAAGTCCGTTCTGTGTTGTTCGCTCGCTAATCCGGATATATAACCGGATTAAGTCAAACTAAACTGTTTAAGGGTCAAGTGAGCGGCGGTTCTGGCATTTTCTCCTTGCTTCCCTCGTCCTGTTGCGGCCTCTCCGGCGGTTAGCTGGTTCCCGCTGCTAATCCTTTTGCCACTGTCCTTTAACAAACAGCAATACCGTCAATTAGCGTCATAATGAAGCGACAGCTGATAGCCCGACAGAGATTCCTTGGCTCTCAATTTTGGGAAATTCACATCGTAAGGGGTTGAAAATAGGAGCCAGCCCCGGGGCGGAGGAGGGTCGACTGCATAGCTGAAGGCTGGCTAAAATGACCAGCTGACCCAATTTGTAAACATCCAAGCAAAATATTTGACTTTGATCGCAGGCCACGACCGCAACTTCTTTATTATTCGTACAGTAGAGTCAAATTTTAAGAATTTGTCCTAAAATATTAAACACTACTAACACCCTTAACCTTATTTATTTCCTTAAAAAACTTTGTCTGACAGCTAACTTTTTTCCCTTTGCTATCCTATTTGTTTAATCCCATAAGGGCCAATTCCACTGTACTTTGTGTTATTTTTTCATAAAATCATGCTTGAGGGCAAAAAAGCGATATAAACTCATTACATTGGCTTGACTGCTGTGGATGTTGTTGCCACTTTTGATGGGGCTGCTATTGCTTATTCCAGCGTATTTTGCAATGAGGTCCTGGGGTGTCCCGGCTACCAGCTACCAGTCTGCCCAAATATTCGGCATCCCCTATTTCGGGTTTCATTATGAAAAGGGTTTTCCGGGCTGGCCAAGAGTCTGGGCCGTGCTCTCTATGTGCGAAAATCACAACATTTTAATCTCATAATCTGAATTTATGTGCGGACTCAATTTCGTTATACTTAACGACATTTTATGCGGTTATTTTATGCAGCAGCCGAAACTGAAGAAGCTCATAGGAAGTCGAGAGCCAGACAAGCTCCTCTCCCTACGTGTTGGAGCCTCGTTTTTCCCCCAAAAACCCTCTTGCACACATTTTGCGGTTCCGCTGGCACCCTTCATATCAAGGGAAACTAAAGGATATGCACTTGGAAAATCAGATATTCGATTCTGTTTTCGAAGAACATATAGTAATAATGGTGAAAATATCTTAACTTATTTTGAGTTGAATAAAATTTGTGTACAATTCAAATTTTCACAAGTGGATTTAAAAAAATATATATTCTAAAAATTTTTCATTCGGAATTCCCCTGAATATTTGAGACAAATCGGTCTAGTATTTATAGAGATATAAAACTTGAATGGATTTATCTAAGCCGAAAACTATTGACTTAAAATAGTAAATATTGAATTCTCAAAACCCTTTTTCGAATCAGAATCAACCACTGTACCTTGAAAACGGCTTAACCGATCATTTCAACCGTCTGATTGAAGGATAAAGGATATTTTTTTAAGACCAATCCTTTATTTTGTAGATAATATAGGGAATAAAACTTTGGTTCAAAATACACGTTGTGATTTTTAACAACCTTCAAAAAAGTTCCCTAAAATATAAGAAAAAGGTATTTTAAATTAATAAAAAGTGAGTAATGGAAAATCATTTGCTGGCAAAAAATCAATTTTTTTTGCTGTGCTTGCATTAAGTACATCAAATATGGGAAAGAGCCTGAGCATGTGTATGAGCACTTGAGATTCTCTATGGTCGCACAAAACACATTAGTTAAAAGTACTGACCAACAAAGCCACTAACAAGCTGTTGGTTACCTCCACTCCCACCCCACCTCACCCCATAACCATCCCCTCCTAGCTCCTCTGGTAGGACTCTCAGCATCCAAAAAGTCCCCCATGGGTGGGTGGATGGGTCCAACCCACACTTTCGCCTCACATATTGAAGTGCCATTATGTGCGCTTTACTTTTTCCATCTTCTCCGACTTCATCGCTCCTTGTTGTTGTGTCAATCTCGATATTGTTGCTGCTTTCTCTGCTTTCTCTGTGTTCTGTGTGCTGTCGTCAGCATTTGTGTTGTTGCTGGAAAGTTTTTTAATAAACGCATTTAAATGAATTGATGTATGGTCGAGTTGTTCGGCGTAATTTCTCATCATTTAATATGAAAGAAGTTTAAGTTAAAGTTGCTTCATTGCCCAAAAGAACTTTTATTACCTTCGTATATCACACAGCATGAATGAAAATTACAAAAAACAAAAGGAAAACTGCACCGAGGCAAAATAATGATAGTTGTGCAATTCTTAAAACTTAATGGAGGCAACTTTGCGCTTAAATTTTTTGCAGCAAAAGTAGTAGCTTATCTTAAATGGAAAGGAATATTAAACATACGACAGCATAGAAAATACTTCTTAATTTAAATCCTCAAGGTGTGATAGTTACTAAATAGATTTTTAAAAATTTCTTAATGCTATTCTAACTATAAACTAACATGGTTTGCCTGACAAAAAACTAAGCCTGGAGTTCGTCTATCTAATTCTAAGAAATGTTCGAGTGTTTTCGGGCATGAATGCATGTAAATATAATTTTGTTATTTATCAAAGTTAAAGCCATAGTTTTGAATTCCTTGCACAAACTTTGACATATAGAGTTTCCTGCCAAGTCTTGCAAGTCTTGTGTTCAGTTCAATTCTCTGTCGGTTTGTTTCGGCCGAAAGTTGGTTTCTGCCCATTTTTAAAGGAATATTCATGTCGATGGGCAGACAGCTTTCTTTGTGCAACAATCCAACGACTTTTCTCTTTTCAATTTGTGTTATTTGTTTTGCCTTTCGTCCTGCCGCACTGTCGTACTGTCGCACTTTGACTTTGTCTGTGCCAGGTTTTTATTTATACAAATTGCTTTTGTTTCGGCCCTCATGCCTTGGCGCTTTGTTTATTCTAGCCGGCTGTGTTTTCTTGCCATCAATTTGCCTAAATATTTATGCTTTTTTCCATCCTTTGGTGAATGCTTTCTGCATTCGTCTCGGTGGTTTTCCGTCAGTTTCGGGTCGTTGTGGCCCGTCTATTGACGCCATGGTATCCATTTTGCTTGTTGCCCGACTTGCGACTCCCGTTGCCGTTGCTGTTGCCGTTGCCGTTGGAGTTGGCCAAATCCACATCCGTTTCGGCCACGATTGGCGGGCCCCAAGAAACTTGTCGCCGCACAGTTGCCGGTCCAGCACCACCAGAGCCAGAGCCAGGTCCGGGACTAGCACTAGCTGTAGGAGCACCTCCTGAGCCCCCGGATCCTGGCTTACGTCGTTTGGAACTGTGCTGCTGAAGTGTCGCCCCTCTTTGTGGCAATTGTCGTTGTTGTTGCGGTAACGGCTGCTGCCTTTGGATTTCATGTTGCTGCTGCTGCTGTCAAAGTGCAGAAATGTTTTGGATTGCTTTTTATTAAAAACTTTTGCATCCCATATTGTTCTATGGGTATTACATATTTTATATTTTTGGTTGCAAGTTTTCATATTAAAAGATTTTATCTGATTAGTCCGGTTGCATTCCATTCTCTTAAAAAATTATTTGACATGCAGGTATATTAACTTTTTTATTTGTGGTTTATCAAATATTTTTGGCATTCCATAGATGTTAGTGGCAGATATGAAATTAGAAAATTCCTTGTGATTTTTACAATGCGATTTAATATTTATTCTACCTTGGAGGTTTCTCGGAATAAGGCCACCCATTCAAATATGAAATATTAGACGTCGCCCGAAGCCCAACTCATTGTATGATTTTTTATTGTACTTTTTCGTGCAGTTGCTTGTTTTTGAAGCTGGAAGTCATACACATATTTGCCATATGCTGGCTAATTACAATTTTTGCTCCAACGGCCACCTAGACAGGGTTTAATATTAAATTGTCATTTTGAAAAGCGAAAAAGCATCCAACCAATATTATTTTAATAAAACTTGATAACATTGCTTGAACTAATTGATTCGGTCAACAGCCCCGGGCGCTGCTTCTTTAATTAACTTAAAATTTCGGTTATAAACAAATTGAAAATGGATCCGCTTTTGATGCAAAATTAATATAATTTTCGGATAAAAGTTCACCGAGCGCCAATCACACCCACCTCCCTTGTTTATTAAATTGTGGCTTTTGCTTTAATTTACACATCATTAGCTCGGATCGACTTCTTTGCCTTCATTAGGATTTATAGAAAACTTGAACAAACAACACACAATCTATGCTTTGGTCTCTGTATGTGGGTGGTGGGAGGTGTAGGTGTGGGTGTGGCAGCTTTTATGTGTTTTTTAGCAAGACTTTGTTTTAGTTGTTGCTGCTGGTGTAGCTGGCGTTGCAGCTGGGTGAGCTTTGGGGTTTCGTTTTTGCATTCTAAGCTCGTAATGAGTTTCACCGCAGCATTGTGGTAGCTGGCAAAGTTAAGTGCGTGCTGCGTTTGCGGCAGGCCAAAATGAACACCAGTACCAGTAGCAGTAGTGGCAGTGGTAGAGGGCTGAAGCTGGAGCTGGAGCGGTACCAGCAGAAAAAGCCAAAGATGAAAGAAAAGTGCCAAGACGCCCACAAACATTTTTGAATAAAAAGAAACTTGGCATGCATGACAGCAGCCAGCTCAGTGGCAAACGCAACAAAACCAGCAACAGAAGCACCCACCATCTGAGGCACTTGCACTTTTTCGTTCTCTCCAAACAAAAGACGCAGCTTCGGATTCAACTTTCACTACAGTATATACACGTTTAATTGTACCTAATCGGTACTGATATAACATTTTTTTTTAATTTAATTTTGCTGAATTAGCTGAGATTTAGATCCTAAATTATTTGATGTTTTCTTTTTTATGGAAAAAATTTATGGAAAATAGCTGAGAACAGAATATTTCAACAACTTAGATGACATTAAAAATAATTTTAGAAAATTTGTATAAATTTCCTGAATTGATGAATTTAGTTTTAGATTTTATATACAGTTTCTAGGCCTTTGTATCCTTATTTTTTAAAATAGAAAAGAATAGAATTTTTGAACCGTTTTTAATAAAAAGTGATACCCTCATTAACAAAATAACTCTTTGTTGAGAGTATTTTTTTCCATTGTTATAAAGTTTACTTTTAAAAAGGTAAAGAAACGAAAAACGATAACGATTATGAAAAAAATAAAAATAATTAATTTTGGGATCTACAAAATGGCATAATTTATCAAGCTTTATTTCCAGCGCCTTTTCCTCATTATATCTAAAAAGAACCCTTCTGAAAAATCGACTTCTAACTAGGGCCCACTGTACAACCCCTTTGATGGAGAACCCAAGCCCCCGCAGAGCCCCTGGCGCTCCGTTTGGGTGAGCAAAACTTTTTGATTTTGAGGCAGGAAAAAAGTTTTGAGTGCGCTTCAATTTTGGTTGCTTTGCAATCAGGCTCGGGTAGACGCCGCAAGTCAAGTGAAAAGCTGAGCGGGGAAAAGCGAAGGGCGGGCGGCAAGAAGCCTAGACAATGGGGGCACGGCACGCATTTGGCAACTTTCGCCATTTTTCGGGTGTCGCTGGAAAAAGCGGGAAAATTCATCGCAAGATTTGAATGTGCAGCGATTGGGCGAAACGATGCGACGCCGAAGCCGAAGCCCGGGAAATTCAATTTGGTTGCAGCTTAAGCTCAGACAAAGTACATGCTAAGTAAGCTCAAAAGTAACATGCGACGACCCCGGCGCAGCCGATAGACACTTCTCCAGCTAAAACTACATAAAAGCCAATAAGTTCAATATTTTGCTTTTCCAATTTCCCCAAAAAGTGAGCGGATAGAGTTGGTGGAAGTTGGCCTGCTGGAAGTTTGTTTTGGGCGTGCCGAAAAGTCGAAGGCAAAAGTTGAAAGTTGATGTTCGTTCTTGGCGCGTTTGTTGCTTAGCTGAAGGTTTTGTCTTAAGTTTTCTGGCCAAGGAGCTTCTGGTCACCCATGCCATGCATATACAATCTGTATAAATCATGGCCGGGAACGGGAACGAGAAAGGGGGCCACTTGATAAGCAAAAAAGCTACAGATTCGCCCATAAATTGTGGCCTGCACCAATTGTTATTGTTGGTCGGAAAGTTCATCACAGAGAAATAAGTTTCCCTCCAGGGGATTCTCCCCAACGCATATTCATTTGGTAAAATTCCCTTTTTATTCAGGACTCCACACCCACCAAACAAAGGATTCGTTGCAATAAGCTCGTACCGGCCTCCCTCCCTCAATGCAGTTCAATTTATTTTTGGTATGGTTCCGAGAGGTATTTTAGCTTTTGTGGTCTTGGGGGCACTTTTTTCTATTAAATAACATTTTAGACAATTGGCTTGGCGGCAAAAACCAAAGATGGGGCAGGTCCCCCGAGCAAGAAATTGCACTGATGCCGCTTAAGAAATTGTCCTGGCCACAACAGCCGAGCAGAGGTTTCATTTTCTTGGCCAACAAAGGAAAACGAATTGGCCAATATACAAAGAAAACTATAGAAAAGAATAGTGGAGAGAAGCCTTAACCTTTTTATAGGTAATTATAGAGGGAGGACTCTTTTGCAGTTTTTACAGATTTTTATAATAATAGATGCTTAAATTAATGCAGCAGAAGGATTGGCATATTTTTTTCGGCTCATTCATTCAATCCTTCTTGGCTGCAATTAATTTATTTAACTCGATAGCACCGTTAATCGGCTTATACAATAATTGAGAAATAATTGAATTGACTCGTTTGGCAAAATCATTGTTCCGGCCAGTATCTATTGGCCCGGCCAATTTCGTCTGGTTTGCGTCCCGTTAAGCCAATTGTCAATAGTTTCCCTCTGTTTTAATTTTTCAACCAGTTTTTTCTGTAGTTCTTGGTTGGTTTGCGTTAAATTTAATTAAACAGTCACACTATAAGTGCATTCAATATCAACAATTAAAATGACCCACACAAAAAACAATTCACACATTGAGGCATGCCATGAACCATTATATACCGATTATATACACATATATATATTTTAAAAAATCCATTGCAAAATGTCTGCTGGAATTGGAACTCAAATATGCAAACTGAAAGTGAAGAAAACATTTTTCCATGCTTTGTTTATTTAGTTAAATTCAATTAAATGCTATTTAATTAAACGGAACATTCTCGGAAGTTGATAATTGCCGCCAGGCAGTATTTATCCACATGTGGGGTAAACAATCCGAAATACTCCACAGAGAGGGTACATATACATTTCATGAAGTTAAGGACATGCTAGTGTTAAATGTATGGTTATAGATTATAATTAGAATAATGTGAAATATATTCGTAGGGTTGTAGGTCACTTGACTAATGCCTGCGTTTTACTTTTCTAAACTAAAAAGTTATCTGTTTATTTATTAATTCAATAATTTATTTACCAACAAGAATTCCAACAATTTTCCGAAATTAAAAATTCAAACGCTGAATGAATTCTAATTAGTGGAAAAGGGCAAACAGAAACAAAAATCCGATTAACTGGTTAAATATTAATACTCCATTTGCTCTCGGTGATAATCCCCATGAGTTGCAATTACCAGTGGTTTCCTGGCAGTGTGTTACCCTGATTGTACTTGACATTACAACGTTTTGTTTGAACAACCTGACTGCACTAATGTCCCCCATGGCCTGTCCAAATAATGGCCCCTGAAAGTGTGTGCCAATGTGTTTGTCTTCGGAGATATCCTTGCAATTTCAATTGCAAATGATGCAATTTCATGCCTTACAGCTGTCGGGCTATGTACTCGGATACCATTTACTTTTGTTATATATTATGAGCTGACATGCCCCTTGCCCGTCAACTTGTTTTGGGTGTGTGAGTGTTGGCGAGTGTGTGGTTGGGTGGGTGTTGTTATTTACATGCCAATGCCAAGGCCGTGTCCCTCAGCTCAACTCATGCAAGTCGGTTTCGCTGATTGTGACGAGCGGCGCCATTCTGATAAGGTTTTCATTGGGTTCGTGGAATTTGGGTCCTCTGCTTACCGGTAGACTTGGCACTTCCTCCCCAGTCTTCTCGCTCGGCGAGGACTGTCCGTTTTGGGTGGCAACTGGCTCTGCCTTTGCCTCTGTCTCCTTGGGAGCTGAAAGGGTACGAAAAGGGATAATTTAATTTAATATTGAAAAAAACTCATTAAAATATTCGAAAAACAGAACGAAATAATTAAAGTAATTATTAACATTTTATTAACTGGAATATTTTAAAAATATAAAAATAAATCTAGAAAAATGGGAAAAATCTAGGAAAAAATATCTTTAAAGAGGTATATTTTTACGTTTTTATTGATCTTCGTCTAAATGTTATTTATATCACTTTAATCGCTTTAAATTCTAGGTCATTAAGCAACTGAATTAAACAAAAAAAAAACAGAAAAAGAAAATACCATTTATCAACCTCTAAGATTTTTATAGTTATTTCTGTTTAATATAGCAACTACAATATATTTTATAAAAGTGGTTTTCATACCAAAAGTGGTATGTTACATAAAATTTAAAAATGAGGAAAAAAACTATTAACTCGCTAATATTGTAAGTAAAACGCTCTATTTATTTATATGTATTTTGAATTTTTAAAAAATTTGTTACCCCAACTACTCACCATTCCCTTCCGCAGAGGCATCTGTGGTGTCTGCCGACGGTTGCTCAGGTGACTCTGCCGCCTTTTCCTCCCTTTGAGGTCCTTCTTTTGGAGGATCCTCTTTCTCTGTGATTTTCTCAGATGCAGGTTCCACAATGACTTCAACGTCCTCCTCCTCCTCTTGCTCCTCCTCGATGCGGGTGGCTATGTCACCGTTTTTGGACAAGGCAGTGGGCGTGCCTGGCTGCGAAGGCGTGGCACTGCCGTTCTTTAAAATACCGACCAAAGGGGCACCATTGCCTGGCTTTTTGTCTTCCTGCGGCAACTGCAAATAAATATTATACATCAGAAATAAAATCTGAAAACTGTATTTTGCTGTTTGAAAATGTAATTAAACGTTTAACAAAATTAAAGCCTTCTGCTTTCCGAGTGCTTAATTGTGCCTTTTAAATACTCGCATGTTCAAAAAAGGGGACTAAATGCAAATTTAATGGAAATCGTGACCAGTACTTACCACCTTGTACGAGTACGGGGGGAGGCCGTTTCCGGAGCCCGCCGTCACCCCGGCCAGACGACCCGCCTTCACACCTGGCGACTCGTGCATTTTGGTGGCCTGCTCCTTGGACCAAATAATGTCCTCGTCCGTCTCCCGCTCGATGCGCTTCTTGTAGGCCAGGTGGCTGCGATACACTTCCAGCAGGCAGCAGATTACGATGATGACAAAGACGCTGGTCAAGGTGAGGAAGACGACCTGCGTGGAGTCCTCCTTCTTGTTCTCGTCGTACACGAATCTCGGTACGTAGGGGACGCGGGCTGGGGGCTCCTCCACCCAGGGTTCGGGTATCTGCGGACCAGAACAGGTACAGGACATTCATTAGAACAATTTGTCACCTGGCTGCTTCGAATAATCCGATTCCCTTACACCGGAATACAGGCAGAAATATTACCAAATTTATTGGCTCAAATAAAACTAATTGCATTCAGATAAGAAGGGGGCTTAAATGGGAAATACGCCCAGTCCTTATAGTTCAATTCTTTACATAAATTGGTATAAACTATTTGCAACGTTTTAACCAAAATAAATAATTAAAATAATTCTTTAATGATGTCTAATGGATAAATATGCTTTGTTTAATAAATTTTCAAAAAATAAATATTTTGCTATGTGCATTAATAAAAATAATTTGTGAAAATATGTAGAACATCTAGATATATATATATATTAAAAATGCTTAACAAAATAATAACGAAAACTTAAAAAACCCCAAGATACTAAAGAAGAGGCTAAAATAATATCGACTTTATTGATTGTCTATTCCTGATTTTCTTTTTAAACTATTTAAAAAGCTGAAATAAATTGAATTATTAAGATTTTTTTCAATTTATGATTTGAAATATCAATGGATATATGTAAGTGTATATGGATATAAAAAGGGGTGGACATTATATTACTATTTTATTATTACTATTTTATTACTATATTATAACTATTACTACTATTACTTATTATTATATTACTTATTTTATTACCTATATTAAAATTATTTTTTTTTTACCAATCTAACTTCATATTCAAATTTTTAAGACATTGAGTAAAATTATTTCCCCAATACTATTAGAACCTTATAGAATTTTTCATTTTTCCCCAGTGATGTACTCACCATGCTGACATTAACCATCGGCTCCTGGGTGGGCTGTTCGCTGACATCGAATTTGGCGTTGCACTGGGCGGAGCGCACGCCCTGCGGATTGATGACCGTTATGTTGTCGGCGCCGTTCTTGGTGAACAGCATGTACTCCTCGAGTGGCTTCATAACATGCCCGTTCACCTGAATATAGATGTCTGCCGGTGGAGGTGGGGGTGGGGGCATCGGTGGTCAGTGGGTTTACCCAATTTGCGGTTACCGGACAGCGGCAGTGGGTGGGTGGGAAATTTTCATTAGTATTGGTCATTAATTCAAATTGAAATGCAAATGTGTGTGGACGGCGAGTGGAAATTGGAATTGCGTTTGCCTTGGCTCGCTGGCTTTTGGCTTGAGTGACTTTGGTTCCGTTCAAGGTTCTCGGCCAAGACCCGAAGCAGGACCCCTGGCAAGTCAGTCGTGCGTGTTTTACGCCCGTCCCGAAATTAGCAATAAAAATTTTAATGCCTATCGGTAAAATCCCAGGGCGCCACGGTTGTGTTTTCTCTGTGATTGTGTTACTTCGAGGGGGTGTACTCAGACTTGTGTGCTACTAGACTTGCAATGTACTAATAAAAGGTCGCCAAGTAATTTAAAGGTCACTCGCAGCTATCTGATCTTGATTGGGTTCTAACGACAATGGGGATTAATTTTTGGGAAAGATAAAAACGAAGACTAATTAATTGTTAATGGAAAGAAAGTAGGATACTTTACAAATAAGAATTAATACAAATTTTCCTATATTTTAATATTTCTCCATTATAACCATCATGTTCCACTGTCCTCTCTAGCTGATTACGATATCTCCTGTTTATGACCCAAAACTATCGCACTTCGATGGCCTTTTAATGGGATGATCAAGTACGAGGACGTTTTACAGCCCGCCCACATGTGGCAATGGGCGTGGTTCTCCCACACGCTCTATGAACTGGGGCATGAAAGTGGGGTGGGCATTTCGTTGGGCACATGGGTGAATTTTTAATCAAAGTGTTGGCCACTGCGCTGCGGTTTGGAGTGGCAGCAAAGCAGCAATTTAAATATGAGCCACTGTAAATCTTGAGAGCAAAAACTGACACAATTTATGGCAACGACGCCATGGCCACGGAAATGACTTTTTATGGCAGCGAATAAATTTAATTTTTTGGTCAACAATGTGAAGCAGTTTATCCCAGCACCCCGCCAGCACAACTATCACCTCTTCCCTTTTTTGGGATTTTGGAAGCGCAGCTCAGTCAGTTCATAAAGTTGCAGTAGTTAAACGGGGAGACACTTTGGGAAAATGCCTTAAATAGACTATAGGGATGTCTTTAAAATATTTATGAATAAATATCTAAAGAAGAAAAATGCGTAGATCAACTTTATTGCGAGCCAGGCCAAACTGTAATAAATATTACTCCCGATTCTGATTTTTCTAGCAGTGTACTGTAAGGGGCAGTGAATAGTGAAGGACGTGTCAGTTGATGAAACCGAAAAGAAATTAATGGCAGTGCAGAATTAAATTTACGACACTCACTCGACAGGCAGCCACTGTAGCTTTTGAAGACGGCGAATCGCGAGTCCGTGCTATTGATGCCGCCGATCTGGACCCGGTTGGAGCCTGCATCCCCGCCGTTGGCCAGCACCCGGGCCGCAAAGTCCGACAGAGGCACCTGCTCGCGATCGATGAACAGACTGGCCTGTGTGCCGTTGCGGACGTAGTAGACCGAGTGCCTGGCGCTGTTTAGGAAATTCCGATCGATCCGCGCGCCTATCGTCTGGCCATTGTCGAGGTCCTCCTCCAGCTGCAGGTAACCGTCGGAGGTGATGGCCAGCAGGAGGTAGTAGCTCCGCTCGGCATCCGTCTGCATAAGCAGCATGATGCGATTGGCTCGGCGCAGGTCGAAGGAGGAGAAGGCCAGCTGCAGGCGCACATAGTCGACGCGACCTGTACCAGTGCCTAGTTCGAATTTGCGCTGCAGGGTCGATTCTCCGCTGAAGTCAGCTCCCTTCTCTTCAGAGCAGAATTCGCCCAGGAAACTGGTGTGCTCGCACTCGCAGGTGGAGTACTGCTCGGCGAAGTGCTCGTGGCAGGTGCCACCGTTCTTGCAGGGCTCTGCGTCGCAAATGATCTGGCAGTTGGGCAGGACGCCGTCCTGAGCTGAAAAGGAAAATAAGGATTCAATCATAGAAATCTAAGGTCTTACATCTAGACATTTCTACAAAAAAAAAGCAATCCCCAGAGCCCTTCAGTTGGCCTTTAAAACACCCATCCTGAACTTGATGTATGTTTCAATTTCGCATTCGGTATCTTGATTCAAGGCAAGGCCATTCTCGCTCCTTCTTGGCCACAGCCACTCTTGTTTACTTTCGACTGTGGTCGAGTTTAATCGCATCAAAGTCAGGTTGCAATTTCCGCGATGCGTGGCCGCATAAATCATACGCCATGTGGGCCGGCAGCTTATCGCATTGGCATTAATCTTGGCGCGCCAACCAAAGTGGCCGCTTCATTGGCATGGCCTCTGCATGGCCATTGGTCGTCTCCATTTTCGCAGGAGTCCTCGGCACTCAACGGAAATTGCACGCATATTAAGTTAGTCAGGCAGCAACCACAGATGCAACCACAGTGGGGTGAGCTGAAGTGGATCCGATTCAGGGGCACATGAATTAGAGTCGGAGAAGCTCCAGACCGAATCGTAGCTGGAGCAGGAACCGGAGTACTTCACAAAATGGCATTAGGGCCGGCCGAAAATTGCACTCTGTGAAAATTGATTTATACTGGCTACTTACTGGGCGCTATATTCCTTTCATTGATTTCCGCCAAGTCGATCAACTGCGCCCCGATTTTCAGGCCGCGCACACATCCGATATAGCCATCCAGTGCGGGGGCATCCACGTTGGGCCTCAGCAAATTCGCCGGATCATAGCCGCCGACATGGAACTGGAAGTACTCAGTGGGCGGGGCGGGCGGCCTATGCGGCGATAGGACCTCTGCAAATAAACAAAATCGAATGAGACTATGGGGTATAGGATACTGCAGGGCTTAGAGCATTCTAGACACTCGAAAAAAGCAATACTAAGTATTGCTCTTTAGTGTAGTGTTTAAGTAGTGTTTAAGTTTATTTTTTGATTAATTCCTTTGGGTGTAGATTTTCATATTTAAGTTTTTAAAATCTTTTTAATTTGGAAATATTTTTTTTAAGTGCACTTTTTGGGATTGTTGCTTTATGTAAGCGACGCCGCCTATTGCTGTGTGCGGAAATGAGCCTTCATTGCCGTCGCATTTCGAGGTTTAGCTAGGCTGCCGGGCCCGTAGCCAGGGCCCAACTAGGGCCCGAACTCGAACCCTACCCGTTTGAGGTTTAGGCCCATCAATTTCGAGTTTAAGTTTGTCTAATTGAAATGTTTGCCAGGCCTGGGCCTGGGCCACGCCACGCCACGCCAGGCAGAGCGTGCTGGGACCAAACTAAACCGATTCGACCAACTGCTGCATGCCACAATCCGGGTTCTGTTGCAGTCCATCTGGTTAACGTATTTAATTACAAAAGTGCTTATGCTTTATTCTGTGCAAAATATTGACGATTTCGTTCCAAATGAAAATGAAGCGTAATGCTTTGACGAATATTTTGGGCCAGCGAGGAGTAATTATGATTGATTTTGCTGGAAAATCGCTTTGGCATGGAATTACAGGCAATTTGATTGATTTTACCCTTTCGACCAGAATGTACATTTAATGTACTTTTCCATCAAATCGGATTGCAAGGTGAGTTACTGATGGATTCGAAATGAAATTGTACAGATGTATTTGTTGAAATTCATGTTAAAGGTTTAATTAATGAGTGATGGGCATTTGGAAGTGATCGGTAAGGGCAAGTGTATATTACAGAACTAAAGTATCATATCATTTATACCAGGTTATTACTGCAAAGGCTAGAAATAACTAAAAAATCACGAACCAACATTTAATAAAATTTTTGTAATACAAGTTGGTACGATTGCAATCGGAATTTCGGAAACAAAAAAGGTTTCTGATCATTATCAAGTGAATATGCATATCCACGTTTAACAACTATTTCCGCATACTATTTGGCCATTGAAATGCCGTTTAATTTACATACTGAGTGAACAAAGTGAAAAAAGTGCTTTGAACATTTCCAAATATCTACGAACTACAAAGCAACTCGTTGTTTTTGTGCCACAGAGCAAAAGTTTATCCATTCGCTTGGCGTTTATTTTCCAACAGTTTTCTACCGAGTTTAACGGCCGCCCAGACGGACACACATGCACATGGTGGCGCAAACAGACTTGCTGGCTAAAACTACAAAAAATTTCAAGTGCACATAATTTGGCCATCACACAGTGCACAGATTTTTCCGAGGCCCGGCCTCCGGTCTCCAATTTTTTCGTTTTGGTGTTTGGCGTGTGTGTGTTCCTGGGTTGGGGGGAGCTACATGTTTGGCATTTTTGCAGCTTAACTTGCTAAACTATTTTAAAATTTCGGTGCAACGCTTGGCGAAAAAAAACAAAACAGGAGAAGCAACCAAGGCAGCCAGCTGCCAGGCAACCGCTTACGGAAAGGGTTGCGACTTCAAGTTGTTGGTTCAATAATCGGGGACCTGGCAACATGTCCGTTGTTTGGGATTTGGGCGGCGACAGGACGCAGGCGTGGCGGATGGACAGTCTTCAGCCGACACTCCGCCAGAGCAGTTCAACCTGCAGAATGTACGGTCGCCAAGCGGGCGGCGCCAATCCGCCGACGGTCAGCAGCACCGCAACCGGGGCCGCGAACAGTGGCGGGGCCGGCGGCGGCCAGGGACATGACAAGCTGAAAATCGGCTTCTGCACGGACCTGGACAAGTCGGTGCTGGTCAACAACTTCGAGAAGCGCGGCTGGCATCAGGTGAACGGCGACGATGACTGGCACTTCTACTGGGCCGGAGTGCAGACGTGCCGCAACATCTTCAGCGTGGACAGTGGCTATCGGATGCACGACAACCAGATGATCAATCACTTTCCCAACCACTACGAGCTGTCGCGCAAGGACCTGCTGGTTAAGAACATCAAGCGCTACCGCAAGGACCTCGAGCGGGACGGCAATCCGCTGGCGGAGAAAACCGAATCCAACAACTCCAGCGGCACCAGGTACCTCTATCTGGACTTTGTGCCCACGACCTTCGTCCTGCCAGCCGACTACAACATGTTCGTGGAGGAGTACCGAAAGTTTCCGCTGAGCACATGGATCATGAAGCCCTGCGGAAAGTCGCAAGGTGCCGGAATTTTCCTAATCAACAAACTTTCCAAATTGAAAAAGTGGTCCCGGGAAGCCAAAGGACCTTTTCACCCACAGATTGCCAAGGAGTCGTATGTAATTTCCAGATACATTGACAATCCCCTGCTGATTGGTGGCAAGAAGTTCGACTTGAGACTTTACGTTTTGGTGGCCTCCTTCAGGCCCCTGAAGGCTTACCTCTTCAAGCAAGGATTCTGCCGGTTCTGTACCGTGAAGTACGATACAAGTGTCACCGAGCTGGACAACATGTACGTGCATCTGACCAATGTCAGTGTGCAGAAGCACGGGGGCGAGTACAACACCCTGCACGGCGGGAAGTGGTCGGTGCAGAATCTGGCGCTTTACCTCGAGGGTACCCGAGGCAAGGAGGTAACTGACCGCCTATTTGGGGCCATATCCTGGCTGATAGTGCACTCGCTCAGGGCCGTGGCTCCTGTGATGGCCAGTGACAGGCACTGCTTCGAGTGCTACGGCTACGACATCATCATAGACAACGCCCTGAAGCCCTGGCTGGTGGAGGTCAACGCCTCGCCGTCCCTCACCTCCACGACGGTCAACGATCGCATATTGAAGTACAAGCTGATTGACAACATACTATCCGTGGTACTGCCCCCCGATGGAGTGCCGGATGTTCGCTGGAATAAGGTGCCCAGTGCGGATGCCTTGGGAAACTTTGAGCTGCTTATCGACGAGGAGCTGGCCGCCCAGGAGGAGCAGCACCAGAACAGCAGTAGTAATGCTCACAGCAAAGCCTCAAAGATGGGCAGCCGCTGGAAGTGATGAAAGTAGTTTCTGAATCGGACCAACAGAAGTCATCAAAATAATTGTGTAACTAGATTTTAAGTGAATTGTTTTAAAGTCCTTTGATAAAAAATTAAAATTAAGAAGTCCTATACGTTAGGACTTACCTTTTTCCGGGTTGCTCCACGGCTTGTTGGCATACTCGTCCAGTAATAAGGTTCCTCGATCTATGCTCACACTTTTCTGATTAACGTGCATCCTGGTCTCCTGCTCACCCCGAACAATGGCCACTTGGATACTCTTCAGGGTGGTTAGGGTGTCGTCCGGCAGGGTGAGATTCACAATCTCGTCGCCATAGTTGTAGAGGAAAACAATCTCGCGACCCAGACTGATGTACAAATGCACAAAGTTGTTGTAGTGGTCGTTGGCATAAAGCACCAAGGCGTTCGTGTCGTAGGTTCGCAGATTGATGAGCAGGTTCTGGTTGAGGATGCCCTTGAGCACTTCGCGCTCGCCTTCGGTGCCGTGCAGCAGAACGGCGGGCGTGGCGGCCACACTCAGGTAATTTCTCATCAGGAAGGACTCTCGGTTGATGAAGGTTAGGGCTTTCTCGTTAATGTCTGGAAAGGGGAAGAAGAATCAATTGATTTTTAGGAGCAATATGCATTCAAGTTCCCCCTGCACTCACTTGTCTCACAGAACTCCCCAATGTGGGCCCAGGGGTTGTTGCAGACGCACTTGAAGCTGCTCCAGAGCTCCTTGCACTGGGCTCCGTTGCGGCAGGGCGAGGGCACGCAGGAGGGCTTACAGTCCTTGATAATCTCCGACAGATGCACCGACATGTAGCTGTAGATGTCCAGGATCTCGCCATTGACCACCAGGCCACGGAAGCAGCCAATAAGCCCGGCCTTAACCGACAGCTTCTTCAGCAGGTCGCTGCAGAATGAAAGGATGCGGAGGCGAGTCAGCTGGGGATTACTTTACTTTATTTTATGACTTGTCATAACTATTCAATAACCTGGCCACTTGTGCTTAAGCTGCACCAGCTGCCCCAGTCGTTCCCTAACCCTACGCATATTCCATGCCATCCTCCCACCCTCCCAGAGACATAAAACATCATCGAGGAATTCATATATTTGCCCAGTTCGTCACCGACTTTATGCAAATAACCTACGACCCGTTCGATCTTATGCGAGGCATTTGAGTTTTAAACTTGTCGAGCTGAAAATCGAAGTGGCATCTTTGGCGGACAACTGTGGCAAAAGTTTTCGAACTACTTTCCTGGAAGTTTTGTTTTTATCTGCCAAAGGGGCACATCACTTGAGGCTAAGAAGGTTTCCTACAGAGGGACTATATGTTCCCCTACATCACCAACAGTATTTAAAGACTATTAATAGTTTCTGCAACTCAACAACTTGTAGTGAGAATTGGTCAAAAAAACCAAAAACCCCTTTCAACAATAATAACATAATTGTACATCCTTAACGTTTATAAAGAGCATCCCAGCTTCTTAGCAGTTAAGTTGAAGTTTTTCTTTGCCAATTTACTTTTTTCTTTTGCCATTTTCGCAAGTTTTTCTGGCACACTTTTTTCCCCTTCAGACCATGGCCAACAATGAATTGGCCAATAAAATCTCAAGTGTAAGCTTTTGAAAATTAAAGTGGCGGAAATGTCTTGTTTATACGCGTACAGCGGCGAAAGAAAGTTGCTCAAATGTCTTTCTAAATTATGTAAATTTCATTACGAGACATTCCACCCACTGCCAGATCCGAAATTTCCACCACAAGTCGCTTCCCGAGTGAGAGTCTGAACTGAAATTAAAATTCTTGTTTCAAAAAATACGCAAAGTGAGAGGCAAAGTCCTTGGGGTTTCCTGTGTCCCTTTTATTTGAATTTATTACAACTTCTTAGGGTTTTATTTTCCGGTTTTTCTTGTAATTGTTTGGCGAGCGTTGCATAATCGCTATTTAAGCGATAAAGTTATCGAAGGCTGTCAGACGAATTGGCCATAATCGGGGAGTAAGCAGCTCCACTTTGTGATTTGCATTAACCGAGGACACTTCACCCACTTTCCCATTTAGTGGAGGGGCACTGAGTCCTTCCTCCGTCGATGTCCTTGCCGCCAGCCAGCGAGCTATTAAGTCATTAGTTTTTGCAACGTGTGCTGCATTTCTTTTTGCGGGCATGTCACAAATGCATTTTTAATTTTTTTTACGTCAACAGCCGCGGGCAGGTGCACTGCGATTTGAAAAAGTTGCCACAAAAGTTTTGCACTCCTCTAGTTTTATTCATTCAACCATTTAAAAAAAAAAGGAGTATCTGGTCATATGTCTGAATTTTGTTTGAAAACAAAAACAATATATTGAATATTTTGGCCAATATAGACTGGGTATTTGTCTGAGTGCATATACAGGACGTTGTAACGAGGACGCGTGGGAGGACACGCGTGGCACACGCGTATGTAAAATGAAATTTAGCGCTTTGCCTTGCAAATGATGTGCCGCCTGCCGGCTGGATGCTCTGGCCTGGATGACACTTGGCTAAAAGGATTTGTACGGCGGCTGGTCGAAATGCACAAAAAAAACGCAAATAAAAAATAAACCGAAATTCCTCGGAAATTAACGGCAATAAAACGCAAAGGAAAGACGTTTTTCGACCACGGCAGCGGCAGGACGATGGCAGGACGTGAAGAGCAGCCGATGTGCATATCCTGGCGACATGCAGGCGACGGAAATCCTATTAACGTTGCAAACGCGCAAAGTGCGAAGCAATTAAGAATTTATTTAACGCCGTCACAAGCAATTAAGCACTTTTCATTCATTCATGGCCGCTGCGACAGCACCACATTTTACCCCAAATGGTGGTGCTATTTCGTAGTGCCACTCCTCCACTGTCAGGCCACTATACTCCAAGGATTTTCACCAGCAGACCGCTTTACCGCCGGCATTTAGTTGGCACGGCAAGTACAAATAATATTCTATTAGGATAAGTTAGAAGGACTCTATTTGATGGTCATTTCTGTCAAATGATTGATGGGCTTCTAAAGATCAGGTATCTTCGAGTCTCTATTAAGGGCTATGGGCTTGTGAATATGCACTATGTTCAAAGTATGAATATCTCCTAAAAAAAGATAAAACCAATTTTAAAATAAATAAACAATATTCAAGTCTATCCCATAACTGGCCATCATTTTTAACCGTGCACTAACATCGTCCTGTTTCCTGCAGAGACCCGAAAATATATCGCATATTTGGCACGCCAGTGGCCTGTGTTTTTCCCGTGGCATGCGGTTCGATGTGGTAATCGATGGCCATGCAAATGATGAGCAGGACTTCCGTGCAGCAGCGCCATCAGCAGGAGTCGAAGGACCAGCAGGTCCTGCAGCTGCTGTCGCTTCCTAAACAACATGACAACGAACGGAACGGAACGCGGTCGGACCGCATGCAAAAACCGATTACAACAATCATTAGCAGCATCGGCCATTGTAATTTTTGGCCCCCCACTTTGCATAAATTTTCATTCATCCTTTGGGCGTTTAAGCTGTGTGAAAAGTCCTGTTTAACCCATTAACTGAATGGTGTTAAAGTGCTCAAGTATGCATGGAGTGTTTTTGGGAAAGTTTTCTATTGATGTTGGGGATAAAAATAGTGAAACACTTTTTAAGAGTTTCCGTTCTCGAATCGATGTTCTGTAGAGGTTCAAAAATTAAGCTAATAAATTGCTTTTTACCAATGAAAGTCAGTGGGGCGAAATAAATCTTAAGCCTCTCAACCGCAAGTTCTTAATGGGTTAACACATGGCTCTTCTGTTTTTCGACTCGTCTCGCCTGAAGTCTCGCCGTGTCTCTATCAATATGTTGATTAACTCTTTTATTTATGAGCCTCAGTCGTTGATTCCACTTATTGGCTTACGTTCAACCTTACATACCGCCTATCCGAGCCGCACCCCCCCTTTCCTCCAACCCCTTGGCTTTAAGCCCACTTTCCGTTCGTCAGCAGACCCTCGAATTTTCCGCGGCTACGAGGGCCAAGTGCATCAATATTGCATTTTCCATATTACTTGTATGTTTTACAGAGCTTTCTTTTCCGCGATAAATAAATTGAATAAATTGGCTCAGTGAAAGCGGATTGGGCTGTTCTGGCCTTTATAAAGCGTAGCACTTTACCGTTAATTACTCTGCGTGTTTACCGCTCATCGAAATTTTATGAGTGGTTTGCAGCGTCGGTACAGAACTTTTCGGGGTTAAGTGGCAATGTGCACATGGGTATATACCTACATATATAATCCTATCCGTGGGTTTCAGCTTGATTTTTATACATTTTCAATAATTAAAAGAAGAGAAAGAGTAAGCGACAGCCCCCTATCTCTCTTACCAATGTGTGTCTTCTTACAGAAAAAATTCGGAATGGTTTTTAGCCAACTCTCCATATATCGTATCTCGTGGGCGTGAGCATCCATGGCAGCAGGGCATGGCAAAAAAAACTTTATAAATTATGTCAATCAAGAATAAGCGCGTTTTAAGTGCGCTAACTTCCTAAGGGGATGAACTGGAGGAGTAGCCGTGGAAAATTCTGGGAAAGCCAACCGGTGTGCCCCTTTTCTCCCCCTTTCACGCTGTGGCTTGATTATTGATAATGACTTCGGAATGAATTTTCAGCGAAAAGTTAATTTAATTATGGCAATTCTTTTTATACCCCGAAGGATTGGATTTCCCCCAGATATGAGCGGGGAAGTGGCAAGCAGTTTGCGCATACAAATTGTGCTTTTGATCAAGTTTTTGAAAATCAAAAAGTTAATCCAACCCGAGGGCGAGAATTACTGATATTTGATATTATTTTCAAGGATTTTAAGACCATTTTTGTTGAGGTATGTGTTACTTTAGTTACTGTTGCGATAATGACTTTAATGAATCCCTAATTAACCCTTAAGTGATGTTTCCCGATTATCATTCCAAGGCTGCCTACGCCCAGGACCCCCGGGATGAATTCCTTTGGATGGACACGATTGTCATTGTTAGTCCTGCTAGGCAGCTAGTCGCGCGTTTATAATTAAAACGTAATTGCAGCAATAAATTGCAGAAACCGCAACTGCCAGGGAGTGCGCCACCCAGCAGGAAAGGCATCAGTGGCAGTAACAGCGGGAGCGGCAAAAACAGCAACAACCAGGGGGGGCACGAATAGAGTTTTTTCAACATCGATTGCCATTACAGCTGCCACCAATGCAGGCAGCCGTAAAAAGCAATGTCTGATTACACTGGCTAGCAGTTTTTAAAATGAGAAATACTTAAATTAATAAGATGCTTTACCGATTCCCAGTAATTACCTTTAAAAAGGGGAGTACTAATAAGATGGTTCCAGGGGAAAATAATATTAAATCGATATAGTTTACTATGTTTTGTAGGAAAGTTTTGTTCAATACTCACAATGTGGCGCCACCGATGAACATGCTGCCCTCGAACGGTCCAAACTCCTCCTCGGGCAGCAAATCGAGCATCTGGTAATCGGTGTTTATCATGAAGCGCACATGATACTGGTTGTAGTCGATCCATATTTTATGCCACTCGCCGCCGTTCAGCCGGCGGTGCGAGTTAATGACCAGCTCGCGGGTGGTGCCCGTGCTCAGCGTGAAGGTGAACGTGAGCTGGTCGTCGCCGGTGAGGGCCACCATAAAGGAGGGATAGTGGGCCCGTATCGGTGGCTGGAACAGGAGGATGGCCTTCTCGCCGGTGGTGCGGAAGGAGAAGGCGATGTCGCCCTTCCGCCATCCAGGCACCTCGATATACGACTGCGATGTTGTGAAGGTGACCACGTACTTCTGGGTGTCTGTGGAAATGGGGTTTCGGGCTAGTCAGTAATTGGTAGCTAATAGAAAGACCAGTAAATGGCTAAACTAGACAGTAAACTAATACCACCAAAGAGCCATAAAGTGGTGCACTATTGAGTCTTGAGGAGGGACTGCAACTAACTCAGTTCAAATAAATTTTAAACTCACTTGTCTCGACACACTCCAAGGGACCCAGAGTAATGCGGCCCTGGGCTTCATCGTCGAGGTCCTTCTGCTGCAGGAAGTACATGTTGGTGATGCCCAAGCTGTGCGGATCCTGGTAGTAACCCTCATCCGAATTCCATTTGTTCTCCTTTACATCGCAGTTGCATGATTGATTCGGGTCCACACACGTCTTGTTAACGGAACACGGACAGGCGCCTCTGCGGAAGAGTCGGATTCCGATTTTTTCGGGGGTCACAAAGAAACAAAAAACCAGGAGAAAAAGGTGAATGGTTTTTAGGAAAAAGTTCGAATACATTTGCATAAATTCGGTCTAGAACCGGCGGCAGTTTGACGAGCCCGTTGAGTGACCAACTGAGCCACATCCGCCGCGCCGTCCCGGCATTTTTGTTCATTTTCTGCTGCGACATTTATGCAGAAATATTCGGAAAGGTATCACCAGAATTTGTGGATATATCGTTGACAAGGCAATTAAGGGACAATCAAGTTCAATTACTAACCCAGAAAAGGGGCAAATTTATTCTATGATACCTGAAACCCAGAAGACTGAACGGGATGGAATTTAAATTTAAAGAGTATTCGGTGGACCAAGTACCCTTGTACCGGTGGCCCTGTTTTTCCGGCTTATGTTTGTGGGTTGGGTGCGGTTTATGCCCTGCATGTGCCGCATCCGTTTCCGCCTCCGTGTTGCAAGATCCGCAACGAAGCCGCAGCAGGGGATGCACAGAAATAAACTCGGAATTACTGGTGTGAAAGAAAAATTTAGCTATAACTTTGCTTTCAGAGCAAGGAGTTTTGTATTTTAAATTTTTAAGCTCTTGTTTTAATTTTAAGATTTATTTATAATATTTTTTGGGCAGTGTAGCATCACCCAAACAAACAAACAAACGATGCTGTCAAATTTTGAATGAGTAAAGAGCGAACTACGAGGCAATGATGGATGGGGCCAAATGGTCTGAGACAACCTACCCACACACACACACACACACTCAGTAACACAAACACCCGAATCTGGCTAGAAGCTAACCCGTTTTTTCTTGAGCATGCCATTTCGTTTTGTGCATTTTCCGGCCGAAGCCAACCAGAACGCCATCCATTCATGGGAGGCCTGGCAGGAGGCAGGGCCAACAACTGGCAAACAAAACAAGCCAAAAAAAATTTGAAAGCGAAACCAAAGTCAGCGCTGTTAAGGGTTTCGAATTGATTTACTGAAAGCGGAAATTAGTGACGCAGGCCGAACATAACTGCCAAAACAAAAGCAACAAGCTACAAGCGACTTGAAATTGCTGCCGCCAGATGTTGCCTACTTTGCTGCGCATGATGTATTGTCAAAGGGGCCTACATTCAACCGCCCACCCACACGGCTCCATGGGGATGAGGTTGCCGTTTTTTCGAAAAGGCAAAGAAATTAGGCGTAAAGACTAAATTTGTGTGCTCAAAGCCATTCATTTTAAAAAGGGCTGCCATAGCAAGAAAAATTACCCCGACGCGTCGGTCTTGCAACAAAAAAGTTGCCAAATATATGAAAGACTAATCCTTTAAATCGAATAAAAGATACCTGATGAAAAAAACATGAATAGCACAAAATATTTGTATTTTTATAGCTTACTTGGTTTTTATAAAATATTTATTTGGATATGTTCAGGATATAATATTTTTGTTAAACACAACCCATAAGATCCTCTATAACAGTATATATACCCCTTATTTTCAAATAAAAAGAAACAATATAAGAAAAGACTTGTTCGACAATATGGTGGCTAAAAATTCAGCAAAAGGACGAGAAAAGGGAGCCACAAGAGATACGCCAGAACTCACTCATAAACCTTATTAGCGCTGAGGCGGAAACATATTTGCCTGACATAAATACCAAACTCGGTCCTTTTGTTTTGAACTTTTGCAATTTTCCCGTATTTGGCCTCATATGTTTCGCTCCTCTGCCTCCTCGACCCTCGGCCAACGGCTTTCGGTTGGCTTGGCTTTTTTAAAGGGTTCGTCATTAGTTTACCTTGGATGAAGGGCATCGGGCCGGCGGCAGGGCCGTTCAGAGCTTTCGGCACCATAAAATTTTATGCTCCAATGCATGGCAACAAATGCCGCAAATATAACTTTAGCCAAAGGGTCTTTGCAAGCACATGCGAAAAAAACAAATTTGAAGAGCTAAGCCAACACTAGGACACTGTTGTCTGTCGATTCAGTAGGCCAGAGTCCATGACATATTGTGGAGTCCCAAGCCAGATGGCTTACGAGTATAACCACACACAATTGTCAATTGCGGACCTGGCCGGGATGGCGATGCAATGACGCCTTGCTGGAGTTTAAGTGAAGTTGCATCCTTGGCTGCCTCGCACCAAATGAAACAGGGCATCTGGTTGTGATGTGGGCAAATATGTCAGTTAGCGTTAAGCGGAGAATCCTGCCTGGCATTTATATTATGCATGTGCGAGCAATTAATTTAAGTTTCGTTTACAATTGAAACACCAGCCAGAAATGCTCGGCACGCAGAGTTGGGGTAGTCTCTGGGAAGCTGGGAAATTTCGGATTTATATTGTTGGATTACCGCACGTATGTAGTCCACTGAAGCAGAAAGCACACAACACAGAGGAGGCCAGGATGGTGGTGATAATCCCGGGTGCAACAACAAGTTATGCAAATAGACTGCAACATTAATTGTGTGGCCGGTGGTGGACCAAAATCATCCGCCAGCCAGTGCCTAGACTTAGCCACGTATGGTGGGCATAATCAGGGAAATGACTTAAGGGGTATTGTATAGGTTAAGGTACTGTATATTTTCTGGAAGTTTCTAGATCTTTTTTGGTGCTTTGATTTTCTAACTTTCTATATTCTTTATGGTAATTTCAACCAAATTTTATCAACTCTTATCCACTGTACTACTGAAAGCCCTGCTCTTGTCATCCAATTTTGTGTTGTTTGTGGTGACGTTGCCCTGCACGTAAATCACAAACGCCCCCAAGAGAACCCAGATTCTTGACTCCCGGCTCCCCGGAACTCTATCGCTTACCTCTTGACATTGCCGAGGAAGTCGACGGTGAGGTTTTTGGCCGAGGACGTAAACCAGGTGGCCGAGTGAAGCTCCAACTGGGCTCGATAGCAATCGTACTTAATGTACTGCGTGCAGTACAGTGAGTGCGAAATAAGTTCCTGCAGCATGTGAGGTGAGAATTCTCGGTAGCGGATGTTAAAGCTGAAATCGCTTTCACGGGCGGATCGAACGTCCACTTGACTGGGCAGGTTGTGTTCCACAATGGTCTTGGTGGCGTTCTCCAGGCTCTGGAAATCACATTTGACATGTGCCGGGGGGAATACTCCATTGCCGTCGATGTCGATGAGATAGACGTCCGATTTGGTGAAGCCGAGAAGGGCCAGCTCCTCGCAGGTCTTTCTGTATTTGGTGAAGTGACAGTTTTTTCCAATGTACCCGGTGTGCTTGCAGTCGCAGGTGACGCGATCGTCCTTGACAAAGCACTTGCCACCGTGTTCGCAGGTGTTGGGCCTCTTGCAGGGGTCAATGTAGTTGCAGTTGTCCAAAGCCACCTAATGAGCAATGAGTAACATATTAATTTCTAGGTATTATGAGGAAATCACTTACCTCTCCCACAACTCGCTCCGTTTTTACCACATGCCGTGGCTCGATCAGGTGGCCATTGATTTCGATGTCCCGGATGCAGCCCACCAAACCCATGGCCGCCGACTTCAGGCTACTGCCAATGATCAGCTTGTCGCCAATGTTGAAGGTTAGGCCATACATCTGGCTGAGGGTGTGGCGATAATCCACCGTAAATCGAATCTCGCCCAGTTTGTAGTCCAGCTCGACGCTGTGCCATGAGGTGGCCCTGTTGATTTTAATGGTTGTGGAGTGTGTAACGTTGTTATTGACATCGGGCACCAGGTCGAAGCTCAGCTTGTCCGACGTGAGACGTATCTAATGGATGGCAGCCATTTTGTAATTTCCGTTAGTCGCACATTTCCGGTGGAGTTTTGTGGCGGGCGGGTGGAGTTTTTATCGTTAGCATCGACGCCGACGGATGTTGCACGTAGCGTCGAACAAAACCCGAAGCCGCGCATTAGCGTGTTTCCAAATATTAGTTTTTGTCATCGAGGGCCATACGCACACCCGCACACATCCGCGCACATGTAAAAGGAGAGAAAAATACAAAATTCTGTTAGTATTAGAAGATTTGAGAGGGTTTTCGGGATGTGTGATTGTACGTCTATGGAAATAAATCAAAATTGCGAAAATGCCAAAATGCAGCTCCGCATAACCACATACAAACATTCCCAGGCTTCGATATTCCCACCTCTGCCACCCCTGCCCCCTTTGGTCGCACACATTTCAATTTAAATGCCTTTGTGCATTAGCTTCGCTTAAATCATATTACGCATACGCCACGTGGCCGCGTTCAGTCTGGCATTTGCCGAATCAATCGACCGGCTCTGTTCTGTGCAGTTGTTGAAATGGCTGCCCATTAATTTGTAGCGAAATGGGGGGTGGAGCGACCAGGGCTCTTTATCATTCGATTGTGCAGTTTCGGGCCATGATTAAATTTTGTTCTGTTACAACAGGGTTAAAGCTGGCCACTATAATGCATTACACCAAACAAATACCAACCTGCCCTTGAAAAGATTGGATTTTAAAGAGCACTATTTTCAGCATGGATTATAAATTGGACTTTAATATCAGATATAGATCATGACTATCCACTGAGCTTAGCACACAAAAATGTGCAAATGTGTGTGCTGGCCAAATAAATTGGACAGATAACCTTGCCATAAACTATTTATCCAACTAGATACCGTTTGGCAACAAACTGGCGCACAATAATCCAACTAATTTCATATCCATGCGCATATATTTTTTCCTCCATTGTTTACTGCAGTCTATTATTTTGGAAAATGTATAAAAAGTCGAGTGTTTATTGAAATTTCATGAACCTTTTGGGCTGCGACATGTCACAGACTAGTGGCAGTTCTAGAGGGACACCATCCAACACGGTTTTTGGAAGAGCTTGTGTGTGTCGTATTTATCTCTCCTCATTGCGAATTGCGCTTTTGCGTCGCTTATGCAAAATGGCAAATACTCAAATTTTATTGCATATTTCATTAGATTTTTGTCAGAGCGTTATGTTTAAAGGCAAACACTTTTCCCCATACACCCCATAGACCCCATAGACCCCATACACCAAACACCCGAACACACATTTGTCGCATACTGTGACAATATTTCAAATGATTTTTATTCCTCCAACGCTCCAGCGACAACGCCATAGCTGCCAGTTTTGTTTTGTTTGCCTATTTCGCCCATTTGCGCGCTGTCAATAAATTCGATTTTCGATTTGTGATTCGCGATTTATGCGGGCGCATAGTTTTTATGTCACACCCTGCCTGCACATTCGGTAAGCCCTCCCCGTCGGTATAGTCGTGTGACATGACATTTCGTGTTGCATACCCTTGTTTTGTCCGCTTTTTGATCAAATTTTTGTTTTCTTTTTTTTGCCCGTTTTTCGGGAGGCACTGAGGGAGTGGAAAAAAAATACTGTTGGCAATTTATTAGTTTGCCGAGCTCCATACGCGGCACGCAGGTGGCAATTTTGTGGCCGGCACTCTGGCAAATAGTAAATAAATAAAATCTCTCGTAACTGATGCGTTTTTGAAGCTCGCCAAATGTAGATAGCATAGTTCGAATTGACAGGCTGCGTTTGAGTTATTTGGCGAATTTATTAAAATAAAAAATTGCACAGAGCCGTATTATAAACCTGACACAATCAATTTAGTATTAATTTGGCTGCGCATAAATCGTCAAATGGCAAATAAGCCGCAGAGTCAGTGGATGCAAAATTAAATGCCTTGCGGCATAAATATTCATTGGCATTACGGCAACAAAAACATTTTATTGCAATGCCAATAAGTCAGGCAGCCTCTGGGAGTCAGTGGGAGTGCGGCGGACTGGCTCCTTGCAATCAAAAGGGACAAAATCAACAGTAAAATGCAAATAAATATTGCCTACACAAAAACACAGCCACACATGCATTGCCTAAATGTCAAGTAACCAAATAAGCGTTTTCGGACAGGCCGAGAGCAAGGCAAGGCAAGGTTTGTTTGCTTAAATACAGATAAATGCTACTGACATTCATATAAACATCAGAATCAGCATCAGAGCCATCGAGAAGCATAGAAGTGGAATATGTGGGTGGACATGGGTGGTATGCGGCCTCTTAACCCACAGGGCGGGGAGCATTGTTCCCCGACAGGCATTAAACTGTTGAATTGTTTTTGTGATCGATTACAACGCACTTTTATGCTGGACCTCAATCTGTTTTCCTTTGCTTGTCTGGTTATAAATGGGTGTTCCATGGAAACATTTAGCTTGCTTTCAATTGTTATGCCACGGCCATGACATAAATCCATAAAAATTGTTATTTGAAATAAAATACGGGCCACAGAGCTGAACAAGAAACAATTTTAAGGCCATTCCATTTTGGAATAGGATTTATTTTTGCCTCTAGGATTTATGGTAGGTCGATTGCCAAAGCATTAAGATACTTTTTATCGATACAGAATTTATGAAATAATATCTATTTAATTAAGCCGCCTCCTTGGGCAAACAATGCCCCTTGGCTGCCAAAGAAATGAATAATGCCAAACAATTACAAAGCACTTAGCTCATTTGACTTTTCATTGCATTAGCCGGAGTTCAGTTTCACTCAGCAGCGCTTAAATTTAATTGCATTTTCCGCATTCCCATTGCCAACCAGTATTTTTGGCTGCATTTTCGTTTGCCCCACAATGTGTGCCACACTGTGCACATGAAGCATGCTTCCTCCAGTTCCGGATTTTGAGTTTTGGGTAGAAATGTGGAGGAGCTCCGGGCACTGCAAGTTTCATACACAGTCCTAAACAGAGCCATGCAGGACGAACCTACACAAACACACACACACAAATTTCCATTTGATTTGCATTTCATTTGGCGTTGACTCTGCCTCTGCCTCAGTGGAAGTCGCAGTATGAGGCCAAGCCTCTGCGCTGGTAAGTCTTCTTAAGCAGCACGTCGTCAGAGAAGACGTCTGTCCTTTTTGGTCCAGCTGTCGCTGGCATGGGTATGTGCGTGTGTGAGTGTGCAGCTTAAATACTCAAGCAAGGAGTGTACCAAGTGTGTGTACACAAAATAATGCACATAAAATAAAAATTAATAGTTTGCGATAAGATATAGAATATAGACATATACATTTTTTATTTTTTAAATTATTAATATTTCAATAAAAAATTATTTGCGGTAACCATTGAGAAAGATATCTTGTTAAGAATTACTCATACGCCATGTGAGCCTTGGGTTATCGAGAAATTTCATCGTTTCGACATTCTTTACTTAAGATTTTTGCTTTATGATTGATCTAATTTTTTTGCCAGTGCACTTATTGGATAAATGCTTGAATGCTCACACTTACCTCCCAGAAGCCATTTCCGGCACTGGTCGTTACGTCACTGTAGGCCAGCACCGCGCCCGGCCGACTGCTGCGGAAATCGAATTTAATATTAAATTCTTCGGCGTGATTTATGGGCCACCAAATGTGTGATGTCGCAAAGGGATAGGTGATGGGTATGACATTCACTTCATTCTCGACGAACTCGGCCTCAAGCACGCCTGACCCAGAAACCGGAACAGGAATCGAATCGAAAATGGAAACAGAAATAGAAACAGAAGCCGTAGTATGTAATAGTATTCCAAATATGTTGCCATCAAATCGTTGGATATTGAATTGGCCCACTTGCACTCACCGTGATAGTGCACTTTGGGATTCCCCCGTTGCAGTTCGTACAGGATGGAGATGTCGTTGTAGTAGACATACTTGAGGCTGCCCACAAAGTTGTTGTGCGACGCCAGGCCCTTCTTCTTGTGCAGTTCGGGTCCGCCACCGAAATATATCTCCGGGTCGAATAGTAGATTTCCGCTGGCAGTTGCTGGAAGCTCCAGGACTTTCTGCTGCTGATCCAGGATAATGCTCACCGTTCGCTGTTCGTGCAATATCGTCAGGTTGTGCCAGTACCCTCGAGTTAAGTCATCCGTCAGAATAGTGCTCATCACATTGTCGCCAAAGTCCATTTCTACATGAATCGATTGGTTTTTAATGGCAGCCGCGATATACTGATGCTTCAAGGACTCTCCGCTGGCGTAAAATAGGGCCGAGTCATCGAAATTGGTGCGGAATATCAGACTTATACGCATGGTTGAAGAATGTACACGATCCTTCCAGTCGTAGATACGGTAGGACACATAACTGGCTCCTCGTAGAGTGATTATAGTGGCCGCTGAAAGAACGGAGAGGCGATTAGATTAATTCTTTAAATATATTTGAGCTGGTGCTTTTAGAATGCCTCCATTAGCATATTTGCTTTGGCGATATACCACAGATATTGCATAATTAATTATACCCATAAAAAACAATGGAATTATATATTTTTTAAAAGTTGAATCCCAATTATAATTATTTTTTCTGTGAACTAAATACCTTAATTCCGTTAATGGTCTTTGTATAATATTTATCAATTCAATTTTTTTCTTGTAAAAATAGAAACAGCATATTTATAAACTGGACACCAGAGCACTTGAAACTTTGAACCCCGTTGGCCATTTTTTCGCCCTTTTTTATACCCCTGCCACTCGTGCTTCTTGCATTATCTTCCTGCCACACACACACATTCTTTCAGCAAAAGCAAAACCGGCAAAAAATATGGCCAGAAAGAAAAAAACGTCAGTGGGCCACAAAAATAGATTATATTGTTTGTTCTATGGCGGCCTTTAGGCGTTTGCTTGCCCTGGACCAAATGTGCAAATCGTGTAACGCGCAATTTTCATGAAATTTTTTGCATTCCCTTCTGCTGGTGTGGGTGGCTCGGGGCCTGCTGATGCATCAGTGGTGCAGTGGCGGGGTGACAGTGCCGTGTGTTTCTGGCTGCTTATCTGACACAGCACACGTGGGCCATGCTCAGTCGATAACGCATCGCGGTTCCCAAGTATACTTTAACAAAAACACAAAGAAAAGTTTATGTTTTTAGGGGAAATCCATTAATTATTAATTATTATCCGAAGTATTATTAAAGTCCAACAAACCCTTTAATATAGTCTTCTGAGAAGTATTTTAATCCCAGTATTGAAATACTTCTTGTACCAATTTCTGGCAGTGTAAACATCCCAAACATTACTAGCTTACTTCATAATTTTATTTGCATATTGCTGGAGTAAAAACTTTCTGCTGCATTGGACCACCAAAGTGTACTAAAATTTTTTCTTGTTGATTCGGGGGACCCTTCATTGGGTTTATGTTAATCCAGAAGCATAATGAGCGGAAAGGTGGGAGCGCGATGAAGGATGTGTATTCCCATTAGAGCAGTCCGCACCGGGTCACAACCACAGTTTTTTTTGTCCTGCCATTCTTGGTGCCAAAATGACGGCAATTCTGCAAGACCCTCATACCACTGCAAACCCTCCCGAAGACGACCCTCTGCAAGGGCTCCACCGCCAGAGGCTTGAAGCTGATGGTGTAGTTGAGCAGACCCTGGGGAAAGTGGCGGCGATAGTCCCACGGATATGAGAGTATCCCCGTCAGCTTGCTGTGGTCCACAAATGAATGCTTCACGCTGTGGTGTTCCTTCAGCGCATCAGGGGGATCTGGGCTGATCTCACCCTCCATCCAGAGGTCGGGGAAGATCCGCAACACCCTGTGACTCTGCACATCGTTGTGCGTGGCCAGACGCACAAACTCCAACACCACCTCGGGGCTAATCTCTGTATACAGCTTGAGACACACCCTGCCCAAGAATTGGTCGTCCTCCCGCACTGTTACATCGAAGTACACTATGGGCCGGAGCAGGATCTGAGAGTTCCGCTTCCCCAGCCGGGGCGATGGCAAGTAGGGCCTAAACCTGGCCACCGTCTCCTCAGAGGCCTTCTGTTGAATGGGCTTCAGGGGCGCCGCCCACGGATTGTGAGAATCGACCTTAGGGGAAAAATAGTTTACTTTTGGGGGTCAGATGCTGCATCCCTGAACTACCAACCATTGACTTCACCTGGGACAGACGACAGCCCAACTGCCTGTTTTCCTGGCTCAGACGATCCGCCAAGTCCCGGATCTTCCGAGAGTTCTTGTCAGTAGCGGGAAATGTGCGGTTAAAACAGTTCACATTTCCATTCAAGCGCTGAATCTTGTTGATGTTCCCAAGAAGCGAAAGGTTATTCCGTAAAATATGCTGTTTTTGTTGCAGATCCTTACAAAGTTGGGTGCGATACAATAAGTGGCTTCGGTCGTTGGGTTTCCACTCCAGCGAATGCCCGTACGACTTCACGGACTTGAGGCGCTTGTGATCGAGCTGGGCCTGTCGCATCTCGACCATACTCTTGAAGGTCGTCACATTGATGTCCGAATGCTTGACATCGCCTATGGATCGCATCGCTTTCCGGAACTCCTTGTAGTTGGGCACCCGATATTTGGGCAACTTCTCCTCCACCATTTGCTTGTTGGACAGCAACTCGCTGGCCACTTTTTGGGCACGCAACTGGATATTTCGAGCTGTCGGAGCATTTGCGTAAAATTCAGAATAGGAAACTGAGCGGCAGGCCATTTCGGTTCGGGAATTACTTTACAGTGTACGCCCTACGATTGCCGTTTGAGCTAGACTGGCAAATTTGTGGACTCAAGCAATTTGTGGGTGTGTGTTTGGTGTGTGTGTTTATATTTGGGCTAAACAAACCACACACAGACAGAGTGTAAAAGTTTGATTTATTAATGGAAAGCCAGCTTTGATGGGATAAACAAATCCACGCTATCTAACCCATTGACATTCGTTTACCAAACGGCAAGGTAAATATTTTGTAATAGTGGATATGTGAAACGAATTAGTTTGGATTGAAAAAAATCCAAGCCACCGCAAACACGATTTATTGTTTGCCAATGAAATTAAATTATTAAAAAATTATTCAGCCCATCAAAAGGTCTCTTTAAAGATTTCGTTTTAGTCTTAAATTGTGTTAATTGACTTTACATTTATTTGACACATTTTGGAGGCAGCTATTTGGGGTATTATTTCTACCTTTCTTTGTTAAGGCTATAAATAAATTTTGAACAAAACTTCGAGCTCTAATTAAAGGTGATAATTAATTAAATTAGGAAGTTGTGTCTTGAGCAATTATTTTTAGCTAGTTTTACTTTAAAGACATCTAACTTTAATCTTAAAGTTTATGAACGTCCAATTACAAAGTCCTGAGCTTCGGCTTTTATCTCGCTATAATTGCATCTCCGGACAATGCATCACGAATGTCCTTTGAACTGACAACTGTCGGTCAAAATCCGGAGAAGTACTTAGCCCGGAGAGTCATCATATTAGGCTTGTTGCCCTCTTTGTCCGTCCGCCTGTCTGCCGTCTCTTTCATGGTTGCCATTTCAATTCGTTTATGCCGGAAGAAGCCAAAAAATCTTGTAGTCTCTTTCAGAAATGATGATGCCTGGTTTTTCGGGAGCTAATGATTTCCCCAACTGAACGCATTTCGGTGACACTTTTGGCACGGAAAATTGTAAAATCAGAATGAGTGAAAAGCCAGCTTCAGGATATGATGAGGGCTCTGTGAGTGGTGCAATAAAGGGGCTGGGGCGGGTATCAGGACGAACTGCATACGAACAGGCTTGTCCTTGTACTGGCAGTTGTCGTTTTAGTTATTGCATTACAAAAGCGTCTGCGTTTGATTATGTCTCATGTCCCATGTATACCCTGTATGAATTTTTATGGCACTTGGAGAAACTGGAGGAAAATTTTGTTTAAAGGTAAAATGTTAGATATTAATTTCTAAAATATTTATGTACGTTTACGCATAATGTTTTCTGTCAAAACGAAATATTGAATAAATTTATTTGGTACAAAATACAACTTTGGTCCTATCTAGGTTAGGTTTAGTTAGGTCGTCATTTCCTGAGAGTTGGGTAGAAAGAAAAGTATACTTTTATGTTTAGAAAGTAGTTCCTTAAAAAGGTTCATTGGTAAACAACATTCCTCTTGACCTTAATCATTGTGTTATTATGTTTTTTGTCAATTTATATAGTTTTCAATTTTTTATTCAATTTTTTTGTTGTGTAATTCTTTTCACTTGTTCTCTATGTGCGAGGTTTTAATGGCCTGACACTGTTTCCGTTCCAGGAGCAGCTCAACATGCAACCGGCAAACCATAGGGCAGTGGGTGGGCGATAGCCCGGCACAGGGTGGGTAGCTCGGGGGGTCGGGCGTGCGGGTGAGCTACATCTGTGTAATTTGCTTGCACTTGCCGGCGCTCGTTACGTAATTGTGATCAGTTGCAGTTGCAGTCGAGGCACCAGGCGCTGTAAATGCTTGACAAACTCGCACGTCATGGCGGCCTCTCTTTGTCCTTGACAGACGCCATTTAGACAGACAGTGAGGGCTATATAGGAGGAGGAGGTGGGGTGTGGAGTTTCACGCAGCATTTTCCAAAATGGCCATCGCTGTCACGGTTGCTGGCAACCCGTTAGCGATGCTTTTTTTTTATTTTTTGTTCATTTTGCAATTTGCAGCTGTCCATTGCATCAATACGTGGCATAGCCCCCTCTGGCTTCACCTCCCTGCGGCACTCCTCTCATTTCGCTTTCCGCGGAGTCAGGATTTTATTTTGGATTTTCCTTTTTCTATCGCATGGTGTGTGTGCTGGTCATCATTTGCATGCAAATTTTTGGCAAACATTTCGAATGCAAGTGGGCCAAATCTGAAGAATGCACGTCCATAAGCCCTGACTAGAGTGAAGGGTTTTTCGGGTTCTTTGATTTTTATTAAAGTACAAATGGCTTGTAGATTTTCTTTTGAAATATACGTAGTTTGGTAGAAAGTTTAAATAATGCATGTAAGTGGCAGTGTATGGGGTGTTTGGTTTTCAAACCCTTCTGCTAAATCTGTACAATGTCGGAAAACATAAACGATCTGCTCAATTTTTAATAGGCCTACCGATACAATGGCCTCGCGTGACTTAATTGAGATTATGGCGGCCTGGAATTGGCTTTATGTCATTAACTAAATGTCGGATGTTGCCGAAGGAAGGGGAGGGGAGCGAAAGGATACAACCGGGCTGGAAAATGGCGTGTATATATTGAGCTTAACAAACTAATTTTGCGCACATTCTGCCTGGTGTGGCCCGAGCTGGTTGGGCAGTCAAAAAGTCAAACACTATTTTGCATAATTTATGGTCAGGTCATTAGCGTGTTTAAAACTATATAGTGGCCAGGGGGTAGGTTCTGGAGTTGACGGGCGGTTAGCCAGGGCGGGGAGTGAGGGCGGAGGTTGGTTAGATGGCTAGTGGCAGTGGCTAACCGCTAGCAAACAAACACAGTTTATAATTAAAACAAAATGGCGCCCCCAGAGCCACACTTAGACATATACATACATCCAGATGGATTGCCGTTGGGTCGGTGTTCAGATGTTTAAAAATTGTTATTCATTTAATGAATTTCTAAACGGATAAATATTTATTATAAGATTAAGAAACCTGAATTAAACAACCGGGTTTTAAAAGTTAAGAATTATAAGTCTTAAATATCCCATCTTAAAAATATATATAATACTCACTGTAGATATCGCAATGCTCGCCCTCGTAGTGGGTGCCGAAGCAGTCACAGGATATGCCACCATAGTGGTTGATGCAGCGGGAACCCACGAAGCAGAGATTGTGTCGGGAATCGCACATGTCGGAGCATCCCTCGTTGACGTTCTCGTGCTTGGTGGCCACCAGAGGGGCGATGGGCAGGAGGTCGGAGGCGGCCTTGCCGGAGCTCAGGACCACGTTCCTGATGCAGCCCACAAAGGACTCGGTTATATATTTCACGCCGTGCAGCTTCTCCTCCGAGGAAAGGCCTGTGAAATTGTAAAAGCATAAGGGTCGGGTCAGTGGGCAGTATACCACAGATTAATTAACATTCTGAATATTTGGGAATGGATTTCGACTATATCTGTGTGTGCTTTGTGCTGCAGTGAGGGAATGGGTTGGTGGTGTGCGGCCATGTCGGATGACCATAACATAATTTCGTTGTTTACAGTTGAAAGTTTTGATGGAATTTTCGGACGCTGCTGCTGTTGCTAGAGATTTAAATATGGCTTAATTAAAAAAGTTGTCTCCGCTCAGTTTTTGGATCCACAGACAAAAAACGGAACAAAATCTGGACTAAGGAAAGCAAATTTGTTGAGGGTTTTATTTTTTAAAGCCTAAAGTGATTAAATTTTGGAGTTAAAACCTTTGTAATATAAGAATTGCTACTTCCTTTATTGCTTGTTATTAAACCACAAAAACTTATTTAAAAGTAAGATCCTTTAGAAGTTTATTGATTGCGAGCTTTCCATTTCACTTCTACCATTCATTGTGAGCCAGACTCCTGGGTTTTTCTTTGAAAAGCAACCACAACAAATTTATTTTGCCAGGGCGAAAAATGCACCAACACACCGCACACACTCTAAATCGCTTCATTCAATCCAAACGAACTCTGCGGGAGGTGGCTTGGCAAAAACTAGACCAACCAATGTCGGTAGAGTGCAATCAATGGCCCATTCTGTGCCGACCTGCTCGGCAGACCCTTTCTGCCATGGTCTATGGTCTTTGCAACGTGAAATAATTAAATTTTCAAATAACGTACAAAAGCAGCTTTCAAAATCATACACAAACTTCAACACTTACAAAGTCCGATTCAATGCAAAATGAGCAAGTTCACTTCCTAGTTTTAGTTTCTCTCGGTGTGTCGGATGAGTCGTCAAATTCGATTTTCTATTTTCAGTTTCACATATTCCGATCTATCCACATACATATATGCTTACTAAACTTTCTATGCTCGATTTTGATGCGATGGTTTATGTGTGAAGCCCGCGAACAAAAATCATAGCATACATTCGAGCGCTGCCTTTAATATGATTGATTTGTGGACGATTCGGTTGGCAGGTAAGTACGGCCAAAATATTAGGTTTATTACATTTTTGTTGAAGGATGATTGAATTTGATCATAAAATAGACTATTCTACAACTTGATTTAAATGTTTTTAATGCAAATATTAAATAAATATATAAAAATAAATATTAAATATTGTGTGAGTTTTCTTGTAAGCTTATTTATCTAAAAATTAGTTGATATGGGTAACTATTGTGATAATATTTCTATCCCGATTGTTATTCAATCCCACAATTGATTTGGACACTCACCTCCGACCAGGACCACCGACGGCAGATTCGTGGAGACGCCGTAGTTGTACTCGTGATTCAGTCCTTTCAGATAGACCTCTTCCTGACTATTGTCGACGCGTGCAATTAATCTTGCGCCATGGACATCGATGCGCACCTGTGCAACAGACAGCGAAGGATGGGTTATAGAGCGCAAAACCAATAAACCAGCCATCCAGCTGAGGGATGAGGTATGGGGCGTGGCGTTCACACACAGACAAATGATAAAAATTTATGAATTTATGCGTTTTGGCCCCGAGTTGAAGTTGCAAGTTTTTGGAAAGCGGCAAGCGATAAATTGTTGTTGCTACTGTTGCTGCTGCTGCTACTACTGCAATTGCATGGCTAAAAATCTACGAAAATGAATTGCAACTGCTGTGCGCACATAGTTGGGATCAGCTGAAATTCATTACGAATTTGCGTGTTATTTATGAGTGCCTGCCGTGTGTCTATATCAGTGTGTGAGTTGGGTTATACAGAGGAAAATGTATGCAAAGCACTTCAAGTTTCTAATTGACAAATAGTTATTGAGTGCCTTTCAGATCAGACTGATGGCGACACAGTACTTTTTATTAAAAGACATAAATTATTTATAAAAATTGTATTTTTTTGGCCAGTTTTTTCAGTGTTTGTGTGGGGGTGTGATTAGTAGGGATTCTGCTTGTTTTAAATATGAAAACATGAACTAAACTGGTTCTACTGCTGCTTCCCAGTAGCTACTGCCACTGTTATTGATGATGATGATGCTGACGATGCTTGAGGGATTGCGGTTGAGCTACATGCGTGGAGCCGAAGCAGGAATGGAACCAGCAGCCGGCAGCCAGGAACCGAACCGGACCAGTAACCACCAGACCCATGTCCGAGGTGAGTTAACAAAGTTGAACGCACATAAATCAACTAGCTCGCTTTGTTATAAAAGTTTGATAAAGCATTTTGCACACATGCACACAGGCAGCAGCACACATTCCGCATTGCAATCTTGCTAATTGCTTGCTGAACGCATGGCCATGCTAATGTTGGCTCTTGGCCAGCCAGTTAACCGAATTTCGTATACCCTGCAGCGCCCTGGGAGTGTTAAAGCCACCCATAAGCCCCATAGCCCCGATGAGAGCCGCATTCGGGTGTCAGCCTCCCTTTGGGACATGACCCCGTTTTGGGGCCCACTCACCATCACACTGTGCCATTCATCTCGATTCAGACTCTCGCCCACAGTGACACTCGTTGAATGCTTGCCAAAGACATGGACCACCTTCAGCTGGCCCTTCTCCACAATCACATAGAGTGCATAGGGGTCCAAAATAATGCGATCCGGATTCTTAACGTTGTGATAGACGAGTAGGCCGTGCGGCAGTCGGGTGCGGAATTGAAATGAAATCTCACGACAAAGTCTGCAAAGACACAAAGAGGTGCATTAGCATCAGTGTTGAAGTTGCAGCCTACAAAGTTACAAAGAAAATGCTAATTCCAAATCTACAAGGTACAAAAAAGCCATTCTTGTTGGTCAAATATGTCCAATTTCAAGAACAAATGTTTAAAAGTAGTAATCTTTTGTTAGTTATTGTATTTTTGGATACGATAAGTTGCAGCTACATCATATTATATTTTAAGGCTTAAAACAAGCTACTTAAACCATTTTTTAAAAATTGTTCTACTGGTATTTAGGTAACCTGTAAATGGAGATTTTTAATTTTTAATCAAAATGAAGGAAGAATTAATATTTTTATAGATTTTATCAGCATTTAACTAACTAGCGTTGACTAAACATTAGCTTCTTTATATAAAGTTGAAAATATTGTTTAGAAGTCTGATTATAATTTAAATTACAATTAGGTGGATATTTTAATTCCTAAATATTCAAGTAACGTAGAAAGTTGGCTGAAAATGGCCAAGACTTCATCACTTATTAGCATACATGTGAGGGAAATGAAAGAGACGTGTCGGGAGGTGGGCTTGCCTGACAGAGTTTTAAATTTATTTGTTCGTTGCTCTTGACTGCTGGTGTTTTTGTTGCTCCTGCTGTCGGCAGCCACATGAGTTACAATTAAAACTACAGCACAAATTGCCAACTTGGCCAACTAGTAGCCACTGACCAGCAACAATGAAGGCACCAACAACGTTACAGCCGGAGCAGGTCCTATTTGGTAAAGTTATGTTTAATTTTATTTGCCTGACTGTCTGCATGTTTGTCCAAAGTGTGCACAATGTTTGCTTCGTGTGTGTGTGTATGTACATAAGCTCTCCGTAAATTTAAATAATATTTTTATCTTAATTTTATATGCAAATGTCAAATGTTTCTGGCCAAATTGAATTTTAAATTTTTACAGGCCGAGAGATCTTGGGCCCAAAGTCGTTTGGACTATTTGTATGTCGCAAAACGGACAGAAAGGTCTTGCAATTGAGCAGAAAATTAACTTTCGACCTGATTTTCGGATGTCCTCCGCTCCTACTCTTTGGCAGTTTTCCGGTATTTTTAGTGTTGGATGTTAGTTACGGATAAGATTGCAGCCCCCAAGAAAATTGCTGAAAGAAAATCAATTTCCAAACTGTGAAAGCAATGTCAGTTTAGCTAATTGCTTTTGTACACAGTTCTCCTTTTTAACCCTACAAAGGTGTCATGTTGCCATATAAATATGTTATGAAGAAAATCAATTCATAGCCATTAAAAAGCCAAGACTATCTATTCTAAATTCTATATAAATATAAAGATATATTTATATTTTTTAAGTGTTGAGTTTTTGGAGACTTTCTGGTGTGAAAGAAATCATTCCCTTTTGAGCCAAAAGGCCAACAATCCGCTAAATGCAGCCCTTGCGCGGAAGTTGATGGCAGAGAGCTATGCAAGGTCCTGAGGCTGCCACCTGCCAGGTGGTCAAGAGTCCCCCGCCGAACTCCCGGCCCACTCACCTTAATTGAAATGTCTGTATGATGTCGCCGTCCATTTGGATGAACGTGTTGTTCTTCGCGAAAACGAAAGTTTTGCCCTGCCCGGTCTCCGCGAAAGTCAGCTCGGGGCCTCGCTGCTCGATGGGCACTGGGGTGGTGCCGTCCCCGCCCTCGGCGCCGCCCATTCCGTCCGCCGCCTGCGCCGGACTCTGGGTGTACGGCGAGCCGAGGAGCATGGAACTTTCCGTGGTGCTCGGCTCCCGGGTCGTGGACTGCAGGAATGGCGGCAAAGTGTCTGCAAGTGTTGTGACGTCAATTAAAATGGCCACAAAGTATGGTAAGCGAAAGAATGCTAATTAATCCGGAAAAAAAGAGAAAATGTCTAGTTTTGCAAAGTTCTTAAAGTTTAAAATTTACAAGAACTTTACACTATGGAGACTTTTAGTGGTAATCAAAGGCTTTCTTACGTGGTCCGCCAATGCAGTGAAATAGGCACTCTGCTTCGGTGCTGAAGCGATTCTGGGGATTCCCCTCGCACCCGCCCCAAATAAAGTTGGTGCACTCGTTGGTGGCTGGCTCGTAGCGCCACTTGTAGATGTACTGCTTGCAGGGTCCCGGGTCTCCAGGACCTGTGCATTTGTCATATTGCTTGTCCTTGGGCGCCTGAATCATCGCCGAGTTGTTGCCGCTGATGGCGCTGCTGCTGCCTCCTCCGCCACTGCCGCCTCCGCTGCTGCCCCCACCGCCCACTGGCGATCCTCCCGGCGAGATTCCGCCTCCCGAGTCACTGGGCAGTATCTGTCCGCCGGGACTGCCGCCGGGCAGGCCGGCAACCCCACTGAGAGTTATATTGTTGCCGCCCATGCCGTTGGGATTCGCCCCTAAGAGAACTGGCATATTGGAGCCGCCGGCCGTGGCGACATCCGCCGAGGTCAAGTTGGGCAGATTCAGGCCTGCAGCGGAGCTGACCAGTGGCAGCAGCACCACCAGAAGATGTGCGAAGGTCATTTTCAGGACGGAACGCAGCCCAAGCTCGAAATTGGGATGTTATCTGCAAAGGAAATTAAAAGGATGATGCAGGTTTTATTTTAAATTGGATATTATAACTTAACTATAGTTAACTTAACTTAATTTAAAATTGATTAAAAAACAAGTGATGTATTTAAAAATATAAATATGTAACCATACATTTAAAACTATATGTTTTTGGACATTAAAAACTGTTTTTAAGCTAGAAAAGAGGCAGGTCCCGTCAGAAATCTCCCAACTTAAATACTATAAAGAGATCAAGTTATATACATATGCATGCATTTACAATTTTAGCACTTTCTAAGACAGATTAGTTGCACAATCTTTGGCTTATCTAGCCAACAAGTTTTAGGAAAAATACCTTTTTTGCATATCTCAACAAACTTCCGGTTATGGCACGTTATAAGCCTGCTGCAAGAATCCAAGTCGCAAGACTGATTCCCTTTTTTGTAAGAGCTTAAATCGAATGTCTTTATCCCGTTCTGGTTCTATTTTTCGACATTCCTTCCCCTCGTTGTTCATTAGATTTCCTTGTAATTGCACAATAAATTTACCAAGGCAATTTACTTGCATGTCACAAGAGCAGACAGCCCAGCCCAGCACAGCACAGAGCCGAGCCAAGCAGGGGGGATGAACCAACAGAGCCATCACAGCTTATGATTCCCGGCTACTGGAGAAGTTTACTATTGTCATGTGCGGCACTAAAATCCCATTTACATCATCATCCTCATCATCATCAGTCAATGTCTCTGTTTCTTTCCCTCGGAGCTGGCTGAGAATAAAGCGAGGCTGCTGCATTTCTTGATGCCATTTAGCGAAAGCGAAAACGAAACGAACTTTTCTGCTTACACTTCCGCCGGAAATGGGACACTCACACACCCACACACAGTCCTTATATATAAATATGTTTATAAAAGACACAGGCTAGAGGAAGACGCATGAGCTTGGGTTGATTTACAAGTAGCTTAGCACCATCAACCGAAAAAAGTGTCAAAAATTTCAAAATAATGATGCGCACAGTTTACTCTAAATGGGCAGGACAGCGTGCTGGGAGGGATGTCGGCCATGGGGGAACTAAAAGGAAATAGGAAATTAAGTTTTCCATCGCCCCCACTATGCCCCCACATGCTCGACAAAAAGTGAAACTTTTAGAGCTGCTTTTCACATGGCTCAGCTTATGGCCAAAACTTCAACTTGGCTCGTTTCCATCAGCTTCTCTTCGGGAAACATTTCTTTTTTGTCTGCCATTTCCGTTCATAAGCAATTTTTAATTGTGGCTTTCGTTGCCCAGGCAGCATGAAAAATGAGCGTAAAGTCGAGCTGCCGGGCAGAGTTCATGCGAATTAATAAACCTCAAAGTGTTAGACTTGGGCCCGGATCGTATTCAGGGTGGTCTGTTCTCGGTTTCTGGCCAAAATAAACACTTGAAGAAATGGTATTTCACTTCAGTATGCTCTAGTTAAAAATTTATGGAAGATTGCTGATGAATAAACCTGGTCCGCCATTAAAAGATATCATATTCAAGCTTTACTAACTAAAAAATCTATCGAAGCATCTATTGAACTTTTTGATAACTAAGACCATGAAAACTTTCCACGATTTAATACACTTTTCCCGCAGTGATGCCTCATGCTGGCAAAAATTATTGATGCATATGCCGGGCTGTCCAGGACGTGCGTGCCATCCGGTCGTTGAGTGCGGAGGCGGAGGGCGTTGTCTCTAGATGGATGGCCCAAAAATTGCAATGGGTTTTTGGCTGAAGAGCTGCATGACCGAGAAGTTCGGCTGCCACCCCGGCAATCCCTCTTTTTCCCGTTCATGGGGTCAGGCAAGCGTAAAAGTTTACCTAACTTCGCAGAAAGGATTTCAAGAGAGACTAGAAGCACTGCCTAAGGACCCAGTGCAAAGGATTTTGGGGAGAGGCAGGGAAAGAGTACAGAAACGCTGTTACCTGCGGCGACCTAATCCGGCCACTTAGGTAAAAAGGCGTCGCCAAAGGATTGTCGCGAAAAAATCACGGCCCAAAGGAAAGGCCAAAACCGGATTAACAGGAACGAGCATGCATAACATCCATTTCGACCTGAAAAGTCCTTTAAAAAGCCGATAAAATTCGAAATTGGTATGCATTTAGCGATTATCCGTCAGCATGGAAACATCTGTGGCCTACGCTATGTTCTTGCACCGCCAGGAGCTGCAACGCCGTGAGGCAGTTTATGTCCACGTCTCCAGGACTAAGATTCAGTTGACAAAGAAACTAATTGCCGAGCAGAAGCAGCGACTGTCCTCCTGCAGTCCCGAGGAACTGGAGATACTTAGCAGGGAAACCCAATTCAAAAGGCAGCTTCAGCAGAAAGTAAAGCACAGAAACAAGCAACTGAAAGCGTCCAAGTTAATTACTTCCAAGTTAATTAATATTAGTGATTTAAACCTAGTTTAGTTTAGTTTAGTTCAGAGAAATAAAATTTCATTTAAAAATTAGATCAAACTGTGTGTGGAATATTTAAATTTTAAAATATTTAATAGGCTTCTGAATTGTTTTCGTTGTTATACGTTATTTTTCCATCAAGCTATTCAATTACTTGAAAAAAAATCGTAAAACTTTATTTACAATTTCAATCATTTATCAGCGGAACTGAAATTCAAATTTCATGAACGCTTCCAATAAATTCTCACTTGTGGTCGTATATACCGCCGCTATCCATTCATTTATTTTTAATTGTTGGAATTTTTTTAGTATCCCTATTAAGCACACCCATTGATCGATGCACTTTCTCCAACTTTCCTCTTTGGCTTTTCCCGTTCTGGTTTCATTTCCTCGCTTTTTAATGTTTTCCCAGCAAACTCAAAGCGATTTAAATTGAGCGCCCTCTCGTAGCGCTTACAACAACAACAAATAAAGTCAAGAACAATAACAACAGCAACTAGCACAACAACAAACTAAGTAATAACAGCAACCTGAGGGCATACCCTGCATTTTTCGCCCCCACTTCCCCCTGGAACACTTCCCGCCAAATTACACGTTTTGTGCTCAGCGTCGACGCCTTCCGCGCTATATACCGTTATAGCTACATATCCGTCGTATATATGGCGGGAAAAAAATACGCCGGAGACAGCGCCTGGAGGGGAAAGAGAAAGAGCCAAGGAACGGGAAAGAAAAAGGGAAAGAAAAAGGGAAAGAGAGCAAATGAAAGCAAAATGAAGTCAAATTAAATTAAATGACAGATGTCTGACATTTTGATAGTCGTGCGTGAGTCTCTATACTCCTTGGTGTTCTTGTATGTGTGTGTGTGTGTGTGCAATATAAACACATGCAAATAGCCAAGGACACTGCAAAAAAAAAAACTAGATATACACTTTTTGATGGATATCTTTAATGGTTTTCTATCTATCCATCACATATGTATTATCTATCTTTAGTATCAATTTTTGAATACATTGAATACATTGAATTGAATACATAATCTAGATATAATGTAGAAAGAAAGATCGTTATATATTTACTTCCGCTTCTATACGTTCTGAGCATTCAAAAATCAAATTTTGAGATTATACTCAGTTTTGCTAGTTTTTTATGTGAAACACTATTAAATTCCATTGAAAAGTACTAATTATTGCAATTTTTTATATATGTATATATTAAATATATGTATATTTCTTTATATAGATAGATGTTATGTAGAACTTTTTAAAAGTTTAATATTTCATTCGAATTTTTCAAAATTGTAGCTTTAAGCCTTATATTATTATAAATTTTTATAAAATGTGGAACGATTTTTTTTTAAATGGTGTTGTTAGGCAATAAATTAGAAATACATATTTTCTTAGTTGTTGAATTGAGTTAGATAAAACAGATTATTTCAACTATAATCAACATTTATAGTCTTTATAGTCTCTAATAGAGAGTCTAGAGAATACTACTATTATAATTATAATTCGTAATGTTAAAAAGATATATGTATATATTTTTTTGTTTTTTAATTTTTGTGAAAATTACTGCTTCTGTTTCTTTATTATAAACTATTATAGAAAATCTAATGACATTACTTATTACCATTATTTTATTAAACATTTTTCAATCAATGCTATTTTCAGTGTACAACCGTTTGTGTGAGTAAATGTCAAGTGTCGCAAGGCGAAATGCACATGCATTTGCAGAGACATTGGCGTGGTTAAAAGGGGTCTTAGGGGAGGGGACTGCCCGGGCATGCCAAGGCATTTGCCCTAACGGGGAGTGAGTGTTTGTAGGTACTGGGTGCATGTCTCCCAAGTGTTGGTCGCGTAAGGGTAATGAATTAAAATAACTTGATTGCATGAAATTGAACGAATTGTTGCCCAAGGAAGTCAAGACAGAAAATGGGAATTGTTTTGGGGGGATGGGTGGGGGTTGTCGGGGCAGGGAAATGCAAATGAAAATGAAAAGGAAGGAAAATCGTGCCACGATGCGAACACAGCTCGCGGATATTGCACTCCTTGTATCCGCTGCATGTGCTCGTGCATGTGCGAAAATATTTACTGAAATTTGTATATTAAGTGACGACGACAATGGCAGAGACAACAACAATGGCCTTTGTCGTGCTCGTGTTGGTCTTTGATGGCGTCACGGTCGCGTTCAGCAAGTGTGAACGGAATATATAGCCCAGAGGATATATCGTATATAGATCTATGTGAGTTCCACAATAGAAGTCAAGCAGGAAGAATCCGCGCTGCTAACTGCGTAGGAGTCGTCGCTACATTTTCAGGAACAAGTCGAGATCCGGGAAGACAAAGGACATGAGACAGGATACTAAATAGAGTGGGGGAATAGATGCTACGAAGCTGCAGGCATTTAACCGTGGCGTTCTGCTCCACTAGACTTCTTTATGTGACTCCACATTACAGTGGAAGTTGCTTAAAGCAAATTTTTGCACATTTTTCTCTTAAAAATTGAGTTTAATTGAACTTTGTTGTTCTCTTAAAAGTGCCAAATATTATGAAAAAATTCAATTTTCCGTTGCATTTAAACCACATCCTTTCTGTCCAAAAAACACTGTTGGAATCAGGACAAAGACTAGATTTGTGCAAGCATTTTCGCACTAACAAATTCAATTATTTGCAAGCACTTTTAAAATGATTTAATGCCGGCCGCCCCCTCGTTGAAGCTCTAAGCCATTAAACGAAACTATAAATGTTTGCATTTAGCAATAGTTTATGTCACACACCCGCACTGGCAAACTCGATTCGAGTAACACTGCATTTTGGGCCGGCTTAGAATATTAAATGAAATTTATACGCCTGGCTGGGTGCGTTGAGCCCAGTTTCGGGACTGTCAGTCCGTCTTTTCGGCCGTTTCCGTCTGGCCAGCTCCATATGAATTATAATTGCCTGTTATTTGGCTATTGTATAAATAATTATTGTTTAATTTGCTCGCACTTGCTTGGGCAAACAAGCTGCCTGTTTCTTTCTTTGGCAGCGAGTGCATTGGCCCGACGTCCGGCAGCAAAGAAATGTGCAAGCTCCGGATTTCTGAGGGCTTTTTAATGGGCATTGGAAGCGTGCTGAGCATTTTAATTAAGTCATTTTATTGTGACACTACTGTTTAAAATTAAATTATGAGTTTATATGATTAAGTTTCTCCTTACCCTGTCGGCATATCATAAATAGCCCATTGCAATAGACTGCTCCAAAATATCTCTTTGCTTTGAATAAATCAGTTTTTCTTTAAAAATACTTATTTCATTTATTTCTGATGCTCTAGTTTAGGTTTAAAATGAATTTATGTAATAAACACAATTTTGTAGACACTTTTAATCTGAAAAGTAACTTTGTTATGACAGCTGCTTTCGGTTGATTAGTAACATCACTATTTCTTCTATATTTTAGCACAATTTGTACTCCACATACTTATTTTTGTATCATCGAACTATCAAATATTTAAATATTTAATATTTTTATTTATTGATTTGCAATATAGACACTCCATGTTACATTGGCACAAATTAATTGGCATCATTTATGTTTGACTTGCACTTGTTATTCCATTATTGACCTCGTTTAATTTTAATGCGGCAATAATATTTATATAAATGCATTTCCGGCGATGAGCTTATTATTTTTATTAGCTAAAAATGAGCATGTTAAGGATGTAGTCTCATGTTCCGGCCTACTTTTTAGAGGTTATTTCAAAAAAATTTTTTTGTAATAAAAAATAATGCGATCGTTCCAATTTTCACATATGTTTTTATGGGCATCATAAACTATTTGAAAATATTTTGTTTAATTTATTCTTGTGTAGTTTAATACACTTTATAGCATGCCAAAGTATGCATATAAAAAAAAAAGGTAGGTCCCTGGCGCAGGTGATTTCGACTGCTAGAGTCATCCGAAACAAAAAATTAGAATAGATTATTGTTTTGTAAGCTTATGGCTCTGTCCCGTACTAGAATGAAATATTTTCATCAATAAACAACAAAATGGCGAACTCACAAAAAAAAAAATGTTAAAAAATTTAAAAAATTTATCTTAAATTAATGATAAAAAAAAAACTAATCATTAAAAATAAATGATTCTAGTACGGGACAGAGGTGTTACTTTTTAAAACAACATATCCAAATTTCAGCTAGATCGGTACCATAGAATTTTGTGAATCACCTGCGCCGCACACAAAAATGTCGTTCCGAGAAAAACGCGTCTAAAGTTTAGACGCTACCGAGAAACTCATACATTTCGGTGTAGGCGCGCTCTCGATTATGGGCTGTATCTCTGTCATTATTTGATATTTTTATTTGAAACTTTAACAGTACATTCTTAATAAACAATACTATCGAAATATGTGAAAAAAAAAAAATCGATTTTTTCAACCTCACACATGAGACTACATCCTTAATGGTGGAAGCACAAAAACACATTCTATTATTATTATTGTAATTCAAAATTAAAATGAGCCACCATTTTATTTTGTTTCACTTCATATACGTAGATATATTATCGAATTTATTGAATTAAATACGCATTTCGTGTATTCATTTTTATTAAGTGGCCAGAAATGGCTTAATTTTGCCATTCATGCGATATTTAAATGGGTAACGAGCACTGGAAATAATTTCACTGGACATCTTCATACATATTGATTTAATTTTGTTCCTGTGCGGACTGCATCTGGGGGTATTTAACACACTAACGCTCTGAAGTCATTATGACCGAAAGCGGAGAAGTAGCGCAAACACATGTCGAATATCGGACGTGAATAGGGCGGGGGTGGAACAATGCGGGGGCGTGGCAGGGTCACACACTCGAGCGTAAAACGGTGCCCAAAATGAGGTCAAAGTGCGCTGGCGTTTTGCGTGACTGAGCTCTCGTTTACTGGCGCTCGCATGTGTGTGTTACATTCAAGGATGTGTCGTTGCAGTGGTATTGTGCTTTATATTTTCACTATTTTATTTTTTTGCTGACGCAAACGAAAGCTGCTCACAGCTCGCTGTTCGCTGTTCGGCCAAACTCATGTGAACTCATCCAGCTTTGTTTGTTTGTTTTCCTGCTTGTATCCTGCGGCTGATGAATCAACTTTTGCCTTTTACTCAAGTCACGAAACACAAACTGAACCGAACCGAATCGCACCCAACCGAAACAAAATCAAGCGGTCGAGGATTACATTTGCGTGAAAATCAGAGACAATCGAATACAGGCCGACACCCCGAAAACAGGACACAGACACCGAGTTCCGGCTAAGGATATCCGCAGTCGTGGTTGGGGTTCACAAAAGCCGGCTTGATTAAACGAGAAAACGGTCTGGACAACGCGACGTATACGCAATGGCAATCGCCCTTCGCCCAACGGGTCGTATGAGCAATTTCAGGTATCCCGATTCGAACCCTTTGAGGCATCGACATCGACTCCTTTCTCTGGTGACGTGCTAATTGCATGTCCAGGATAATGAATAGCTCAACGCAGGACTGGGACTTGGGCTTGTTCGTAATCCGTAGTAACCATTTAATCCACTTGCCTCGACCTACGCGGTGCGACTAATTCAAGCGACGAAATGTTAAAGCAACGCCAGCAGCGACTGCGACTTCTAGTTAGTTAGCGTGCTAAGTAGTAAGAACAACAATAGCACACCCATGCACTGAGAGAAACCTAAAGTTCTTAGTTTAAAAAAATGCTGTATCTTTTGGTAGAAAACCATCTTAACTTTTCGCTTTGTTGATATTATAAAAATATATTAAAGTTACGATGGACAATAGTCATTAAATTCCAATATATATCTATTTTTTTGGAACTGTAGACACGCAGCATGGTGTTCTGAATGGGTTGCTTGGTACTCTGATGGTGGTAGTGGTGCTCCAATGTACGAGACAACGATGTCGTGCGGTCTTGTGGCGGTTTTGTAGTGGGTGCCGGTGTGAGGTACGGGGACTTGGGATTGACCGGGCGATTTGTTGCGGCTTAGCCATTAAACTGGGCACATTATTAGTTTAAGTTTGGTTCGGACTTGGGTCACTGCTACGATTAACCGTAATAGGCGTCAATTGGAAAATTACCGCTGATCTGCCGCACATCTGAGGCAATGTATCTGAGGCGAAGTATCTGATACGACAATTCATTTGGTAGCGAGTGGGTGTACTTCTGGCTTGGAAGACAAAAGGCCAGGGACTAAGATTTATCAGATTTAGTTTTCAAATGCTTTAATGGGGTAGTCGACTTTAGAAATTTCTACTTTAAAATAGATATGTCAGATAACATTTTTTTAGATATTAGCTTAAGTTTTAGAAACTTTTGATGTGAATAAAAATTATAAAAAAAATATTTAATTATAAAATAGTTTTTCCTTAGAACCATTTTTATGGTTCTATGGAATGAAACTTTGAAAAATAAATTTGTCTTTTTGTAAAGCACACTTTTCTAGAACCCAGAGCATCATGGCACCGGGTGATGTCCTCTCATATCTTTCGTCTAGCCTTGGGCCTTCAGTCCCCAGTGTTATCTAAATATTTGATGGCTCTTGCCGAGGTTTTGCGACGTTCATTTAAAATTCAATTTATTTTGGCAGCCGCATCACCAAGTAACACGAGTTGGACAAAAAATTTGCATTACTTTTGGCATTGATTTTGTGCAAAAAAAAAACACAGAAAAGTACAATACGGAGAAAAATGTCTTGGGTCGCTTATCTAGACGGGGGCATCTTTGGCTCCGTAATTCGTGTGGCAATTGTCTTAATTCGAAAATTGCAACTCTCGCGGCTCGCCACAGACAAATTGTGGGCATGCACGAGTGTGTACGCATCGGGGCAATGATAATGATTGTGTGTTCCAAGATGCCAGATCAGACCCGATGACGTCCCCATATAGACATATATATATATTTGTTGCTGTTGCGGTTTGTTTGTTGTCCATCAAGGGATGGGTAATATATTCTATGGCACTGACAAAAATTATTAAAGATTGTATATTCTAGGAAAGGAAAATATTGGTTCGAAAAAAGATAATAAATATTATTTAAAGCTTAAAGCCGTTTTAACGTTTAATAGGAACTTCAATATCCAAACGTTAAAAAATGTATTTTTTTAAGAAAAATCAAAAGACCTAAAACATTAATAATCATAAATCCCAATATTAAATAACAATCTCTCCCTTCCCAATTTGCTCCATTTAAATGATATATTGTGTGTGCTTTTGTCATAAACAATGACATGTGAAATGGCGGCGCCGTCAGATGAAAAATGGGCGATTGACCTTTGACCCCAGCTTTTTGCGTGCACACTTAAGATGGGCATTTTTATTGCGCTTAATTGACTCGAGGCGATTGTTAATTTGCTTATTAGTTAATTTCATTTAGTGCTCAAAAAACTTATTCGAAAACACCAGTTTATGCCGCTGTGTTGTCATGTGACCCAATCGAGATTATTAAACCAGTTATGGATGCAAGTGTGTGTCGTGTGCTGGGTGTGTGTGTGGGTGTTTGTCATCAGCAACAGAAACAACAACGTTAAGAAGAAATCAGCTTAGATCACGTGCGGTTTTGTCTGCCCGTCAGAGACTATGGTAATGTCATGACACAGACTCGCAGAACCCGTAAACACAAATACACGCGGTGCCGGCCGCCTGTCTGTAGCTTTGTCATTTCAATTTGCAAAACATTGACTGAGAGACTGAGAAGTGTAGAACTGAGTACAATCACTTGAACAAGATACAGACAATTATAGTAAACAATGATTACTATAGTGGAAAAACATGAATTAGTTTCAATTGATTGGATTTTGAAAGCTATTAATGGCTCTGCCCCTTCATACCTAATCTAAAGTGTCTAGAAGAAATGTAATTAAATACAGAATCGATAACCTAATATAGAGCATCCCTTAGTCCCACTCTGTTGACACTTTTTAATTTAATTATTGGCATATTTAATTTTTTAAGCGTATACTACTATATATTTATACTGTCGAAGTGCCAACCGCACACAGTTTTTGTTGACACGCTTCGGTTTGCCCTATCAATTGTCTACTCATTAATGGCTCTAACCAAACATTAACTACATTACTGCGTTCTGCCAGAAAAGGGGGAATCGAATTTTAATTTGATTTCTGCCGCTTCATTTCCAATTAAAATTTAAACAAATAGCAATGGCAAATCACAAAAACTCAAATGCCTAGCGGAGCGTGTTAGTTTGCATCATTGTTTGCTGTTGCTCGATTGTTGGCAAATTATTATACAGAGAGCATGCAGCTAATTAGAATTTCTAGTTCAAATAACCCGACAAATCGTTTTCATAAACGAGGGGCGAAAATATCCAAAATTTTGCTGTAAAATAAATATTACTTTCACTGTCACAAAGGGCAATTAAGTGCCGCTTGGAACTTTAATTAAATTTATATTCAATTCAAACGATTCATTACCTATGTAATGAAAGTATCGTTTTATGTTTCGGGCTCTTGAAAACTTCTGAATTTTTGTTAAAGCCCCTGGCAAATATTAAAAGCAGTTTACTATTTACTTTGGCAATTCACATGCTTTAATCAAGCCGGCCGATAAGAAAACAGAATTTTCGCCTGGCTCTTGGTAATTACCATTAAAAATAAACAAAAGTAAACTTTTAATTGCCCTTTGGAAGAGTCAACAAGCAATGATAAACTAAAACTAGAGCGAAACCCTTTGCGCGTCATTATCTTTTTTTTCAGCTTATCTGAGGTAAATATCCAGAAACAGTCCGCGGATTATCTGAGGTGTATGCAAATGCAAATGATAAATGCCAAATAATTTACATGCGACCCACTAAACAAGTCCCCACCTGACAGCCCGCAATTACCGGCATTCGAATGTTTTCCCTCGACGGTAATCGAAGTGTCAAATCACTCGACCCGACAATAGAGAAATTGCAGTTTACTGCCAACGCCTGACATGCAGGCAGATAAAGTGCGAGATAAGCGATTTAGATTTTCATCTGCATATATACAGATTTATGAGGTCATAATTCTAATAAAGAAATGAGCTCAAAGTTTCCGTGGGCTTTCCGTCATCAATCTTTAAGGCCCCGAAACTTTATGACAAATTGCTCCGGCAATCAATGAATCAATGGAGCCTGTAAATTTTCTCGACAGGCAACCGAGCGATCAATCAATCACTCAATCGATCGATCGCTGGCGTTAGCGATAGGGAACGGGCCTCCACCTATCTGGAGGAGTGCCCACTGTGCTGTCATAAAATTTCTTCGAGATAGATTGATTCTTATCGCGGTGCAAGCTCACCTGTGTCAAGTGGGTCTGTCAGCTATTCCAGTAATTTACAACGACGGCCAGAGATTTGTCGATGTCCGGACTAATTCACACCATAAATAATTATCACTTAATTACTGATTTATGTACGTATCTATCTGGTACGGTGGCACACACATGATTCCATTTACATATTTTTATTTGGGCAACGGGCCACAGAAAGGCACGACTTAGGCGATGTCGGTACACAATAACCGCTTTCAGATAGATGGGAAGACGGCACTTGAGCCGCGAAAACCTACAAGCTGGATTATTTGGTTGCTAAATTAACACTTCCGCGGCAAAAAGATCACGTTGATTCATCCCGGCTCCGGCTGAGTGAGCGATTTCCTTTACAGATCTTCGGCCGTCAACTTAAGTGGCTTCAATTGAGAGATGCCGCCCGGCCTAACTCATCTCCCTGCACAGAAGCAGCTTAGTTAAGGAATCCCGGCGCCGATCCGTACCCGATCCGAGTTCCAATCGCAACCTCAAGCCCTACCGCTGGCGAACCGCTCGATCGTAACGTTGGAACGCAAGTGACTTGGGAATAATGCCGGTACTGGACCGGCTGATCGCAGAGTCGGCTATGCCGACTGATAAGCACTTCGGAAAACAAAGCTCAGCTGATCGTCGAAGCGGGACGGATAGACCGGTGGGATGTTCGTTTCTAGCATGCGACAAAATTTGCTCATTGTATACCTTGACTTGGTATATCTGGGGTTGCGTTTTTCACCTATCAATTACTCTACTTATAAGGGTGGCTTGGATGACCGATCGATCACTAAATTTTTAAAGCACCCATGTTTTTACTTTCACAATTGTTGTATGGGGATTAAGGAAATTATATAAATTATGGCTGATGGGCAGATGCAGCCGATGTTCCACGGTTTTCTGCTTCACTAAACACTTCATTAAAAACTTTTTAAAAAATACCATTTTCTTGGAAAAACTTAAAATTTTAATTAGCCATAAAACGTATATCAAATATTAGATTCAGATGTGTCACCCAGAACGAATTTTTTGTAGGCTCTAGTAAGTTGCTCGAGGAATACCAATACAAGCACTGTATGAGGACCTATACGACCAAAATAAGGCAAGAAACCCTTCCACAGCGAGAAGAAACCTTCGTATTTGACCACCTTTACGAGCACATCCATTGTTCCCTTGTACTCGGCAGTCTTTTGGTTTTGTATTCTGGTTTTGGCCATGTCCAGCGGCATCGAGGTGGTTGCGGTCAAAAGTGCAGATACCATGGAGGCCGCGATATGCAGGCCCAAACCACTCAAAAACTGGGAGAAGTAGTTCTTGAACTGCGAGTAGGAGCCTAGCTGCGTCATGTTGACCAACATGGCACGAGTCACGGTGGGAAAGCACCCTCGCCACAGGGCTGGTGCTCCTTCTTCCTTCACAATTCTCACGAAGGCGTCGCCGACGTTCTTGTAATTACGCCTCTCCGCCGGTGGCAGTCGATTGTCAGACATCATACGGACGAGCGCCACCTCCGCCGGATTACCCACCACCGCTCCAATCCCTCCTGCCACGATTCCCATGGCCATACTGGCCAAGAAAGGTGGCTTTCCATAACGATTTAGGTACGCATCCACCTCCATTTGATAGACGCCCATTCGGGTCGTCGTATATGTGGCCTGTCGCATCAATCCCGCACTTAATCCATTGTAAAAGGCCAGTAGACCCTCGGTCTTAAATATTTTGGCCATTTTGTCAAAGGGGGACCTGTGCTCAGTGGTTAACGAAAGCTGCATTCGGGTTTTGACCAGATCTAGCGGTTGGTTAACGGTGGTGGCCATCATACCAGCGAGACCGCCCATGATGTACTTCATGTATCCGGGAATCTCCTTCTTTGGCATCTCGGACATATTAAAATTTGAAAAAAAATCGTTATTAATTTTTTAAATTTTGTTAATTTTTTGCCAAAATGGAAACTACAAATAATGTATTAGAGGCCCATTACACAATGAACAACAAAATATCAAACAATTCAAGTGCCTAACAAGGTGTATAACTTTTTTAATGTTTTCGTTTGTTTCTTTTTTTTTAATAAAATTTGAAATGAAACATTGATGCCAACAACCTAACCTACGGGGATAGTAATAAATGCTTTAAATTTTTTGCATAGAATGCAAAAGATTTTTTTTTTTTTGTGGGTCTTGGTGAAGTCTTTGAATCGGAGGAATGGGGGTATTCTTCCTATTGCATATCGAAAATGAGTTCTACACACTTGTGATTACTTTGTAATAAGTTCCGGAGCACTTAATAACAAGCTATGTAATAATTATAATTGCAGAATAACGTAGGTATATTTTGGTTTTGAAAAAATGTCAGCTTTTCAAAAGAGAAAATCGTTTGATCACGATTTTTTTTTAAATTTATTATTTGATTTTAGGTAGAATGTTCATTGTATATTGTTGATTATTCAAAAATTCGTTCACGCAATATTGCCAGCTTAACTACGAATTTCAAAAAAATTTGTGGGTGAGCCGAAGTTCATATACCCTTTCTGTTAAATGGAAGCGTATTAGGGTTAAGGATATGCATATATATGATATAAATATATCGAATTTTATGGTATGAACCACCACTGATATGAAGTAATTCTCCGAAATAAGCTCCAATTTGATCTTTTAAGACCTCATGCTTACCGTTTCTTAATTGTCACTCATTCTAAAATTATACTAGTTATTCTTCAAGTATATTCTATAATTAAGGTTAGAAAGATTCGAAAGAAAACATGTTGAAAATTAGAATATCTAGTTTAAAACATTAACTTTAAATTATACTAATATTGACATATTATTGACAATAATATAATTAAATAAATTTTCCAATATTTATACTTGAAACATCTCAGTGTCCTATAATCATGTCCATAAATAGCCTAAAAAGTTCCACTTAATTAAAACTTTCTTAAATTTTTTTTTCTACTTTTTAAGTTTAATTTTTGAAAATACAGTTATTTCAGTTTAAACTTCATATGCAGATAATTTAGATTGATAACGAATTAAATATTAGATTCGGATAAGTCGCCAAGAACATATTTTTTGTACCCTTTGGTAAGTTGCTCCAGAAATATAAACGCAAACACTGTATGAGGACCTAAACGGCAAAGATATGGAACGAAACCCTTCCACAGCGAGAAGAAACCTTCGTTTTTGACCACCTTCACAAGGACATCCATGGTTCCCTTATACTCGGCGGCTTTTTGGTTTTGTATTCGGGTTTTGGCCATGTCCAGCGGCATGGAGGCGATAGTGGTCAACAGCCCAGATATCATGGAGGCAGTGATATGCAGACCCAAGCCACTCATATACTGGGCGAAGTAGTTCTTGAGCTGCGAGTAAGATGCTAGCTGCACCATGTTGACCACCATGGCACGACCCACGGTGGGAAAGCACCCTCGCCACAGGACAGGCACGCCCTCGTCCTTCACAATTCGGACGAAGGCGTCGGCGACGCTCTTGTAATTACGCCTCTCCGCCGGCGGCAATCGGTTGTCAGACATCATACGGATGAGCGCCACCTCCGCCGGATTGCCCACCATCGCCCCAACCGCTCCAGCCATGATTCCCATACCCATGCTAGCCCAGACTGGTGGCTTTCCATAACGTTCTATGTAGGAATCGACCTCCATTTGGTAGAATCCCATGCGAGCCGTCGTGTAAGTGGCCTGTCGCATCAATCCGGCGCTCAATCCATTGTAAAAGGACAGAATACCCTCGGCCTTGAGTACTTTTGCGATGCAGTCGAAGGAGGACTTGTACTCTCCAGTGGTCGCCGAAATCTGCATTCGGGTCTTGACCAGATCGAGCGGTTGGACAATGACTGTGCCCATCATACCGGCAAGACCGCCATTGACGTACTTGATGTAACCGGGAATTTCCTTCTTGGCCTTCTCGGACATGACAAAATTTAGAAAAAAGAAAAAAGGCAAAGAAAAAAAAAAAATTTTGTAACAAAAAAAGAATCGAAAAGGTGGAAAGAAGGCTCTGAACTGGATACCATCGTAATATAACCCTGCATTAAAAAATTGTGACAACTACTTCCAAGATATCTGAAAAAACTGGAAAGTTTCCTTAAAGAAAGTTAAGGACGGGGCCGGACGGGATGAGTAATACAAACCAAGAACACAAGAAGATTTTGTAAAGAAAGCATAGTGCTCAGTCAAAGATTCTTTAGAACTAAGTAAAGCTTTAAACAAGAAAACTAAAATTTTTATCGAAAAAAACATATATTTCCAATAAACATTTATAGGATATTACGTAGAACATATACATTTTCCATATACACCCTGAATATGGCAAAAATTTCAAGCTGGATGTGGGCATGGAAATTTGATATTGGCTAAACAGGGAACTAGGGCTTAGAGACCCGAACCAGGCTGCGCATCCGAGCTTCTAAATAGCTTGTTGTAGGCCTTGGTCATCTGCTCCAGGAAGAGGAACGAGATCACAGTATGCGGCCCCATACGGCAGAGATACGGCGTAAAACCCTTCCAGAGTGCGAATACCCCTTCGGTCTTCACCACCTTCGCTAGAACGTCTAAGGTGCCACTGTATTCCGGCTTGCCGTTGAGCTGACCCATCTGCTGGATGCGGGTCTTGGCCAAGTCGATGGGCATAGCGGCCAGGGTGGTCAGCAGTCCGGTCATTAGGGCCGCGCTTCCGTGCAAGATAGGACCTTCGTCGAGATAGGGCTTGAGCTGCATCTTCAGCTGCGAGTACGAAGTGAGTTGCACCATGCTAACGATCATGGCTCGGGTCATAGTCGGCATGCTGCCCCGCCAGAGGGTGGTCACGCCCTCCTCCTTGACGATCCGCACGAAGGCATCGGCCACGTTCTTGTACGCGCGTCTCTCTGTCAACGGCAAGCGGTTGTCGGCCATCATACGGATGAGGGCCAGTTCGGCCGGATTGCCGAAGAACGCCCCGACAGCTCCGGCCGATACACCCATTGCCATGGTGGCCACCAGGGACGGATTTGTCTCGAACTGCTTGCGATACGCGTCCATCTGAAGCTGATAGAAGCCCATTCTGGCCGAGGTGTAGGTGGCCTGGCGCACTAGTCCGGCGCTCAAGCCATTATAGAGGGCCGGCATGCCCTCACGTCTCATCACCCTAGCCAGGACCTCCAAGGAGTTATTGTACTCACGCACACCGCCAGCTCCGGACATCTGCATCCGGGTCTTGATCAGGTCCAAGGGCTGGACAAGGCAGGTGGCCAGCATGCCAGAAGCACCACCAATCACGTACTTGATGTAGGTGGGTGTGGTCTTCTTGTCAACTCCGTAAACGAGCGCCATGGCGGATGAATGGAACTAATAATGCTTGAAAAAGTAGTGTAGAAAAGGATGTGTATGTGGTTCTACCAAAGCTAGTCCCTATGCTAACCGTATCAATGTTGAAGTGAGCCTTCTATCATGTTACACACATCTGGGATGTTTAAAATTTTTTTCTCAGACTGCTATGATTCGGATTTTTTTGTTTTTCTGTGAAATCCCTTTCACCCAAAACTAAGATTTGGGTCACCTTTTTGGCATTGATTTTAATTGTGGCAGTTAACAGGCCAACACCTCCGGCCAATTAACGAACGCCTCCAATTTTCCCCATATGCCGGATAATTGTACAACTTTCGGGCCACCCACAAATTAACGACACCCTGGCAAGCGGCTTATTATCTGCACATGCCTCGGTGCCGATACAACCCTTCACCCTTGCTGGCTCCCTGGCCGGCTCCTCTTCATTAGATGAGTACACAAAATTGTTTGGCATCGCTGGAAATGCAATTAGAGCGAAACTCAAACCGAAAGAACACTTTAGATGAGGCACAGGGCCGTAATTAGACAGGCCAAAATTGTTATGTCAGGGCGGGGCAAAAAACCGAACTGAATTTCATGTACTCGCAAATGACGTATCGACAACTCATTGCGGGCTAATTAAGAACTCATGCGGCGGCAAAGACCAACAACTGAGAGTTGCATGGGAAGGCGGAAAACCCTCCTTGTGTTGATATTTCTCGCTGAACTAAAAAAGAAATAGCATGCGATATTGCAATTAGTTTGTACGCGCGCTCCGAAAAGTATGCTGCAAATTGTTGAAAATACATGTCGTTCTATAATCTACCGCTGAGGGGCGTCTTCATCAGTCTGTTAATTAAATGGTACAGTGAATGCTCACTAGCACTGAAATCAATGAGATATTTTTAACATTTTGGTAGATATTTAGTAGAACCAACATATATTTTTAGCCTCAAATTAAAAAGTTTTAAAAAATACTATACCTAAACGACATTTGTGCCTAATTCCCTCAAGAAATTTAATTGACTAACCGACTTATTCTAACTCAAATCACACCTTTGGCTAAAACTTATCACATTAATTATACAACAGCTTCTCAAGTCAGTCTCTAAGCCTCAAGGAAACCCCTCGAGGATTTTAAAATAATATTTGGCAGCATAAGCACATTCCAATACTTACACCCCCATCGAAGCTGGAGCGTACTTGTGGTAACTTGGCTAACGATGCAAATGTTATCATACAGTTTACAACATAAATAGTCTAATTATTTATGTGCATAAGTAAAAGTGGGGCAACAGTCTGCTGCAGCAGCCGCAGCAGCAGCAGCACCAGTCAAGACAATAGCAACAATGCAATCAAACAATCAGAGACAAGCTCGCTGAACTGAAATGCCAATTGTGAAAATTGTAAATAAATATTTTAACAGTCGACGGCAACAACAAGAAGTCGGGAAACTACAATAAATCAGATCATATCGGCGGTCGAGTGCTGCGGTCTCAGTTGTGGCTGAATGTTGATGCTGCTGTGGCGGCAACAGAGCTATATACCTATATATACCCTATATAGCAGCTAGGGCAGCCCTACAAGCGTGGAAGGTATCAGTGACGGTGTTTAAAGGGGGGTTCTAAGGTGATTAAAGTTCCGGATAGTCTAGACTCTAGAGCCAATTAAAAAAAAAATTTTGCAAAGCTCAATATCTAAAAAAATCATTAATTACCAGTAGTTGTTTCGAGTTTAAACAAAACTTTTCCCAAATATTCTGTCTGAAAACGCCTCTGGGGGGCCTGGCAGGGAAAACTATCTAAAAGAAAATCGCGAAAACCAAAAAGCGAAAAAAGCGACAACAATAACAATAAGGCGAACGACAACAACGACGATGACAATGCTGATAATAGCAAAAAGGAGCCGGGCGGAAGAAAATGGAGACAGAGGGGCACGGTTGCTGTTGGCCAAAAGAATCGCAGGGAAACCGCAGAAATTTACGCTCAAGCAAACCGAGCTGAACTGAACTGAACTAAGCGGAGTTCGCCGGAGTTGAGGTGAAGCTCTTGCTAAAAGCAAAATGACAATAACAGCTGCAATTCCTGGGTTTTGTGAAGCGGGGATTGGCGGTGGTGAAGCGCAAAGGGGCTGTGGGGGAGATGGCCCTATGTAAGAGCCAAAGAAAACGACAAAAAATTAAATAATACACTGGAAAAAGTAATTTTTAAATTTAAAAATTGTAGATTTTTTTCAACGATAATAAATGTATCAAATCTTCTATATAAAATTGTACTTAGAAATAAATGAATATTTAATTGGTTAAACAACCCTAAGTTTAAATAATCTTCTAAATTTCTTAAATCTTAATTATTATAATTTTCTTAAATGAAAACAGCTTTAAAACTTTTTGTCTCAAGAAACATAAAAAATACTATTTATCTAAAGCATCTTAAACATATTAAGGCATTTTTAGGATTGAAATCAAACTATTTATATTACGAAGAGCAACTAGAAAGGGTAATATAATAAATATGTATGTATCTTAGAAGAATATAAAAATTAGAATATTATTTCTTTATTAGACTTTATAATCCTTTGTTTTTTGATATAATGTTTACTCGTATTTGTAAAAATCTATTGTTAAAATACTGATAAAGATTTATTGGAGTGAATGTAAATATGTATTAAAATTGTTACGCTTTTTCGTTAGTGTATAAAAACGAGGCATTAACAGGCGAACCGTTAAGAAGTCATTCCATGTTGGATAGATCGAAAAAAACGGCTGAAACAGCAATAAGCTGTACTTGGAAGTGAGCGAGGCAGTACTATCTGGTAATTTTTTAAGTAAACAGAGCAAGCGGGGCGAATTCAGAGCAAAACATAAAAAAAGCTAGCGACAAAACTCCTAGTGAGAGCAGTGAGAGCGCCGAGCTAGAGAGTAAAAGTCTTTGAGCAAACAAGAGCACTTGGCGAGAAGCGAAAGTTAAAGCCATGGATCGGAGAGCGAAAGATTAACCGATCCGAGGAATCTACAAATAACATCCGAAAACCTATAGATCTTTTCCAGAAGTGTGTCATCCCAATCCAGCTCTGGCCCTCTCTCGAGCTCCATGGCCATCTCTTTTAGCAACCAACAATGCAAAATACAGTTACTGTTGGACAATAAATCAATAGCAACAACAGTCAACAGATTCTAAGACCCAAAAAAATTAACAAAAAAAACAACAAAAACCCCAAAGAAGAAAAACGAATGACTTAGGCAACGAACTTGCCAAGATCATTCTCTCTGTCTCTCTCTCTCTCTATTTGGCTGTCTCTCGCAAGAGCGGGCTTTTTCGAATGCAAGCTGGCCGACAGCCGGGCCAAAACTTTAGGCCAGCTTCATTCGCCAGAAAACCGTCGTGGAGCTCGGAACGCCGTGGAGCTCGCGATCTGAAAAATATACCAGCCTACATCCATATAAACACGATTCTTCTTCGCCGAAGAACGAACGTTTTCCCAGGCCCGTGTTTTGTGCGAGTGTGCGAGTGTATCTGTGCGCGTGTTACCATTTGCATTACCAATTTGGCTTTTAGCTGCAGCTTGCTTTTCGTTCCATTTCGCCGCGTTGCATTTCTCGGATCGGTTTGCCGTGGCAGTTGCCGTCTCGATTTCGTTATTTTTGGGAGGCCTTAGCCGTAATTACTGGGCTGGCCGCAAGAAAACGTGTTTGTTACAACAAGAGCACCAGCTGCATTTCACTCAAAAAAGTGTTTGCCGAATAAAAGGCGAAAGAAGAAAATAAAGAATACGAGTGCCCCTTAAAAAATAGAAAAGAAAACGTCACTCGGTGTGCGTTCTTCTACTATTTGTTCGCTAGTTAACATTGTGCTCATAATTTATTGTACCAGCGATATGCAAATAGAAAGCAACAAATCCGTACACCAAGTGGAATATTTCAACGTATAGTTTGTCAAGCCGAAAGGTAAACCCAATGCATTCTAACATAATAAGAAAAGAAAATATACAGAGAAGAAAGAAGTCATAAGAAACTACAGAATCATATAATTTAACTTCTACTAATGAGGCGAATTGTGAAAACGTCAGAACTGGCCTGAACTTGATATGGTTAATATATTCATTAGTATACATTTCTCCGAGGTGATGATTTGCATATCAGTAGTCGCAGGTTCATAACTTTTGATGAAGAAAGCTTTGGTTAGATCATCGGGGCTCACGTTTTTCCCCATAGACTCTCCATGTAGATCCCCACGAATGTTCCTTCTTCTCCTCTGCAATCCCCTAAATAACACTTGCTGCACGATTGAACTTTAAACCGCATTCTTGGCCCGTCTGTGGCAAGTTTGGTTGGCTCTCTGGCTCGGACGCATCTATCAGCGATCGGTGAGTGGCCAATTTTCAATGGATCGGCAGCTTCGTGGGAACTCTTGACTCTCGAGCTTGGAGTCTGGCACTGGGGTGCTGGGTCTGGCATTTTGCGATATGCGGCACACATTTTAGCCCTGGCTAGTCGCAAAAACGGAGCCAAAAACAGGCTTACAGAACAGGAATTTCCACTCCTACAACAAAGCGCCGACAATTGACATTTTTGTGTAATTGCAAGAGTTTTTGTTTCTGTTCAGCTTTTAAATGTTGAATATTGAGAAGTAAATTTCCATTTTTGGTGGAAGTAAGATACAAAAGTTTTCTGTAAGAATCAGTTTCTGTTTTCTGTTTTTAAATTAAAAAAATATTTGTATGCTTTGTAAAAGTATTTATTGTTATTTTTGTTTTTCTGATTTTTAATCGTCAACAATTAAGGATAGTTTGTGTGATAATCTAGCTTAAAATAGTGTCAAGGTGTCTTTAGACAAAGATCTCGGGTCCAAAGATGGAAACTTTCGAGGCTGCGCCGCTGGAGGAAGATCGGGGCTTGGGCGGCGTGCTCGGGGCCTTGACACTCACAGCTGGCACAGTGACAGTTTTGTTGCCAGTATTGGCCACACCGGAAGCGGGAGCCCGGCGGCGACGACTTCCTTTCAGTTGATCGCGCAGCTGCTCCTTGTAGACGAGTCCTCGCTTGCAGGCTTGCAGCTCCTCCACGCTGCAGTGCTTCAAGTGGCGGATGGTGCGGGAAACCAGGCCGTCGATGATGTGGATCTTGGTCTTTGAAAGGCGCGTGGGCTCAGCATGCCGGCGGGTCAGCTCGTTCTGGTACTGGAAGAGCAGATAGCCCACACTGGGACGGGCTCCGCGGCGGTGGTTAGGGCGTTGGCTCTCCATTTCGGAAATCTTTCGGATTTTTTCAAAATTATTTGAAGGAACGAGCTGTGACTGCTTGGCAGCTTGAGCTGTGAATGATGTCCTGTCGTACTTTACCAGGATTATTTATATCTGGGGCGCTTAGCTACCTGTTGACCCGTGAGCTGACCTGCTGACTTGTGTAAGTCGCGTAATTACCTGAAGTGCTCCGGGTAAATCCAAAAATACGGAATCTTTTCTTCGGACTTGGCCTGTCGTAAAATTTGCGACTGTTGTACCTCTTCAATGTGTGGGTGCATTTTGGCTTTAAGATGCGCAGCATCGGCCCGGTCGAAAAGTGTTTATGGCCTGACCTTTTGCATAAAGATGTCTTCAACGTTTCGAAGCCATCCGGCTTGGTCTTGGCTACCGAAAAAGTATGGGGATAAGCAGTAGATTAAACGGTGACTAAGTGTTGGCGGATTTCTGGTCAATGGTTTTGGGCCAAGATTAACTAGTGGCCAGATCCACTTGCTAGTTAAAAATTTCTCAATGAAACCATGGAAAACATTATTCTTCCCATCCTAGTATTTATTTTGCATAACCACCGATTTATGTATCTGCCAGCTACTTGTGAAAGTTTATATTTATAACCAAAAACATTTGTGAAGTATATTTGTGCGACTGGCTCTCATTTAAACCCATCCCGAAAACTAAATAAATTTACTCAGGACTCTCGACAAATAAAAACATTTTTATTTAACGAGTTTCCATGAAGTGATAAATATTATCCCAAAGTGGCACTCGTCCATCCTCCCACTGCTGGACCAACCCACGGCCGAAGGACTCTGCGTGTTAAATATTTATTTATGAACGAAAGTCTGGCCGGAGAGTACGGGCTTGTGACCTTGGCTTGATCCCCGCCAACCGCCCACCCGCAAAGCCATTTAATGTGGGTGGGTTAGATGATTTTAAAAATGCTTTTCATGTAATTGTAATTTCACTTAACGTAATTGACACGATGGCAGTGCGGGCTCTAAAAATGCCTTGAATTAAGTTAATTCCAACTTAATTATCGCCATATTTAAGGGGCAGAGTGTGGAGGAAAGTGAAAATGCCCTCTTACATTGTCTGGGGCTTATCAACGAATTCTTTGAGGAAAAATTTATTGAGCTGCATTAACTCGAAAGGGCCGCCACAGAATAATAATAATAACGAACGACAATGGTAATAGCAATAACAATGACCAGTGAAAGTTGTACGAGGTTGGAGTTTTATTTTATGGTAATTCTTGGAGGGAAATAAATTATGATTCAATGCCCATTTTGGTGCTAAATGCAGGGGCCTTGGGGCCAACAACAGATACAAGAGATGAGATGCGCTGGCCAGACGTAATGATGATGATACAGCAATCATTACGATTGTCTCGTCTGGTTACTTTGCGGCGGAATATATGCCTCGACACGCACAGATTTCGGCCCCTGCTCCGATTACGATTCCAAATCCGATACCAAATCCATTTCCATTTTTGTTTCCAAGCCCAGTTCATTGAGCGCGTTGAATTGGAAGCTGTCGGCGAGCTGTCAGAAGCATTTGCTCAAAATGGCTGAAAGTGGCCCGCATGGCCTACTCAGCGAAAGCCCCTGGGCCACCGTTTTGACCTCTAACCGGCCCTGATACCTGCCTACCTGTTAACTGAAACCGAAATCGAAACCGAAACGATGCCCAGAGGAAGGAGAGGGTCATAAAACGCTGATGCTGCGCATTTGCTTAATCCGGCGCGTGGTCTTTCCCAAAGTTCTTAATCCGGTTTCGAAATCCTTTTGTTTTCGCTACATTTGAGCTACTAAGTGCAATTATAAAAGGATTATGCCATTTCTGACCTGTGGCAAGGAAGACCCTCGATCCCCTGCATCCACTTTCATTATGACACATTTTTAATGAATTACCTGGAAGTAGTTAAGTGCAAAAAGTCTCTGCTACTTCTGCGGCTTTCGGGAACTGCATCTATGCTAATGATGCTGTCAAGTACAATCCTGTGTGTATGCGAGTATCTACTGTACGCGTATGCAAATGCAATAGACACATGTGTAAATTAACGGAGTTTACGTTGATGTCACTCAGGTGCTGAGTCAGAGACCTCTAGCCGGCTAAGAGTACAAAGTTACTTGGAAAAAGCATTCTTTTCGAGGTTCTACACTGGTGGTTCATTGAGAATCCCCAAGAATTCTCAGGAATAGTGAGCGGGTTGTTAGCGAGTGGTTTCTTTTGGGTCAAATGCAATAACCAAGTACAAGTTCTTGGGAACTCAAGATACATATGCACCAACTTGCATGGGAATCGTTAGAGGTGAGAAATACCTATGCAGAGTAGCTACTTGTGCATTTAGCTTACAGAACCTGATGTATGATAAATCTTGTTAAATAATAAAATAAATATTCTTGCTATTTATGTGGCTTTAAAAATGTATATTTATAGCTCTCTCCTCCATTTAAAGACTTTATTTATTTTCGGAATGTATTGTGGAATCTAGTGTTTTCTTTTATTTCCTTTTTATTTAGTGCTTCATATTAATTTTGCCAGCACCCTCTGCACATTTTATTAATGAATCTCGGATTTGGCAAGTCTTCCAACTAAATCCTTTTCTCCGGAACATTCCTGTTCTGGAATATTCCGTGACAGTTGCTGCTGACAAGCTCGTTCTTGCTGTTTTGCAAACGAATTTACCCCTTTTGGACGCATTATGTGTAATAATGGCTGGTCAACCGAGGAAAGGCTTAGGATCCAAAATGGGGATTAGACCGGATTAGGTCTTGAAATATTTTGGCACAAATATTTACTGAAGGGACCAGGCACACTTGACCCGGCCAGGTACCTGCCATCTTCCCCGGTCAGGTACCTGGTAGTGGCCCAGATATACGTATAAGTAGAGCAATCAAATCTCTAGGGTTATCATTCGGCAGAGTGACGCTAAGGCGAAAGGAGCTCAGATATACTTTCACCCCGGCCTTATCTTATTCGAAAAATATCGGCGCAATGGAGCACGACAAATTTTTGAAGCCCACTGTCACCTATCATCTGTTCATGTACCGCGTCGAACTGGCACGGCGCAATGCCCGACTGCTGCGGCTTTCCCGGACCAAGATCGAGATCACGGATGAGCTCATATCCAAAACCGTTCGCAACATTAAGACGTGCAGCATGGACGACTTGAAGGCGGTCAACCGGGAGCTGATGTTCAAGCGGAAACTGAGGAACAACGTCTCTAAGCTGAAGAAGGAGGCCAAGCGGCAAAGCCAAGCGAACCAGCAGCCGGAGGAGCCGTGTGCCCCCAAACAGGATTAGAGAATCAATCAGACCGCTTTGATTTATTGTACATACTATACCCACTTGTAAATAAATACTTTTGATAAGACTTTTGCATTGAAATCGCTTTTGAAACTTGTTCATTTTATTGGTAGATGGTTGATGGATGGGGAGGGGAAAAACTGGTAGCTGAATCAGCTCAGTTCAGTTCAGTTGAGCTCTGTCCAGTCCAGCCAGCCTGGCTTAGAGCTTCTCGTTTGCATTGAGCCATGGCTAGAAATTAACGGCAAAGCAAAGCAAAGTCACCAGAGATCCGCTCGAAAAGAGACCTCTGACGACCACTGACTGACCCAAACCAGTTGGAAACTTTATTATCGTTTTTGCAGCGCCGCCTTTGTTTTTATATTTTTTCGATTTTTGTTGTTTTTGGCCCCCAACTTAATTAGAAATTGCAAATGCAATTAACAAAAGGCAAACGCTGAAACGCCAATGTTTTAATAAAATTTTAATTCGTTATAAGCATATATGCAAGGGGATGTATAAAGATATTAAGATTTGTTGACGCACAGAGCGAATATTTGTTGACTAGTTGTCATAAAATAATTTTTAATAACTGTTTGTGTATTATTGAAACGTTTTTGATTTAATTTGAGATATAGAGAACAAGTATAGGTTTTGGTTAAACATTTTGTGGGCAAATTATTGTGTTTTTCTCTGTGTATCTTCCCGCTGACACTGAGCGAGCGCCATGGAAACCAAACAAAACTGGTTCGTTGCATAAATTAACCAAAAAGCCAAGCAGCAACAAAGTCAAAGAGCCAAGAAGCAAAGGCAAAAGGAGCTGCGGGGGTGAGGGGGCGTGTGGGAGCAATAAAACAAAAAAATAAAAAAAAGTTAGCAACTTGCTAAAAGTCAGCGAAATAAATAAAAATCAGCCAACGTTAACAGACGTTAGCTGAAACAGTTTGGCTTTGTTTCAGTTTTCAGCTCTCGGCTCTCGGCTTCCTCTTCTCCTTGTCCGAGCTCCAGACAAATTTATTTCGTGACATTGTTCAATTTATGTGGGTATGTGCCCAGCTCCGAGATGTTGTAATAAAATAAGACCAGCTTATAGATCGCACCAGATGTCGTTGTTGAAAAGTGGAGTTGCTGGCGCCAGATTTCGAAATAATTGCGGCGATCATTCTCGCTTAAATCCCATAAATCATAAGCACTATAAGTTTTATTTCATTTTTTATGCTTTGCGAACAATATTGCAATAATTAAAATAAACACAGCCAAGGTATATGCCTTTTATGGTTTTATGCAAAATAATCAGAGACAATAGAGCAGAAATCAAAACATAATAGTCACAGTTGTAAGATCAAATGAGATCAAAGCTTAAGTATCTGTGTAAGAACTGAAACAAAAGATATCCGTTGCAAACATTTTGTAATTAAGAAAATCCCCTTCATTATGGCATTTCATAATTCATCATACATTTAAGCAAATCAAAATTTTCATGCCTCTCCGTTTTGATTAGAATTCTCTTTCTCCTCCAATCACAATTTGTTGGCTTCAATAATTCATTGTTTCTGGCGCCGTCACTGCTTTTGGCAACGATTATTGAAGGACAGGCGGGCTTAGAATCGCAGACAGGCGGCCGGACAGGCAACTTGAGGTTGCTGTTCTACTTGACAAATGGATTTCTGTGGCCTGACCCGTGGCGGCAACAACAGAATCGCTGCGGCATAGGAAAATCATCAAATCACGACTTTGAGCTCTTTTGATTGACATGCACAAAAAGGAGCAAAAACTGCCAAGCCAAGAGCTGCGATAGAACAAACACTAAAAGCAACAACTACAGCCGCCTGATTGTTCATAATTAAAGCCAGCCAGCGAGCCAACAAGCCCGAGGCTGTTGGCAGAAAAATTTCGCAATAATTCTTGGCGTCACCAGCGTCGCCGCTTCGAGGTGACAGCGAAGGAATCCGAATCCGCCAGTTGGAGCAACCGAGGAATTATCTCACACACGACACTGCAAATAACTAATACGCCCCGTTAGCCAGAGCGCTTATTAAAGCATAATTAGCATATTTAGAGTGGCCGGAGATTGCATCCCCCCAAGTAATTACATCGATACCCTGGCTTGATTTTGCCTTCGAGACAGTGACATAGCTTTGTGGCTACACAGAGAGAAAAATCTATCTGAAAGTACATCAAAGGCTGAGTCTTCTTATTTTATAGTTTCATTGTTTCTTTTATCTTCTAGTTGGTATATTAAAGTACGAAATCGATCATTTATAGATACATAAACTTTTGTTTAAGCGTGGTCATTCCCAGTTAAGTCTCATTTGTGGCCGCACTCTGTTACCATTGCCACGAACCAATTGACCAACCCACCAAGTTTCCAGCTTCCCCTGGCGATCCCCCCCGACTCCATTTCCATCATCATGACCGCTCAGCTTGTACCGTTCACTTTGCGAGCATTTGAGTCGCCAACGCGCAACAACTACAAGAGCAACTAAGGCAACAATTGTCGCATTTGACATTTAGCAACAATTACCTTTTTTTCAGCCGACTTTGGTTGGTTATATTTGGCCCGACTCGTAGTCGCGAATATCCCCCTTTGCATTTCCATGGCGAAACTTGTTATATTTAAAATATGCACACACGCTCTTTGTCCCAGCACCCCGGCACTTTTGTTTTCAAGGTATTGCAGGCTATTAAATTGGTAACAAAGTTGCGGAAACAGCTGATCTGCAGGGCTATTTTTAGAAAGTATATCATATATCATAGTAGAGTCTTCGGAGAAAATACTAGCTCATAGTATGACACATTAGATGGAACTAGTACGCGTCAAAGAATAGATATTAAAGAATAGAAAAACTATAAACCTAAACCTGATATTTGAATCAAGACTTGCCAAGCCACATAAGAGCAATCAAGACTCTGCTTAAATTATCCTTTTCCGATGAAACCTCTTTGATTTGTGCAGCTCACACCAAAATAGGCAACCTGATGCCCCTGTGACTCGGATTGTGGCACTTAAGGTGTGGCTTTCCATTACCCTTCAGTGGTGGGCGGGAGCCACTGCCCCCTCCCAAAACTGGAATTGCAATTGTAGGCATGACTTCTTGGGGCAACGCCAGGGTGCCTTTCTTGCTCGTAACTTTTGGTATTTACAATATTTAATCATATTTCGTGAGGACCGAACGACATTTGTGTCGTTTGAGCATAACTTATGGATACTTTGTGGGCCGTTTGACTCGGCTGCTGCCTTGTATCCATGTGTATCTGCATCTTTCCTTCTGCAATTTAACCGTTTTCATTTTTTATGCATGTGCATTGCATTTGTATCTCATTTGCATTTGCGGTTGCTGGCGTCGTCATCCTCGTGCTGGCTTGCTGGGTGTCTGCCATGCAATTTGCTTGAAAAAAAGGAAAAAAATGGAAATGAAACAAAATTGAAAAAACTCGCATCGAACATTTGGTAGAATTAAATTTAATTTTATTAAAGAAAAAACTTTTGCTCTCGTATGGTTGAGTGTGGGTGCTGCCTGGGAATTGTACAAATGACAACAGGCGCAACTTGGTGTTGCAGTTGCTGGTGTTGCCGCTGCGGCTGTTGTCGCCGCATGTTGTTGACGTGCATGTTGCCGCCGTGCGCCTTTTGTTTTATGGTTGGCGCGGGTGTCTGTGCGAAGTTCGATGAAGTTTTCCGTTTTGCTCCAACGAGATTCAAACTGTTGCAATTACGTATATACGCTTCACAGTTGCGGCTTGTTTCCCCCGTTGTTGCCGGTCGGCTATTGTGGGCTATCCGCCTGTCTGAGGCAGCAACAGCAACACAGGAGCAGTCCTTTGTGCTGCAGTGTCGGCAGTGAAGCATCTTAACCTGTTCGATGTTGCATATTCATTGGAATCCCAAGGACATTTACTTCGAAAGTTATCATCATCAGTGAGCGGCAGCCAAAGAAGAGTTGTTGAAATCCACAATAAATGGCATCTTTCGAAAGAGTCTTAATAATTAAAGGTGCATTTTTCCCTTTATTCAATGCAAGCTGAAATTAAACGCACATCACAGCACATTTTTCTTTCTCTGTATTGTCAGAAGAAGAACCCAAGTCGCGGTATCGAACTGCTTCTCATCATCATTTGCATATGTTACACTTTATTTATTGTTGCGGTTGTATTTGTTGTTACTGCTGTTTGTTGGGCTGCTCTGTGTTATTCGAGCATTGCATTATACAGAGACGGGGAGGAGGTGGCATCTGGGGGTAGGGAAGGCAGATATAACTCATACGCAACGTTAACCTCGCTCTTTCTTGCTCGCATATTTATTGCAGTTACGTGAGACTTTGTTTATGTGACAATTGCTTTATTGTTTCACAGTTCAGCTTCTGCACACACATATGTTTACTCACTTTATATACCTGATGTGTTATAATTTTTCCTCTTCTTTTTGGAACTTGTAATTTATGTTTTTCGATTGTGCAAGAATTGAGCAAGAGTTTGATGGCTCCTCGGTTGATTCATGCTGTGGCGAATCGAGGAGAAGCCATTCAAGTTCTTGCTCGAGTTAATTAAATATGCACTCAAAGAAAATATTATTTTTCAGGAAAATAGTATACCTTTTTCAATATCTTCCCCTTTGAAAATACTCTTTTTTTAACCTCTCCAAGTTAATTGAATAAAAGTCTTGCCACTTTTTCTCTTCGATCGCTTGCTGCTCATTATGTTCAACAATAATAAGTGACTTGACGCCGGGGCACTATAAAGAGGGCTTTTCCGGGGCGGGGAAGTATCATTTTCGCATTTTGATGTCCGATTACGGGCAACGCTAACTAGAGCAGCAACAATAGAAAAAGGTACAAAGGCAGCAGCAGCAGCACGGCCAGCAACAACTATTATGACAGCGAGTATCTGAAGCAAAAGCAATTTGTTGCACTCACTCAGATACACACACACACATACTAGTGGAATGGTCAGAAGTACCAGATAGAATCGTATCTGTGAGAGACAATTCAATGCTCGGCTCTCTGCAAGAGTTGGCGGCTATGAAAAATGGATCTGCTCCAGAAGATTTCAGTAATCTCGTTCGTCACACTTGGCCGCTCAAGTACAAATTTATGAAGACTGTGTACCCCTTTGGGCCCCTGCCATCATTTTTTGACCAGGGCTATGTCCGAGTGGCTTTTATTAACTTGTAGATGGTTCTATCTGAGGAGATGCACTCAAGAATGTCACGCTAGAGTGGCCAAAGTGTCAGTGGAGTAACGCCGAGCATTGTGGCATTCCGAGAGCCATGCCGCGCCGCTTGGCGCCGGTTATGATGTAAGTTCAATAAATTTTTCCATTGCAACAATGGCAGACAATGGCAGCCGGCAATCGGTCGGGTTGCCTCAGCCCACAGTCCCATTTGCATGGCAATCTCTTGCGAAAT